GGGGGGGGGGGGGGGGGACCGCACCGAGTGAAACGAAATTGCAGCCCCCTTGCTTAGAAAAAACGTGTTACAATATTTTTCATTGCTTAATTTCATATCATTGAACTACCATCAACAATGCAGTTAAAATTAACAATAATATCTGAAAACAAATTATTTTATATTTTTATAATAAAATACATCTATGTAAAAAAACTAAAAAGACTAGTTTAAGATTTGCAAAAGGAAACAGGGCAGATATAATTAAATAATTGAATAAATGAATTACAGTGATAACCAGAAAACTCCAGATTTTGTGAAACAGTCTGTAAGACACGTTTTAGCAAAATGTAAAGCCATACGTGAACTGTACATGACTGTTTAAGTACTGCCTATAAAAGGGATGTTGAAGTGGAACTTAAAAGCAGATCAAAATGACTTATTCAGGCCGTATTTAGTCAGTCAGGCAGTTGACTTTGGACTTTGATTTTTACTTTAATATGTCTTTTGACTGTTCATAAAAAGTTACAAAATTTGTGACCCTGTCATTAACATTTCAAAAATGTTGTAAAAAACCCGAGAAGAAGCATATTAACGTCTTTAAACAAGATTTACGTTTATTTTAGACCTGTAAATGCACTTGATTTCTGAGATATCTTTAAAATGAATTTGCGAAAATTCCCTAAGCGGCATTTTCTGAAAATTGAGATTATAACTCAGTAATAGACTGAATATTAATATGTTTAGGTGTTTTGACTTGAAACCTGATGGTCCATTTTCAGCAGTGTGAGTGCAACAGGGGGGGGGGGCACACTGAAGGATCACAGGGGGGCGTGCGCCCCTTCGCCCTCCCTTCAGTTACGTCCCTTCCTGCCCATTTCCCTCTCATTAAATCAGTAGAACTTGAAACCCAAGGATAAAGGTTTCAATAAGTCCTCAAAAATAAAATCATGGAATATTTATATAGCGTTATACAGTTATCTATTGTAGGCGTAACTAAAGGTTTGTAAAGGAGGGGGTTCAAGGTTAAAAAATTATAGATATTATTGGATCGAACTAATATATTTTGGGATTCTTTTTCAAAGAATATATTGGTAACCAAAAGTCCACTTTATTTACCAACAAAGATTTCAAGGTTAAATGACAAGCCCCCCCCCTTCCCCTCGGAAGTCACCCCCCCCCATAATTGCGCCAAAAGTTGGTATGTATGATAATTACGCACCATTGTCCGTAAATCATCTAGACTAAGTGGGCTTTCGTCTGCCGGGATTGATCTTGCCAATTATACGCAGATACGCACTCACGCAAATTATGGAGCTCAAGGCCTTACGCACGTTTTATGTAGATATGCGAAACCGATATATATTTCAAGGAGATTGGTCGCAGTTAGATTTTAAGATGGAAGGGGAAGGGGGGGGCGGGTAGTATTGATATGCTTTCAATTTGGTCGTTTTTAGGTCGTATTTAGCCTAATTTTTCTTTTAGGATCAAAATGTGGCATAATGCAAGAGAAGCACATGTTTTCAAAATGTTTTATTCTAAACATATTGGCCTTTCTTCATATATGTTAAATATTGACTCTAGCAGAAGATATATGCAAAAAAAGACCCATAAAACGATTAAAAAATGAAAGTGTTTTAACGATCGTTTTAGGTTCATTTTCCCATTTTTTTAAGAAAGATTTTTCAAAGTTGAATTAAAACAAACTTATTTAACCTTACACACTTTTGAAATGTTGAAAGTATTCTTTCACTTTCGTTGAAGGTGGTCGTTATAGTTTCACCTATATATCTGATGGAAATAAAATTAGTCATTATTTTCTTATTTTCTTTAACTTTAAAGGGAGTGTTGACGAAAAATGAAAGGGGGTATAGGTTTACGGCGAAAAATAAGCGCTTTTTATCGCTACTAATCTTATTTCTATCTGTTGTGTCTATAAGTAGAAAATTGTTAAAAACGACTCACATCGAAGAACGTAGCGTCCATACAAATTCAGAAAGATGTAACATTCAACTCGGGTCGTAAACAAATCAATTCAATTCCAAACAAATCATTCAGATATTACAAACAATAATCATCGACTATTTTTCGACACATTCGTAAATAGTTGATATTTCATAATATTTTGTATTTTTCATGATCTGAGAGTTACGTTTGAAAACATTTATTCCTGTTTCGAGGATTTTTGATAATGAAGACGACATTTTTTAATATTTTCCAGGAATGTTCGAAAATCCAGCGCCAGCGAAAATTATTAAAAAAAATCAAAAATATTATGAAATATTATACGAATGCGTCGAAAAATAATCGATGACTATTGTTTGTAATATTTGAATTATTTGTTTGGAATAAAATTGATTTGTTTACGATCCGTGTTAAATGTTGCTTCTTTCTGAATTTGTATGGACGCTGCGTTCTTCGGTGTGAGTCGTTTTTAACAATTTTCTTCATATAGACGCATCAGATAGAAGTAAGATTAGAAGCTTTTGCGCTTATTTTTCGCCGTAAACCTATACCCCCTTTCATTTTCGTGAACACTCCCCTTAATATTAAAAAACTAGAAATATTAAAGCGTCGATGAATGCTATGACAATTAATTTGGGGAAATATTTCCAGCTGCTCCGCCGCTGTCGGAGACAGGAGGAGCTAATTACTCTCGCGGAGTACTGTCAACAACAGATCCAACCAGAGGAGTTCATTAGAAAACATCCTTAATGCCGCGTATAAATCACGTTTTTGCTGTGAATTTACTGCACTTTCTGTTTTTAGCATGACGTGGGGGAAAGACATTCTCTTTTTTAACTTTTATTTTTGATGCGCACAAGTGACATATGGAAAAGTAAGAGTATTTAAAAAGTTGCCTTACATTGGAATTTTTTTTCCACATGAATGCCCCCCAAAAAAGTATATGCTGGCTGGTAAATTAATAAAACACAGATTTAAAGTCTTATCAGAAGTCTCAATTGTAATTACACAAAATTGAATTTTTTTCCTAATTCCATTGCTTAATTGACGGAAAGGATCAGATAGGATGTGATAAGGAAAGATTGGATTGGATCTGGATGGATTGGATCTGGATGGATTGGATCTGGATGGATTGGATCTTGGATGGATTGGGTCTTGAAGGATTGGATCTTGAAGGATTGGATCTGGAAGGATATGATCAGAAAGGATGGAATCAGAAAGGGTTGGATCAGAAAGGATGGGATGAAGAAGGACAGAATCAGAGAGGATGGGATCAGGACGGATGGGATCATGAAGAATGGGATCAGAAAGATTTGATCTTATCAGAGTAATCTATGTTTTGTCTAATATTCTCTTATTTTAGTGATGATGTTAACTCTAAAATTATGTTCTGGAAGTGGGGTTTGGCCCCTCCCACCGAAGTATGTTTGTCCAGAACGAACTTTACACCCTTGCAAGTAAGTAACAATGGTTTAAGAAAGCTACACCCTTGCAAGTAAGTAACAATGTTTTAAGAAAGTTACACCCTTGCAAGTAAGTAACAATGTTTTAAGAAAGTTACACCCTTGCAAGTAAGTAACAATGGTTTAAGAAAGCTACACCCTTGCAAGTAAGTAACAATGGTTTAAGAAAGTTACACCCTTGCAAGTAAGTAACAATGGTTTAAGAAAGCTACACCCTTGCAAGTAAGTAACAATGTTTTAAGAAAGTTACACCCTTGCAAGTAAGTAAGTAACAATGGTTTAAGAAAGTTACACCCTTGCAAGTAAGTAACAATGATTCAAGAAAGTTACACCCTTGCAAGTAAATAACAATGGTTTAAGAAAGTTACACCCTTGCAAGTAAGTAACAATGGTTTAAGAAAGCTACACCCTTGTAAGTAAGTAACAATAAGAAAGTTACACCCTTGCAAGTAAGTAACAATGATTCAAGAAAGCTACACCCTTGCAAGTAAGTAACAATGATTCAAAAAAGTTACACCCTTGCAAGTAAGTAACAATAATTCAAGAAAGTTACACCCTTGTAAGTAAGTAACAATGTGTCAAGAAAGTTACTAGTTATAGACAATGGACATTGGACCCCCATATCTTAGACTAAAAAGTCTTTGCAAAATACCATGTAAAACCTCTTAAACACTCTCACTAGTTTCAAAACTTTGCTTTCTTGCAAGTAAAAAAATATCAAGAAAGTTACTGGTAAGGATATTGTTAGCATAAAAAAGTACATGTTGAACACCATTAAACCCCTTAATCACTCTGTTACTACATTAAAGACTTTGCTTTCTTTAATGCTAAGATGCTCAGATGAATCAAGTCTAACTATACATACTTAAGTCTATGCATGGTATATTGTATAGCTAGTGTATACGTATGGAAATTATCATGACAAAACAAGTTGTTCATATGCTACGCTAAATCCTAGCTTAAAAAATGAAGAAAAAAAATAATCATTATCATCTACTCTGAAAAAAATCTACAAAAAAAATGCATTTTTAAGGTGTCTAGCTGGCAGTGATGAGGGAATAGATATTGTTTGTGACAATACTAATCTTGCAAGTATGGCGGTTGGACTTAGTCAATTGAATACAAAGTAAGTACTATATTTCGACTTAAGTAAACCTAAGTTAAAAAATAAGAAGAAAACGTTTTGACACAAACTCAAATTTTCCATTATTCATATCTTGAATAATGGAAAATGTGTAAACCTTTTATATTTTAATCATAGACTAATAACTGTAACGATATTCACAGTTTGATATATTAAAGGTCTATCACATTGGTTTTAAAAAGATATACAAGGTGTCTTTTTAAAATCTACACACAATTTCCGATTTAATTAGCCCAATTTTATACTTGTAAGTCAAAAATTGTGCAAACAGATATTATCTTTATTTTTATCAAATTTAATTGCTCCAGTTGAAGTCTATAAAATTGTAATTTTAAATATACAAGCCTAAAATTGGAATCTTTAAATCGGAAACTGTACGTAGATTTTAAAAATGGTCCCAATCTTGAAAATCCGATTACAATCTAGTCCCTTATTCCCCTTTTTTGAGACACCCTGTAGAAAAGAAGAAAATTAGCGTTTGTGGCAAAGACTCAATTCCTTTTTACCATAAATAATTGGATTGAGTACTTCAGCTCTTATCTTTGATATTGAGAGCAACTATATGACTTGTTAGAGCTTTGAACTGCGAACTTGCTATTATTTATATTATATGGACTCGTTTAAATGGCAAATATAATTAGTTAAATAAGTCGAAATAAAGAGAAGATAACCCATTATTTAAAAAATGTTTCATGTTTGTGGAGGGTGGGAGGAACTCCATTTCAAAAGATTTATACAATTTACATTTTTAAGAAGAGGGTTTGGGCCCAAATTACTATTATTAAAATTTAATGAGTTAAAGCAGATGTGTAGACTGTAGATTGTAGACTGTAGACGGCAGGTGGGGTGTATAGCACTATTCAGTTCACTACAGGAGTACTCTTGGTTTATTTGCAATTTATTCCATACATAATTCATAAAGGACATGCGATCTAGTTTTTTTAAAGAGATTTTTTTCTCTGCAATGTTGTTTAATGATTTTAAAGGGGGAAAACATGCATTTTTAGGGAAAAAGTATCAAGGAGGGTAAAATCCGCCAAATGAAGACCGATATCCTCACCTCCCCCCCCACATTCCGGGGGAGGGGATGAAAATGTTTGTGCCTTATATAATCTACGTTGGGCAATCTCATTTTTTTCTGACGTTAAAAAACTTCCTTATTTAATATGTAAAAATTGATACGACTCTGCCTTAGGTAGCAGAATACCGGTAATTTTAGACCGGGTTATTAAATAAAAAATACATGGTTTACTAGAAGAAAATGTCGGATGCAATGTTGCGCTTGGTCAGATGAATTTGCAGGCTTGTTAACCTTTGCACTTGGATGGATTAGTTTGACCCTGTTCACCACTCTCAGTCTCTGCCTCATCATGCAATATATATATATATATATATATTTTCATCCGTAGATGCAGGTTTTGTTTCTGTTAAAGGGATTGTAGACGTAATTTCAAGTAATCCCTTTTTCAAGAGGGCTAGATGCCCATTTCACAACCGTTTTTTATTTTTATAATTTTTCAAAGGTTTAAAGGATACCTCAGTGAATTGTTTTTTCTTATCAAGTCAGAGTCTTTTCTCGAGCACTCCCTTTAACTAAAAATTTAGCTTTTATATTGTATTGTAGGCTGCTTAGCCTGACCATATCCAACTGTAATGTGGAACGACTCTACGGCGATGTTTTTAGGAACCTAGATGTTCAAAAAATAATCATTAAGGTAACTTTTAATATTAAAATCAGAAATTAACATTTAAATTTTCTTAATTCTGTTCAATTTAATTTCTTTGAATATTTCTTGGTACAGATTGTAAATGTAAGTGAGATCCATACAACTTTGGTAAAGAAGGACGACTGTTAGATTAAAATAGTCTAACCAACTTGAAATATAATATTTGAGCAGTGTACACAGACCTATTTCTCTTTATATGTTTTTTTGCAACTGGTAAAACTATTTGCTTTTAAACAACATCAAATTCATAAAGCATTGCCTATATGTCGTCATCATATTCCACAGGTTTATTGGTAGCACTGTACATTGCGTGCATTATAAATTTATTATGCATATCAATAAGGCGTATAACTTTTATTGGCCACTAACCCTTAAAATGCAGTTTATAGGTGAGGTCACCCATTGTATATTGGTATAGTAAATATTTCACAGTAGTCGGGGTATTATGCTATGCTATCCTTCCAGTCGGGGTATTATGCTATCCTTCCAGTTGGGATATTATGCTATCCTTCCAGGCGGAGTATGATGCTATCCTTCCAGTCGGGGTATAATGAGGGGGGGGTCAAGGAAATTAGGGATTGTTCATACATTTTATTAAGAAAAATTGGGAACAAGCTTTTTGGTATTTTTATCTTTTGATCTGAAGTTTCTCGAAAAGTATTTGGTTTAAACGTTGTTGTTAAATGCTTCTATAAATTGTAACTATAACTGAAAGGGTTTTCTATTGTTATATATATCTCGAAATTGAAATTAAATCACAAATAATAAGTTCATTTAAATCTTGAAAATTTAAACACTGAACACTGAACACTACACTTAAAATAGTTCCTAATACTTAAATGCATTGAACATAAACCAGGCATACTTAACATATGAGAAGTTAAACCTTGCAAGTTTTTAACATATTTGTCTGAGAAACTATTTGCATTATTCAAGGTTTCTTTTTTTGCATCTTTAAACATGAATTAATTTCTTATTTCTGAAAAGGTGCACTGTGGGATTTCCTGTCTGTTTAAAATATACTTTTTTTTTACTTTTGGTGGTTTTGAGACTACGTAGGTTTGATATCACGCCCCCCCCCCCCCCTCCAAACGTCCCCATACCATTTTCTTTATACCGGAAATTTACTCGATAATTCTATTCCGTGTCCCACTTCATTATAATTTATTTCCAGGTGCTAATATTTTATTTCTCCAGGGATATTTATTTCAGCAATTAAATTCTAAAAAAAAAAGCGCTCCGAGCAACTGGGAAAAAAAATTTAAAAAGGGGAGTGGGGGGTCAGGTGATTATTTGAGAAAAATATACACCCCTGTATTTCTCACTTGAGAATACTTTTCACAAATTGTTATGTTGCCGTTGACACATTCTTTTTTTTCAGGATACTCCATTGGTAGAGATCTCAAATGATACATTTCTCCAGGTTGGGTTAAATATAGTACACCTGGAGATCCTTAACTCTAGGTAGGTTTAATCTTATGCACTATTCTGATCAATAAGGACAAATTTAATTCCTTTTTCATATGACTAATATCCAGATACAAATTTTAACATTCAAGTGTTTTAGTCAAGGTCTAGAATATTTTTTTTTCAGATTGGAGGTTTTCCCTGCTGGAGCGATACAATACCTTCCTGAACTTCAAGTTCTCATTATAGATTCCAGGTAATTAATCCCTTCCTAATGTTCAAGTTCTCATTATAGATTCCAGGTAATCAATCCCTTCCTAATCTTCAGGTTCTCATTATAGATTCCAGGTAATCTATCCCTTCCTATTCTTCAGGTTCTCATTATATATTCCAGGTAATAAATCCCTTCCTAATCTTCAGCTTCTGATTATATATTCCAGGTAATCAATCCCTTCCTAATCTTCAGGTTCTCATTATATATTCCAGGTATAAATCCCTTCCTAATCTTCAGGTTCTCATTTTAGATTCCAGGTAATCAATCCCTTCCTAATCTTCAGGTTCTCATCATAGATTCCATGTAATCAATCCCTTCCTAATCTTCAGGTTCTCATTTTAGATTCCAGGTAATCAATCCCTTCCTAATCTTCAAGTTCTCATCATAGATTCCAGGTAATCTATCCCTTCCTAATCTTCAATATATTCCAGATAATCAATCCCTTCCTAATCTCATCATAGATTCCAGGTAATCAATCCCTTCCTAATCTTCAGGTTCTCATCATATATTCCAGGTAATCAATCTCTTCCTGAACTTCTTGAAGTTCTCATCTATTGAGGATCTTTAAATCAAATTTATAAAGGGACTGTAAGAGTAATTTCAAGTGATCCTAACTGCAAAAATAAAAAAAGTCCGATTCCAACATTACCATTGAAAGCTTTGTCTGATTACGTTTGAATTATATTTTAATCTTTATAATTTTGAAAACTGTCAATTTCGATTTTGGTTTATCTACAAATGTGACTAACGCATTTTTACGACAGGAAAAAATTTAACAATTATTAGAATTTAAATGTTTAAAGCTAGAAAAACCACAATATCTACTGCAATAATGATCAAATGAAGGTTTCAAGGGTACCGATGTGAATCGGGCATTGACATCACTGCATGGAAGGTGACATGGAAATAGTCATAAAGCTCTTTTTGAAACATGATTTAAATACTTAAAAATTCATCAGGGTTAGCTATATTTGAAGATATAAAAGGCAAATTCTAAAATGATCTGTGCCAAAAAAAGGTTAGGTCAAAACACCTAAAAATGATATGAAAATTCCCGTGTGTTTAAAAACAAGATAAATAAAAAATGAGATTCACAAAAAAAAACAATTTACATTATGACTGAGGCTATGACGACTATGAGCAATATTCTTCTTTTTATCTGAACCATTTTATATCCTTTAATCTCTCTATACAGGCGATATAATCGTAGATAATCCTGTAAATATTAATCTCTCTATACAGGCGATATAATCGTAGATAATCCTGTAAATATTAGGGAAATCATGTTTTCTTTTTTTTTGAATAGGACAATGAATGTAATTGCAGCTTTTAAGAAAAATATTAGTTTTTTAGCTTATTTATACTTAAAATTAATAATAATTGCACTGGAAAAGTTTTTTTTAATGGATTTTTTGGCCAATACCTGTAGATTTGCCTCTAAACTTGTCAATAAAGCATTTTTAGGCCATTTCTGAACTGTCAAAATATTTTCAAATAATATTGTGAAGAGTTTGAAATAAAAAATACTTTAACCACTTCCAGATGTAGCTGACGAAAGGTATAAAAACACGCGTTTTTTTCCCCTTTTTCTAAATATTTGACCATCAAAAACATAAAATCGAAATAAAATTGTCAAAATCGTTTTAACCAAAATGGTATCACTCTTCAAAATCCCCTAAAAATGGACAGTTAACCCTATTTAGCCGAGAATAGTTAAAAAAGGCCAAAAATGGCAAATAAAGAGTAAAATGGTTGGCCCATTTAGGAAAATAATTTTAAAATGCTAAAATTTTGTAATTGAGCTAGATTTACCCTAATGCTTCATAAAAATGTGTCGCACATCTGAGAATTTTTTTTCTGCGGCACCCCCCCCCCCCCCCCCCACCTCAACAATAACTTTCAGTGACGGGCCTGAGCAGAAATCATAGTTTTTGTTGTGTTTGTGCTTAATTTGGTTTGTATCTTGTATAAAACATTCTTTAGAATATGTGTCACCCTATATCCATGTTTTTATATATTCTCTAGTTTTCCTCAATATATTCAGTAAATGCTACCATTGGGATTGCCAGTATTCTTAAAACAGAATAGTCAGACATAGACATGTTTATGAATAGATTAGTCTAAACCATAAAACATGTTTTATACCTTAATCTGAACCATAGACATCGTTTTATATATTAATCTGAACCATAGACATCGTTTTATATATTAATCTGAACCATAGACATGTTTTATAGATTAATCTGAACTTTAGACATTTTTTATAGATTAGTCATAACCAAGGACATGTTTTTATTGATTAATCTGAACCATGAACATTTTTAATTGTAGATTAATTTGAACCAAAGACATGTTAATATATATTAATCTGAACAATAGACATGTTTTTGTAGATTAATCTGAACCAAAGACGTGTTAATACAAATTAATCTAAACCATAAACACGTTAATATAGATTAGTCTGAACCATGAACATTTTTAATTGTAGATTAATTTGAACCAAAGACATGATAATATAGATTAGTCTGAACCATAGACATGTTAAGTTAATATAGATTAATCTGAACCATAGACAGAAATGTTTTTGTAGATTAATCTGAACCAAAGACAGGTTTTTGTTGTCTAATCAAAACTATGGAGTAATCAGATTCATAAACATGTTTTTTTTATTGATCAATCTGAACCAAAACATGTCTCTGTAGATAAATCTAAAACATAGACATGTTTTTATATTTTAATCTGAACCAAAGACATGTTTATATAGATTAATCTGAACCATAGACAGGTTTTAAAGATAAATCTGAACCATTGAGATTACTTTATAGATTAATGTGAACCATTGACATGTTATAAAATTTAAATAGTTAATATCCAAACCAGTATCAAGTTTTTTATAGATTGATATTCGCTTTAGAAAAACAAATAGACATAACTTTCAAAAATCATTTCATAATAAAGTATTTTTAAAAACATTAAATGCATACAAAACAAAGTTTGAAAAAATAATTCGATATTCAGTCGATTTTTGCAAAAAAAAATTTTATTTAACATTATTTTAGTGATTTAAGCTCTATCCCTGCTAACTCCTTTCTGGGGCTTTCAAAACTAGAAACTATTCAGCTTTCAAACTCAAGGTAGGAGAACATTTAAAAAAATATATTTTTAACTTTTCTGACAAGTCTTTTAAGAAAATGTTTTACATAAATTCTAATTTGATTTTTTCCTTTAATCTTGTAATCTATTTCCCGTTTAAAATTGAAACTCGAACATCACAGAGAAATTTATTTTCATAATTTTTTTACAATTTTTTTTTATTTAAAAAAATCTAATTTTAGGATTCAGACACCAGACAAATCCAGCTTTGCAGGTTTTATTTTGAAATATTTGTTTACTTTTGATTGTTAGGAAGGTTATGGTAAGGAAGAAACATGTGTGTTAGGTTAGTTCTGGATGGAAAGTATGTTTAGAAATAGGTACATGTTGTAATAAAAGCTAGATGAGCAGGAAAAGTATGTTATGGAAGAGGCAGTTTTGTTAGGACAAATTATTCTGGAGAGGTTAGAATCCTAACGAGCGGAGAGGCAGATTTGAAACTTGAATTGCTCCTCTCTACTCTGGATGAATATGAAGTTTTGAAACTTAGAAAAGGAATAGTTAGGTTTAACTAGACCCTAGGGAGGAGACAGGAGGTTAAAAGTTCATTTAAACAGGGAACATGAATCCAGAGGTGGGGGGGGGGGTACACCTCTATTTTTAAGAAAATCTATTTTTAAAGATCTTGGATGACAAATTAAAATAATTAAAATTCGAAAGTTAAGTTTTTTTTTCATTTTTCCAAAAATGTATTTATTTTCCCCAATTCAGCAAATAAAACCTATTTTAAGAAAACCCACCTTATGCGAAAAAAAAATTTAACAGGAGGGGGGGGGGCTTGAATTCTCAAGTAAATTTACAATAAACACACCCATTGTCCGCGTCTCAAATCCCCCAAAAACCGGTTTCAATTGAGCGCCGGCTTAAATCTTGAAAAATTTAATACAACTTTAAGTGGAACCAACCATATTTGAGCCGTGGCTTAAATTTAAACCGCAGCTCAAATTTATTAAATTCGGCTTCGTGACTGATAGAATAATTTGAAACGTACCAATTCTTCGTAAGATCGTAAACAGTTAAGGTTTGGTAAATTATGATAAAAATAATGACTGATATAATTTTTTATATACATGAATATATAAAGTTGTATTTATAATGTATAATGTATATTGTATTACATTTAAACACCCTTTTTTTTGTTAAGTTCCGATTAAAATGTCTTGGAATTACTGCAGCTTTATAAGACTTTAAATGATAGTTGAATCGAATGAAACTTAAAATAATGTTTTTTGTTTGTTTATTAGATACGCATTTACTTTTCTTGAATGAAAAAAGGGCGCGAATCACCCTCATTTGAAAATTTAAAATATTTTTTTCTTCATAGGTCAGAGGGGTCTCAAGTTTCTTAGACTTTACAACAACAATATTACTGATGTCGAAAAAGGAACATATGATTTTGGAACATCACTAGAACTACTTGATCTAGCACATAACAGGTTTATATCTAGCACATAACAGGTATATATCTACACATAACAGGTATATATCTAGCACATAACAGGTATATATCTAGCACATAACAGGTATATATCTAGCACATAACAGGTATATATCTACACATAACAGGTTTATATCTAGCACATAACAGGTATATATCCAGCACATAACAGGTATATATCTACACATAACAGGTATATATCTAGCACATAACAGGTATATTTCTACTCATAACAGGTATATATCTAGCACATAACAGGTATATATCTAGCACATAACAGGTATATATCTACACATAACAGGTATATATCTAGCACATAACAGGTTTATATCTAGCACATAACAGGTATATTTTCTCAAAAGAATCTAAATTTAGCAAAAACCAGGTCCATTCCATAAGTTATCTGGCCTTAAATTCGTCCTACTTTACTCTGATACGGAAATAGACTTGAACTCCTTAAACTGATGTTTTTTCTTCAGATAATCTCTCCCACTTTACTCCTTAACTCTGTGGAAACTAATATTATCCGTCCCTCTTTACTCATCTTTTCGGAAACTAATATTATCCGTCCCTCTTTACACATCTTTACGGAAACTAATATTATCCGTCCCTCTTTATTAATCTTTACGGAAACTAATATTATCCGTCCCATTTTACTCATCTTTACTGAAACTAGTATTATCCGCCCAACTTTACTCATCTCTATAAAACTAATAGTTTGCGCCCCACTTTATTCATCTCTATGGAAACTAAAATTATCCGTCGCACTTTACTCATCTCTATAAAAACTAATAGTATGCGCCCCACTTTACTCATCTCTACAGAAACTAATATTATCCGTCCCTCTTTACTCATCTCTATAAAAACTAATATTATCCGCCCCACTTTACTCATCTCTATGGAAACTAATATTATCCGTTCCACTTTACTTCACTATGGAAACTAATATTATCCGTCGCACTTTACTCAATACTCATCTCTTCGGAAACTAATATTATCCGTCCCACTTTACTCCACTACAGAAAATAATATTATCCGCCCCACTTTACTTATTTTTATGTCGAAACTAATATTATCCGTTCCACTTTACTTCACTATGGAAACTAATATTATCCGTCCCACTTTACTCCACTACGGAAACTAATATTATCTGTCCCACTTTACTCCACTACGGAAACTAATATTATCTGTCCCACTTTACTTCATTACGGAAACTAACTTAAATTACCTGTTTTTTTATTCGTCCCATTTAAAAAATCTTCGGAAACTAATTTATAAAACTATTTATAATTCAGATAATCCCTCCTTCTTCACTTTCCTTACTTAAACTAACTTTGACGAACTGTTTTCCTTTAGATTATTTGTCCAATTTTACTCCTCTTCGGAAACTAACTTGAACTAACTATTTTTCTTCAGATTATCCGTCTTGGATCCGGCTTATTTCACTCCACTACGGAAATTGACTTGGCTTAATTTGACCGACAACGGAATAGAAACCTTCAACAGTAGGATGTTCAGTAGAAACCAGTTGTTAGGTAGGTTATTTTTATACGGTCCTCTTATTTTAAAGGGTTATATTTTCTCAACTAGAAAGTAATGATTTCAAAATTTGAACCTTTATAGATTTTAAATTTGAACCTATATAGATTTTGAATTTGAACCTATATAGATTTTGAATTTGAACCTATATAGATTTTGAATTTGAACCTATATAGATTTTGAATTTTTGAAATTAAAAGGAGCAGGTGAAAAATTTGCATATTTGAACATAAGATCCAATTAGATTTATATTAACTTTTTGATTAAACTTGAAATTGAATCAGTTTGATTTAAGTGATCTCTCTCCCCTCATACTTCTCTCATTCTTGGATTTATTCATCTTTGTATAACCCCCTACACCCCCCTTTCATTTTAGAATACATTATATGCTTTCATCCCGACCCCTCGCTCATTGCCTTCAATTCCTTCAATAGTCTTCAAACCCATTTGCCCCAATCTTACAAACCGAGTTTAAACCTCCCCCTCCCCAAATTGGTTCTCTTTCAAGAGGCCCCCCCCTTTTTTCAAGATTATCTTTCCTCTACCTCACCAAACTTTCCTCTACCTCCATCGGCACTTTGAAAATGGAGGGTCGTTATATACTTTGATTTTTATCCATAATTCTTAACTATTTGTTTTTTAGTGAATAAGATTTTAAAAAAGATTAAAGACAAGAGAAAGAGGGGCATTTCCTGTTTTAAATCTAGATCCGCTTAATATTAATTGACAAAATTAATTTTATTATTTCAGCTGTTCTTCATCTTGGTTCTAACAATATAACAAGATTATCTTATTATTTCAGCTGTTCTTCACCTTGGTTCTAACAATATAACAAGATTGGACTCTAGTAGTGTTAAAGGTAATTCAAATATTTATAATGAATATTAAAGACAATAAAAAGTTGAAACCATATTATTTCACTGGTCTATTCTAATTCTAACCTTGCCTGTTTCTAGAGATTTTAAGGTAAAGTATGAGTCAAAGGATGAGACTTCAGTGACGACCTGTAACATGTTAGTTTATTGATCTGAAGGTTGAATTCGATCTTTTGAATTGAACAATGAACAATGAACATGTGCACTGGTTGTTCTGGAAATCATGAATATGTAAAGATAGAATAAATGTTTCACAGCTGTCTCTGAAATCTGAAGCACTGTTTTGAGTAACCCTGAATGTTACTTTTTTATTTCTTGAATTAGTTTCTGAAGTAAATATATTTATATATTTATATATTTATATATTTATTGTTCCCCGTAACTTTAAACTTGTGTCCAAGTTTGTTCTCTGCTTATATATATTGTTGGCAGATTCAACCCTTACCCAGACTAGGAGTAATAATATTCAGATAAAATGAACCAAGAGATAATTCTGATAATTTAAGACGAATTTCTTTTTGTTATCTCATAGAAAATATGTTACATTCAGCTATGGCATAGGAAGACGCCATTAAATGGTTTTCTATTTGGATTGAATGTTGTTTTAAAGAAAATATTTTTACCGTGCAGTAGCTTGAAAAACACCTTTTTTGTTAATTGCACAATTGCCCTGTAATGCTAATAGAACCATTTGAAATTCTAACCGGTTTCTGTATGTCGTCTTCCTACTCTAGAGTTTATTGGTGCCCTGTGATATTACTAAAACCAAGTATTGGGAATATTTATTGTTCTTATAAAAGAAATTGTTCCACGAGATAAGTTTAGCAAATTCTTCAGTAAATCATAGAGTTCACTAATATCATTTTTTGTTTTGTTCGTCTCGTTACGTTTATGTTTCTTGTTTTAGTTGCTCCTCGTATCAAATGATATATTTGGAACAGTATTGAAAGCTTTGACTAATTGCAACCCAGGGTCGGTGCAATTTTTGCTGCAATTTTATGTGTCTGTTTTAATTTAGTTTTCCTGCAGTTTGCTCAGCTAAACTTACTGCTATTCCTATATTTCCTCTGCTGCTTTTTTCTTCAGATTCAACTAAAACATTTTTTCACAAAATCGAATATACCATTTGCTACACATGAATTTACTTGTAGTTTTGCCTCAGCTACCATTTGTTGTTTGGAATTTACTTTAGATATACTTCTTTAATTTAGATATACTTCTTTACTTTAGATATACTTCTTTACTTTAGATATACTTCTGTTAGCTGCATTGATATATTTCTTCCAAATTAAATTTGATTATAGGTGTTTTTCACTTCTCTGCTTATTTAAAATTGATTATCGTAGTTTGGTTAAATTAATGAAAAATGAAACTTCGTGTTCTTAAAAAAATATAATTAATTTTGTTATTAAGCTTTAAATAACAATCCTAAAATTGGTTGCAAACTATTTATTCCGAATTTTGGGCTAATTTTAAAAAATTCTTTTCTCCATTTTTTTTCTGTTTTTCAAGATTAATTTATTCCTGAATTAAATCCATATAATCTCCTTCACTCAGTTTTCATCTTATCTTGTCCCCGTTCTTTACCAAGTCTTTTACAGTTAGATGGGAGGAAGTGATGGTTAGGCAGGAAGATATGGAAAGGCAGGAAAATATGGTTAGGCAGGAAGAGATGGTTAGGCAGGAAGATATGGTTAGACAGGAAGATATGGTTAGGCAGGAATATATGGTTAGGCATGAAGAGATGGTTAGTCAGGAAGATATGGTTAGGCAGGAATATATGGTTAGGCAGGAATATATGGTTAGACAGGAAGAGATGGTTAGTCAGGAAGATATGGTTAGGCAGGAAGAGATGGTTAGGCAGGAAGATATGGTTAGGCAGGAATATATGGTTAGGCAGGAAGATATGTTTAGGCAGGAAGATATAGTTAGGCAGGAAGAGATGGTTAGACAGGAAGAGATGGTTAGGCAGGAAGAGATGGTTAGGCAGGAATATATGATTAGGGAGGAAGAAATGGTTAGGCAGGAATATATTGTTTGGCAGGAAGATATGGTTAGGCAGGAAGATATGGTTAGGCAGAAAGATATGGTTAGGCAGGAAGATATGGTTAGGCAGGAAGAGATGGTTAGGCAGGAAGAGATGGTTAGGCAGGAAGAGATGGTTAGGCAGGAAGAGATAATATATTTATATATTTATTGTTCCCCGTAACTTTAAACTTGTTTCGTTCTTCGTGAAGTCATAAATATTACAATTAAAAGATTTTGCGCAAGGCTGAGGGTTTGGAGTTGTCATATGTTATGAGATTCCGGTCGTCTTTACAGTCTCTTCCTTTGTGGGTAACCCTGTATTCTAATTCGATTCATGTCTTTTCAAGTGATTTAATTGGTTAATTTTGAGGTATAGTGTGAAGGGTGAGACTATAATGACGACCTAAAACATTTAAAGTTTTATGATCTGAACGTTGTAATGAAGTTGCATCCTTAGTGGATGATAACCCTTTATGTTTACTCTAGACTTAGCTTGAATTAATTAAGTATTGAATAGTTTTAATATTACTATTTAGGTATGAGATACCTTCGCCGGTTATACCTGGAAGATAATCAAATAGCTAGTATTGGGAGACAAGCCTTTAATAATCTCAGGTATCAAAACTTTTTCTTTGCCCTTTTCTCAACAAATTAATTTTATGCAATAATTGAGTATACTCTAATATTCACTGCTATATAGTAACTTAGCAGAAAATCAAAATTTTCAAGATTTTCTTATATTTTTCCGTTTTTTACATAATATATTTTAAAAAAGTTAATTTAAGTCGAATGTTTACATCTATCACCTCAAAACATCCTTCCCATCAGAGGAATGATTTTTAAGGATTTACAATTTACGTACTTATATTTTGTTTGTGACAGGGTCAGCGGAATATACTTGTCTGGAAACCAGCTGACTGAAATACCTTATCAGGTAATATTTATTAAAAACCTTAAGATTTTTTTCTCAATCTTACATAAATCAAAGAAACTCGAGAATTATTAATCACTTAACTGTTTTTTTTAGATATTTGATGGTCTTACATATGTGGACACTCTAGATGTTTCTAGAAACCAAATAAAAAAGGTAGTTTTTAATAAAGTGTATAGTGCAAATTCCAAAAAATTGGTATTTTTAGGGTAAGGTTATCTTTTACCTTTTAAATGTTAATTTACAAGTCGTCCTTCTTTCATTGTACTAAAACTTTCGCGGATTTTTCGTTTGTATCGGTGAATTTTCAAAAAAACGCATTTCTCCCAGGCCACATTTTCAAATTATTCAAGCAATTATCCCTTTTTGAGTTGTGAGTAGGGTTGCTATTCGGTTTTGAAAGCGATTGTTAAACAATTGTTTCTTGTTTTGTTTTTCAATCGTTTTCAAAAACGATCGTTTCGTTTTCAGAAAAAAAACGATCGTTTTTAAAAACGACCCACTCATTCTGAACTTTTAGAAAACGAATAACGATCGTTTTTGAAAACGATCGTTTTTATAACAACGATTTGCGACCGTTTTTTATGCGATTGTTTTTTTATAAAAACGATCGCTTTTGAAAAAACGATCGTTTTAGAACAATAAAATTTTATTGACAATTATGTTAACTAAGGATCGTCGTTAACGATCGTTAACGAAGGTTTGTCATTAAAGATCGTTAACGAAACGACGAACTTTATAAAAATGGTCGTTTTTGAAAAAACGATCGTTGTGAGTTTCCAAAAAGAATTGAACCCGAGTGGTTTAGTAGCCTTATGAAGTTTTTAGGCCACAGTCCAGGATAGATAGATATATAGATATGTGCTGGGAAAATATCTTCCCCTGATTTTCTATGGTTTCTTATCCAAGTCTTTCTGCAGATTAAAGAGAATTATGAAATTTAAATTCTTATCAGATGTTAAGAAAATTTGCATTTTTAACTTCTTATACTATATATTTGAATTTATGAACATGATATTTTAGCTTCCAGTTTGAATTTTATATTTATTTTTACTAAGTTGTTTAAAAAATGAATTTGAAGCTTATTATAATGAACACTGTACACTGTACAGTGTACAGTGTTCAGAGCTCAAAACTTAAGACAGCGTATCGTTATGAAAAACAGTTTTGGAACCCGGGTTTTACGAATGGGGTTAACTAGTTTTGTGGACATCAATATTTTTGTGATGAAATATTATTTTATTTTATTTCTTCTTATTCTCCATTTTTTAAAATCTCTTAAATCAAAATCTACACAAAAGTTAAGACCCCCAAAAAGGAAACTCTGGAGTTTCGTTCAACGATACTCTTTTAAATTTCAGACTCAGTTATATTATTGGGTACACACTCCACAAAATATTATAAAGCAGACACATTTGATGCAAAACACAAAATGTTTAACAAACACATATCTGATGCAAAACACAAAATGTTTAACTAACACACATCGATACAAAACATAAAATGTTTAACTAAAACACATCTGATGCAAACACACAAAATGTTTAACTAACACACATCTGATGCAAAACACAAAATGTTTTAATAAAACACATCGATACAAAACATAAAATGTTTAACTAACACACATCTGATGCAGAACATAAAATGTTTAACTAACACTCATCTGATGCAAAACACAAAATATTTAACTAACACACATCTGATACAAAACACAAAATGTTTAACTAACACACATCTGATGCAAAACACAAATGTTAAACTAACACACATCTGATGCAAAACACAAGATGTTTAACTAACACCTATCTGATGCAAAACACAAAATGTTTAACTAACATACATCTGATGCAAAACACAAAATGTTTAACTAACACATATTTGATGCAAAACCCAAAAAATGTTAGCTAACACACATCTGATGCAAAACACAAAATGGTTAACCAACACACATCTGATGCAAAACTCAAAGGCTATAGCACACATCTGATGCAAAACAAGAAGTAAAAGACACTTTGTGCTGGTTTTGCACTTTTGTAAAGTGCAGACCTAAAGCGTTCTTCTTTTAAAGATAGACTTCCTCAAAATCCTTGATTTCTCTCTTCAAAACTTCTACCCCAATATTGAATTACGTCGGAGAATAGAATTTTCTTTAAAGATTTTTTTTTCAAAAGAACTAAGATTAAGCATGCTTTCTCATGAAACATGAGAAGTAATAAAAAAGTTGTAAAGGAAGAGGGGGGGGGGGTCGATCCAAGTAAATATTTTACCTTAACTTTCAAATTAAAAATTTATTTTAACTTTTCCGGGTTTAGATCTGAGCTGTGATATGACTTTAAATTCATAGAAAGAATAACTTTTCATTGTTTTTATTAATCATTATATTCTCTAGGTCTCTACAAGTTCCTTTGGTGGTTTGTACCAGGCAATTGTTAATATGTCCCACAACCAAATAGGAAAACATTGTTATTTTCATTTTTAATTTTATGTTTAATTAGCTGAAGGGCTCGGCGTTGCCCGAAAAAATTTTGAATTTTGAGATAAAAAATTTCGAATTTTGGAGAAAACTAAAAAAATTTATTTTGGAAAAAAAAAAATTTAATTCAAAAAGGCAAATTTTTTAAGTCTATGTTAATCCCAGGGTACTCTTTTCAAGGGTAATCAAGGGTTACCGAAAAAAATTCAGCCAATTTGGTTCAACCATTTGGCCAGCTATAAACAACGAACACAGAAATAAATCTAGGGGGAGCAACACATTTGTTGGTCCCCCGTAAGAGCTTCGAAGGGCGAGGAGGCAAAATTTAAACTGTAAATTCAAAACATTTGACTTCTTGGATACTTTTAAGGTACTGCATACAGTCCGATTACCTTGCAAGTACTACTTTATTTCTCCTTTAAACAAAAAAAAAAACAGCAAACTATTTTTTTTCGTTCTTTAACTCTTCAGTTTCAGATTTGAAAAGTGTTATTTATAACTCTGAGTTCTAGGGGGGCACTGCCCCTTGCCACCTCCCCTGTGTACGCGATTGACTGTAAATATATATGTATTAGCGATGAGCTTATCTCCATTTCCCCTTTTGTTAGGTGACATTTTATGAAAGTTCTTTTTTCCAAAAAAACTTAAATTGAACTTTAATTTTCTATTTTGAACTACTTTTTTTGACTGGTTCCTGAAAAATTTGTAAATAGAGAAAGGAAGTTATTAATTTGGATGACATTTACCTTTTTTTTTATCAAAAGTATATTAAAACAATGTTGACTGTTATCAGGTGAACTTGTTGACGGAACATTTACAGAGTGTAGAAATTTTTCGCTAGATTTGTCCTACAATAACCTTACTAACATTCAACAGGAACAGTACAATATTAATTTTACTGGCTATTAAACATTGTATTTTTTGGCACCAATATGTGTGTGGGTTGTTTTTCAAAACCCCAAATTTTGGAAGGTTTAAAAAAATTGTTAAAATGAAGAAAAATTATGAATACAAGATTAGGAGGCATCGAGTCTTATTGTTCTTGCTAAAGGAAGCGTTTGATGAAGTCAGCTACACTTTCCTTCTCAACATTTCCCACAATGCGCTTACCAATATGTCTCAGGTAAACCAGCTCACTAATTGGCCCCAGGTAAACTAGGTCATCATTATGTCCCAGGTAAACCAGGTCATCAATATGTCCCAGGTAACCCAGGTCATCAATATGTCCCAGGTAAACCAGGTCATCAATATGTCCCAGGTAAACCAGCTTACCAATATGTCCCAGGTAAACCAGGTCACCAATATGTCTTAGGTAAACCAGCTCACCAATATGTCCCACATAAACCAGCTCATTAATATTTTCCAAGGTAAACCAGCTCACCAATAAGTCCCATGTAAACCAGCTCATTAATATGTCCTTGATAAACCACCTCACCAATATGTCCCAGGTAAACCAGCTCATTAATATGTCTTTGATAAACCATTTCACCAATATGTCCCAGGTAAACCAGCTCACCAATATGTCCCAGGTAAACCAGCTCACCAATATGTCCAAGGTAAACCAGTCCACCAATATGTCCCAGGTAAACCAGCTCACGAATATGTCTCAGATAAACCAGCTCACCAATATGTACCAGGTAAACCAGCTCACCAATATGTCCATGGTAAACCAGCTTACCTATATGTCCCAGGTAAACCAGCTCACCAATAGGTCTCAGATAAACCAGCTCACTAATATATCCTTGACTAACCAGCTCAACAGTGTCCTGGGTAAACCAGCTCAACAATCTGTTCGAGGAAAACCAGCTCACCAATATCACAGGTAAACCAACTCACCAATATTTTCCAGGTAAACCAGCTCACCAATATGTCCAGGTAAACCAGCATACCAAAATGTCCCAGGTAAAAAATATAAAAAAATATTGTTGAGAGTCTCTTCATTTTAGATCATTACATTTAAAGCTATGTCTCCAGAAACTAAGAATTTAATAAAAACATTTGTTCACAAATTTTTTATATCTGCACTTTGCAGTCTCTGAGGGCTGTGTAAAAAATGATAAGCTAAAGCATTCGTGACTGAATTTTATTTTTTTTAATATTTTATCTTTAAAATTTCTGATGAATAGACAAAAATTCTGCACAAACACTAGGTTTAGAGCAAAAACTCTTAAGTCCGAGAAAACCTTTTCAATTTTAGATTTCTTTTATCATCAGTGTATTTAATTCATGGAGAGTTGAAAAGCCAAATCAGCAACTTTCTTTTTTATTTTATTTTCCTGAACTTATGAATCATGTGTATCTTTGATTAAATTGTAAAACACGACCTTAAATAATTGTTGTTAAATATTATATTTTAACCTTTAACTATCATTTTGCTCTAGGATTTATATTTAAATGATTGTTTTTATTTGCATGAAGTCGAGGTTTTTCATTTTAAGGTGCCTTAAATCATTTTATGTAGATTCTTCAATGTTTTTTTCTGATTTCTATCTCTGGTTTCTATGTCGTCATTTGTGTTATCATTGTTTTGAGCTAAAGCTGCTAGGGTAGGAGGGTTATAACCTGTTTTCACAACTCTTAAGACTGCTCTTAATCTCTTCTCGTCTGCTGGTTGTCACTCTGACCTTTCCGCATAACAATAATTAACAATGATTGTGTAAACTGCATGTCAAGGTTCCAATGAAGTATCAGAGTGGTATTAGATTGAAAGTTATTGTATAAACTGCATGTTTAGGCTCTAATGTGATATCCAGAGTTATATAAGATTAATAATGATTGAATAAACTGTTGTTAAGGTTCCTATGAAGTATCAGAGTGGTATAAGATCAACAATGATTGTTTAAACTGCATGTTTAGGTTCCAATGTGATATCCAGAGTTATATAAGATTAACAATGATTGAATAAACTGCATGTTTAAGTTCTGATGAAGTTTCATATAAGTATGAGATCAACAATGATTTAATAAACTGTTGTTAAGGTTCCAATGTAGCATCAGAGTGGTATAAGATCAACAATGATTGTATAAACTGCATGTTTAGGTTCCTATGAAGTATCAGAGTGGTATAGGATTAACAATGATTGAATGAACTGTTCTTTAGGTTCCAATGAAGTATCAGAGTGGTATAACAGTTCTAGATTTATCATATAATTTGATTCAGGAGATTCCTAGGGTAACATTTTTTTTTCATAAATTGTTTTGTTATAATTTCTATAATAACTTTACTTTTACCGCTTTTTTACCTACATGACCTATGAATCAGAGGTACGCTTAGTTACTTTATTTACCTTAGGACAATTAAGTAAAATAAGGACCCGCTCTGTGAAGTTATTATGAAATAAATCCCTTATGTTCATCTCAAAAGACGATAAAATTGTATAAACTACTTTTTTACAACTTCTCGACTAATTTTGCATCAAAATATCCCTTGATGCGTTTTGGATGTTTTGTAGGCAAAATTAGACTTGGGAACCCTTGTTAAAGTAAAATTAGACTTGGGAACCCTTGTTAAAGTAAAATTAGACTTGGGAACCCTTGTTAAAGTAAAATTAGACTTGGAGTCCCATTTATTATAGATTTGCACTCCAACTGAGAAACTGCTGAATCATCTGAAGATAGTTAAACTCAATAATTTTAGAATTCGTTTCCTAAACTGTATGAGCTGCACACTATATCATTCCGACACAATCAGCTGACCGATATATTCAGGGCTGTCTTCTCCCCGTTATTCAGTATTAGGTGATTTTTTTCCTTATTTTAGATTTAGCTAGAAATTAAACATTATTTTATCTCAATTTTCAAGAAGTAAATGCTCGATCAAAAAAAAAAATCTTAGAAATAAATTCTATTCAAACATTTGAAAGAAAGTCACTATTTTTATTTTATCTCTTCAGATTCACAAAGTAATATTTCTAATATAAAATTAACAATATCCGCGGCCATGCCAGGTTTTTCACTATAATATGGCCCTTCTGTTTCAACCGTTTGTTATTTCTTGAGTTTACAGTTGAACGTGAGTGAGTGATCATTCCATTTTTCATTTATTTTAGGTATTTAGATTTCAGCTACAACAAGTTAGAACAGATTGAATCCTCAACTTTCGGTATTATTTTCTTCAATATTTATTATGTTTAGGTTTCTCTGGTAATATTTGGTCCTTGTTTATGCTTTTTTCAGTGTTCAAGATTCGGATCCTTAGCATTTTGTTCCCAATTAGCATTACGGTTTCAACAATAAAAAAGAAATAAAAAATGTTGTAGACTTTGTAAAATAATAATTGAAGATGTTTTTTTTAGAAAACGGTTCTTCAAATCAGGGGGAAAACATTTTTGCTATCCACTTCTTACTTTTCACTATTTATTTTTCTGTGTGTGCTATGTACTGATTATATTGGCTGAAGTTAAGATGATGCACTCTAAGTATGATTTTATCCTGGGTGCCCCTGTGTGTGCTATGTACTGATTATATTTGCTGAAGTTAAGATGATGTACTCTAAGTATGATTTTATCCTGGGTGCCCCTGTGTGTGCTATGTACTGATTATATTGGCTTAGGTTATGATGATGTACTCTAAGTATGATTGTATCCTGGGTACCCTGTGTGTACTATGTACATGATTATATTGGCTGAGGTTAAGATGTGTACTCTAAGTATGATTGTATCCTGGGTACCCTGTGTGTACTATGTTCTGATTATATTGGCTGAGGTTAAGATGATATGTACTCTAAGTATGATTGTATCCTGGGTACCCTGTGTGTACTATGTTCTGATTATATTGGCTTAGGTTATGATGATGTACTCTAAGTATGATTGTATCCTGGGTACCCCTGTGTGTACTATGCACATGATTATATTGGCTGAGGTTAAGATAATGTACTCTAAGTATGATTGTATCCTGGGTACCGTGTGTGTACTATGTACTGATTATATTGGCTTAGGTTATGATGATGTACTCTAAGTATGATTGTATCATGGGTACCCCTGTGTGTACTATGTACATGATTATATTGGCTGAGGTTAAGATGATGTACTCTAAGTATGATTGTATCCTGGGTACCCCTGTGTGTACTATGCACTGATTATATTGGCTGAGGTTAAGATGATATGTACTCTAAGTATAATTGTATCTTAGGTACCCCTGTGTGTACTATGTACTGATTATATTGGCTTAGGTTAATATGATGTACTTTAAGTATGATCGTATCCTGGACCCCTGTTAGTACTATGTACTGATTATATTGGCTTAGGTTAATATGATGTTACTCTAAGTATGATTGTATCTTGGGTACCCAAGTGTAGTATTGATTATATTGGCTGCGGTTAAGATGATGTACATAAGTATGATTGTATTTTAGGTACCCCAGTTTGTGCTATATACTGATTATATTGGCTTAGGAATTAAGATGATGTACTCATAAGTATGATTGTCGTATCCTGGACCCCTGTGTGTACTATGTACTGAGCTGGGAACTTTAGAATGGTGGATATCGGGATTAATGCTTGATCCACTCTTTTTCTTAATCTCCAGATTAAATATTGCTTGTTGTCCTCATGAATTTAATCTCCAGATTAATTAACAGATCGGGATTAAGGATATCACATTCAAAAGTTCCCAGCTCTGATAATATTGGCTTAGGTTAAGATGGTGTACGGGTGCCCCTGAGTGTACTATGTACTGATTATATTGGCTGAAGTTAAGATGATGATGTACTCTAAGTATGATTGTATCCTGGGTACCCCAGTGTGTACTATGTACTGATTATATTGACTGAGGTTAAGATGATATGTTCTCTAAGTATGATTGTATCCTAGGAAAGTTGCCAACTGTGCTAGAGCTGGACTTGTCCCATAATAATCTTACAAGGAACGGAAACCATGAATCATAATCTAATGGTGGATCTGGATCTGTTCTCATTGCAGTATTACAAATATATATAAAAAACATTTATCTATTTACAGCTACAGATTCCATACTTAAAGTTGCATTAGCAGTCCCTCTTTTTCTTAGACTTGAGTATATATTATTGCTATAATTTTATAATTTAGATGTATCAACATTAACAATCTTGTTTTTTTTTGTTTTTTTTTAAATTTACAATTTAGATTTTTCAGATTCTTTGATTTCTCGGATAAATAAAAAAGTTGTGACTTTTTGGGCGTTTTTAATCTTCATTCTTAAATAATTTTTGAATTTTCGGTTCTAGTACAATATGATAACTAAGAATTATACTTACAATATGAAAAATAAAAACGTTAAAGTCAAACAATTGCTAATAAAAATTCTTCATCTTCAAATGTTTTCCTGAATAGTATAAAACGAGGAGGACTATCAGGACTACAGAGTCTCCGAACACTTTACCTAGACTATAATCTACTTGATGAAATACCAAGGAATATATTATAATCGACTTGATATAAAATAAAAATTTGAAGTTTAATGAATTAATTTTCTAGTGGTGGTACAGTTTTTGTTTTTAGAATTAGAAAGGATATTTTGAAATTTGCTTTATTACACTAAAAATGTCGTCGATTTTTTTTCATCTACAAATAATATTTTCAGTTATTGGCTTGTATTATCTTTTTAAAGATCTGTAATATAGTTTTATTAAGGTTGTATTGTCGTATCACTCATACTTTTAAAACTTTTCTTGAAACATTGCTTTTTAAGAAAAAGTCATTTTATATTTTTCTGCATACAAAAATGAGTTAACCTTAAAAAAATTAGCCATAGAACTAATTGTCTATTTCTAAGGCCTATTTAGTTTATATGTTTTGGTTTCTTAGACATTGTGTATTTCTTTAGTTTCCATGTTTCTTTATTTTGTTTTTATTTATGTTGACTGTTGTTACAAATGTAATATAATGTAATCTTGTCCCAGTCCGCCGATTTCTCTAAACCATCTTCATATCTCCCACAACCAGGCTAGATTTATATTATTATATTTTAAATTGAGAAGGAGGAGGGAGGGGGGGCGTAAGGGGATTATGGACTTAAAAAGGAAATTGCAATATTTTTATGTGCTATATTTCTTGAAAAAGAATCTAATGATATTTGATCATAGTGCATGAAGACTTATAGGAATGTCCATATATAGAATTTCAATAAAAAAGTATAAACATGATTTTTGTCCTCTGGAACATTCATAGATTCAAGATTTGAGTGAATGAATATATAAAACAAACATTTTAATATATTAATCTCCATGTTTAGATAGTTGATATTAAAGGCAAACAGTCCTGGCCCGTCATGAATTCTTTGATCTCTTTGAGTAAGTTAAATTATTTCAACTACAAATTCAGGGCGCGTCTTCCAGCTTTTTAAAAGTGTTTTCTTAAACATAAATTTAATTTTTTTTATTTTGAGAGGTTAGCTTTTCAGTATGTTGTTAGATTTACTTTAATTCATACTCAAGGTTAATGATTATAGGTTTAGTAAAATTTTGTTAAAATTCAAATTTGTTCAAGTAATGAAAAGTAGATATTATAGAATTTAAAACAAACATGAAAATAAAGGATATATTTGGTGTGTGTTAACTCAAAAAGTTCTTATCCTTGTTCTGAAGTTGAACAAAAAACATTTTCTATAATACTTCTTTTGGAAAATAAAAATTCTGATCAAACTCTTAAGACAAAAAAATTGTAAAAATGTTTTATTTTTATGTTATTTGTTTTTCTAGATTTGGACAATAATCTTATTGGAGATAATCTGGAGGGAGGAAAATTTGACAATCTCAATAGTTTGCAGTACCTCAGGGAACAAGAAAACATAAACAAAAACATGGGAAATCTGGCAGAATCTAGCAATTTATTATGTCCAGAACATCATAAGTTCTTAGATAATTGATACAACTTTCTTGCACTGCAACCAGATACAACTTTTACCTTTTAATCTTTGTCTAAATAAACAATTTTTTATCTCCTTCTTTCTTTATGTCTGTTTTAGTGGGCTTTGAAATTTAAGTTTTAATAATTACTCTAAGCATTTATTTTCTTGATTTTGCTTTACCTTGTAAAAGTTTTTTTAAACAACTTTTTTGTTCTTTTTTAGTTTAAAATACAATAACATCAGGTAAGAGTTATATTTAATTTGTGTGAATATGTAAATTTTTTATTAAAGTTTAAATATTCTTATTAATACAGACTATGTACGTGATACATTTCATTTGCCGGACCCACATGAAATGGTCGGAAATTTAAGAGAAAGAATTTTTAACATTATTTTTTTTAACCCAAAGTGAATAAATACTTAATTGGAACAGACAGAATAAATACGACTATTCGGGTCATTGACTATTATTTGGTTTAGCATACTTTCCAAATTATTGTTGCGATTTATATTGTCGTCATTATAACTTGCAATATACCAGATGGAAAAATTATTCTCATAAACTTTATACAGGGTGTCATACATCAAATTAGACTGCGGCAATGGGTCTAAATTGCGATTTGGGGGACAAATCAGAAAATTTAATATGAATGAATCATTTTGAAAAAATTAATAAGGCTAATAGAAAAATTTTCTTACAGAAAATGCTTGGTTTTTCGAGTATTATGTGCGTATTTTGGCGTTAAAGATTGGAGATAATCTAATATGATATGGGACGCTCTGTATGATATTCACTAACCAAGATTTCCTTCTATGCAATGAGTATATTACAATGATAGACATCTACTCTCTTCAAATAGCTTAGACTTTTGATTCGAAATTTTAATCGCAACATTTATTAAAAGTAATAAATTAAAGACTTTTTCTCTCGCTACAATAAAGACTTGAATGTTTAATTCGCTCCTACTCAAATTTGCACTACATAATGAAAAAAAATTTAATTAAAATATTTATTTGATAACAATTTGTTTTATCAAGCAGAGCCGTTATTTTAAAATTGGTAATAAGTTATGAATGTAAGAAGATTATAGAAGTGTTCATCTTTCTGAATATAATAGGACAAATGACTGCCAGTGTGTTGCTTGTCTGGTCTTGTAGAAATTCTTTAATCTTCTAAGATATAAGACTGTTAAAATCACATTTGAATACCTATCAATGCAGATTCTGGGTTCAAGACGTTTCTATGCAGCTTTGTTTTTTTAGCACAAGTCAAGCTATAGGCATTTTTTAATTACCAATTATGCATATTACAGACTTTTCACAGTAATATGAATTTGTCAACAGTCATTTAAGCCTTCATATTTTCGTTCTTTAACATATTTTTGTTGATTCAAATTTCACATAATATCTAAGTGCAAGTTTGTAAACAAAGGATTGATTTCAGTTTTCAAAAAAAAGATTGTCTTTTTTGTTTCATTTGTCACGCTCAAAACAAATCAATCATTTTTTTTTTAATTGTAAATGATCCATCCCTAAGTGGAACTTTTGAACAGTTTAGTGGTGACTAAAAGTGTTCTGTCAAGTATCAAGTGCCATTTTAAATTAATTTTGACATATTCCAATTATTTTGGTTAAGTTCAGAAAAATAAGATAAATTAACTTCTTATCAAATTTAAATGTTGGATCCTAAACACTGCCTTGTACTAAGTTTTGTTGTTGTTCATACTTTAGGGTCAGGAAGTGTATGTACTCGTGCATTATGTTATATGATAAGAAAATACTAACATATTTTACACTTAGATGATGTATCACATTCTTATCTAAACATAAGAAAGAAAACAGAATCCCTGAATCTATGATTTTTTAAATTTTGATACTAAATTGAAGATTTTTTTATTCATCAAATTGAGGGGGGGGGGGGGACAATTTTGCATATTATAAAATCAGAGACTTTAGAAGGTAAGTTTTGTTTCTGCATTTGAGCTTACAAAACATTTCCTTTTTATCTAAAGATGCATCATGTTTCTCAGTTTTAATGTAATTTTTTTTGCTAGATAATTTCATAATTTCCATTAAATAAATGCTTTTTAAATAAACATTTGAGAATACTATAAAGAATCTAAATTACTTCTATTTCTATGACTTAGTTGACTTTGAAATTTTTTAGAGTTTTACTCAACACCAGAACTAAGAAGTATTATGAGCAAATATGACCATTGACCATACCTCTTGTACCACAACCAATATGTAATTGTAAATAGCCTGTAGATATGTGAAGATCCATTCCACTTACTTGTTTTTTAAATAAAAATTAAAAAATGAAAACATGGCGTTGCATCATTCAGTAAGTCATCATTACCATGCCTTATTCTCACAAATTTCAACTTTGGCCATTAACAAAACAAATTAAATTGAATTTATCTAGTAAAGATTTCCAGTAAAGAATAGGGTTAATTTGTACTTATAACAGGGCACACAGCTGTTTGGAGGGCACACAGCTGTTTGGTAAATTTGCCTTTTTTTGGTTTGCTTGTTATTCGGATTTTAGTAAAGAAATTATCCATTAGTTTAAATGATGTTTTGGAATTATGAAAAATGCATGTTTTTGCCTGAGGTCAGGAGAGCTGATACGTACCTTCAAATTTGTAAATTTTACTAACATGATAAGAACGTATGTTTACTTTTCCTATAAAATGAGAAACATTATCTGGCAATTTTAGTTCTCAGGAAACAGTTTAGGGACATGTTTCTATTTAAACTTTTTCCTTTGCTGAGTATTGTGGTGGCGGCAGGAGAATGGCCAGCCTTGAAGACTACTTGGGGATTTAACATTTTTGGATCAGCTTTCCATGATCGTCCAAGAACTGTTGCTGAAGCAGAAAAGGATGGATGGACCTTAATAGGATCCTGTGATGGACAATGGTTGGGACACAGATATGCAGATCCTGCAGATCCCTCTCTACTCATGATTTATGATGATGCTGGATATATTGCAGGTGTTCAATCTGGTCTTCTGAAATCTGATGTAGATGAATCTGTTGGAAACTTTGCCAATCTCCCAATCTACCAGTCTGGAGACTTTTTTGGAGAGCCAGCTTACTTCACCACCGCATACTTTGTTGACCCTGAGGTTATCTGCAATGGGGGCAGGACTGAGGATGATTTCAACAGATTTGGCACTGGAGACAGACTTCTCTTTCAGGTTGGAGCCACTCCTGACCAACTATATGCAGCTCCTCTTACTCAGGATGAAGCTGATGCTAACTCTGACTGGTATGACCATTACTGCTTCCTTGGTATGGGTGATCACTATATACAGTACAACTACACCCCAGATCAAGATTGTGCAGCTGTTTTACCCATTCAGGTCCTTTATGATCAGGGTGTTTTGAATGGATTTGTGTGGCAGCATCTTGCTGGGCTTCCTGGTGATAAATGGGAACATCCTGATGAAACTGCTATTGGAGCAATCATTGACCGTCCACCAACCTGTCTTCTTGACTCAGTTGCCTACCCTGGACTTTCAACAATGCATCATTACTTCTACTCCTACCCTTGGTTGGTTCTCTGTCCTCTCAAACATGACAGAGGAAGCTTAAATGGATATAAAAAAGTTATGAAAAAGTAATTTTATAAATGGATGTTTTTCTTAAGTTTATAAATTTCTACAAATTTTAGAATAAAGTTTCACTAGTCACTTCATTTTTTTAAATGTTAAGTAGGGCGTCACTAACACTCTGATTAAATTTGGTAGATTTATTTTTCTCAGGGGAAAAACTGAGAACCCTTCAGTAGTCTCCAGAAGTCTTCAAATATTAATAAAATAATTAATTCCATGAAAATAGATTTAACATGAACATTAGCCAAATTGATTGAAATTTTTTAATTCTGCTGAAAACCCTGCATTGCATGCCATGATTTAAAATGACTTCTTTCTGATAACATCATTGTGGATTCGCAAATTTTTTTTAGAGAGGTCGGTAAATGACAGATTTCTTAATTGCCAATTAAGGAATTTAGAAATTTTTTAAATTTAGAAAAACAGAAATAGAAGTTTTTAATCCCAATAAGGTTATAGACTTCTTAATACTAATTGTGTCTCAAAAGCTATTGTATTTTGTTGAGATTTTTCGAAAAAAAAGCATAAACATGTTAAAGCCAAAAAGTTTTCATTAGAGATCAAAATGTAGGCAATCAAAACAGAATAGCAGTGGCTCAGAGATGATGGTTATAAGGAGAGTTATTCTTCAACTTTCACAGGGATCATGGCAGCTCTGCCTCCTTTTGTAGGCGTTTTGACCATAGATGAATAAATAAACATAGATAGCTTATGTACACAAAATCACCAAGAATTGTACAGTCTGCGAACTCATACTTCTAGGGGTCAAAGTGTACTTCAATGATAAGCGGGGTGGTTTGGTGTTTTATAGAGTGTAAAATAACTGCGGGAATGGAACTATTTGAACAACAATATTTCACTGAGGAATATATCATATTGACAAGAACTGAAGAAGGACATGATAAGGACTAAACTAACTTAAATTTCTCTCTACAGAACTCATGTACACCACAAGTACTCAATGACATAAGAACAGCCAATGTTCACAACCGACCTAGTTAATCTATATAATGGAATATCTTTAAAACATCTCTTTACATTTATATCTTTCAAGATGAAAAATGTTGTCTTATGCACACTCTATCTTTATCTATAGTTTTGACCCAGCCGCAAGCATTTATTTTGGTCTTTTTGGCATGATGTCAGTTGATTTTGTTATGTAATGTGATTTAAAAAATCATAAAATGTTAGTTACAAAAATACACTTTTCTTTTAACTGTAATTTGAAAATATCTGCCACCTTTCTTCTGCTTAGTTTTATAATCTGCAGTATCCCAGAACACAATAATTCTAACTTTGTTTCATTGTTTTGGCAATTTGTGTTCATTGTTTATTTATTTGTTTTCACAGCTTGTTTTATTTGATAAAACTAAGATTATATTTCCTTGTTTGTTTGTTATCCTACAAAACTTTCCTCCAGCCACTATAAATTCTAATTTTTTCTTCAGCAATGTAATAACAATATTTTTCTTTGTATTTAAGAACAAAGCTTAATCTCATGTTTTTTTTGGCACACAAGTGCATTTATTGCCTCCTCTGTATTTAAAAGCAGAGCACTCTAGGCAACGTTGTCTTATATAAAAGTTCATTTCCAATTTTATATTTTTCTGAAAAATGCTCTCATTCATAGTAAAAAAATCCTCTTTTTCATTACATTGTTTTCATGGTTAATGTAAGATCTTAAAACAAATTCACCAAATATTAATAGATTTAAATGGACTAAAATGTAATACCAAATATTAATATGTTTGAATGGACTAAAATGTAATACCAAATATTAATATGTTGTAATGGACTAAAATGTAATACCAAATATTAATAGATTTAAATGGACTAAAATGTAATACCAAATATTAATAGATTTAAATGGACTAAAATGTAATACCTAATGTTAATATGTTTCAATGGACTAAAAGGTAATACCAAATATAAATAGATTTAAATGGACTAAAATGTAATACCAAATATTAATGATGTAAATGGACTAAAATGTAATACCAAATATAAATAGATTTAGTGGACTAAAATGTAATACCAAATATAAATAGATTTAAATGTACTAAAATGTAATACCAAATATTAATAGATTTAAATGGGCTAAAATGTAATACCAAATATTAATATGTTTTAATGGACTAAAATGTAATACCAAATATTAATATGTTTAAATGGACTAAAATGTAATACCAAATATTAATAGATTTAAATGGGCTAAAATGTAATACCAAATATTAATAGATTTAAATGGACTAAAATGTAATACCAAATATTAATATAGTTAAATGGACTAAAATGTAATACCAAATATTAATATATTTAAATGGAATAAAATGTAATACCAAATATTAATAGATTTAAATGGGCTAAAATTTAATACCAAATATTAATAGATTTAAATGGACTAAAATGTAATACCAAATATGAATAAAGTTAAATGGACTAAAATATTAATATATTTAAATGGACTAAAATGTAATACCAAATATTAATAGATTTAAATGGAATAAAATGTAATACCAAATATTAATAGATATAAATGGAATAAAATGTAATACCAGATATTAATAGATATAAATGGACTAAAATGTAATACCAGATATTAATAGATTTAAATGGACTAAAATGTAATACCAAATGAACCTTCATTTTTAAAAAGTGGCTTTAGCTTTTTCTGGATATCCATTTCCTTTTTTTTTGATAATTAATAATTCTCAACTTTCTACATCGACCACAATTTTTTGTTACAAAAAATATTGTCCTTGTATGATGCCCACACTTAACTGTAAAGTTGAAAAGCTTTCTCTGGATACATTTCTATCCATTTTATCGTAATGGAAGCTCAACTTTTTCTCTAGGATAATATTTGCTCACCTCTCAACGTTTGCAAGTTCTTATACTAAAGTTTACACAAGGTGATAAATAAATAAATAAATCCCTGTTCCTAACTTTTCATAACTTTGCCTTCACATAGAATAGGGAAAGGAAGGAAATTTCTGCTGCACATGTCATCAGTTTTTTTACAGTAAAATATGTGTTTTTCAGATCATCTGTTGGAAAAAAAATGCTGGGACTTCTCATAAACATCCAAAGCATAAAATGCTTATCTTCTAAGAGCTTGACTTGATTTTTTATCTTTGAACAGATATTTATACAGAACGATAAATTTAATTTCTTACCTTTTTTTCAGTGTCGGTGAAAATTGAATTGATTTATATATTTTCCGTTTCAAGTTCCAAAGCTCTCCATTCAAACCCACCCGCCACTGCCGATTCAAATACATTTAACCTACCAAAATCTTAAACATTACCACTGATTTAAATGTGTTACATGGCTAGGGTTAGGAAAATTTCCATCAATGGGCAGAAGAAATTGGAAAAAGAAAATTCCTGTAATGAACAGGAACAATTGTAAATATTTTGAACTGGACAATAACATTCTGCTGTTCAAAAACAGTTTTTAAGATCCGGATCCATTCAGCACCATAGTTCTGGATCTGCAAAACTTTGCTGATCTCTGAATCCAGATGAAGTGGCAGAACATCTAAGAAATTAAAGACATCAAAATGAAATGAACCCTTTATCACTTGTTAAAAACAAACAGTTACCGTATTCTTTAATTCTTTACAAACATATACAAAATAAATACAATATGCAAAATATATACAATATACAAAATATATACAAAATACAAAATATATACAATATATAAAATATATATAAAATACAAAACATATACAATATACAAAACATATACAAAATACAAAACATATACAATATACAAAACATATACAATATACTAAATATGTACAAAATACAAAACATATACAATATACAAAACATAGCTTGTGGATCTTACTCACAAGTGTATTGTTTAGTAAACCACCTAAGGAGGCATTGGCATCTCTGAGATCTCTGCGAGTTTTGAACATGGACGGGAACGCGATAGAAACTTTGGAGAAAGCTGCTTTTGGGAAAATACCAGCTCTTGGAGGTAGTACCTTGTCCAATATTCCTTACTTAATCACCTGCTAAATACTTTGCTAGTATTCTTGCTTGTTACCTTTAATTTTGTTAAGTTCAAAACTTTTATGTTTGGAAACTTGTGTTTTACTAACTTAATTAATCTAAATTAATAACATTTGACAAAATCACTTTTAGGTAAAAAAAACATCTTGAATAACCTATCAGTGCTTACCTTTACATTAATTCTATTTCATCTTTAAAGCTGGCAAATCAGGTTATTTCATCTGTTAAATTTGCATTTTCCATTGTGCATGATAAGGAAAAAATAAGATGTCAATGTTTTTAATTTTGAAAATTATTAATTTCAATCATGGGTATTTAATAAAGTAACCTGCGAGTTACTGCTCCAGAAATAATGGTGGATCTCGTTGCAGAAATTAATCCCTTTAAAAATTGATAATTTCACCACCTATTTTGTAAATTATATAATTGGTCGGTAAGTTGGATCAGATAAGCTGACCCATATTTTCTCTGCATTAGCATGTCATCCATATTTATTGTTTTAAGTTCAACTTTCAGAAATTAAAAGTTAGTTTTTGAACTGAGCCTTAGATAACCTGATTTTTATTTTAGTTTTGTCCCTGTCTGAGAACAATCTGAAGAATATTTCTGTGCAAGCATTTGATGGTATGTTACAGATACAAAACCTTACTCTCAGAGAGAATAATCTTACCTACATCTCCCCTGGAGCCTTTCTAGGACTTGTATCTCTAGGGTTAGTATCATTATAATAGTATTTATTAAATAATTAGCTTGGGAACCCAGCTTTGACGGGAAACTTAACTTTCTCCGTAGAAGTCTACCAACTCAACTGGGAATTTGTGTGAACTAAGCTTAAAACATTTCCGTGGTTCTACCGAGTTCTTTGTTCAGAAGTTTAGGTCTAGGGATTCCTGAGTTATGATTGGACACACAAACAAACAAAAAGAGATTACGACTTTGCATATATAGATATATATTTATGGAAAATTTTATGTTTAATTTTTGTACTAAACCCTGAATATCTGGGGAATGGGGATTTGGGGAAATTTATTCATCCATAAATTTTAAATCGGTCCTAACTCATAGAAAATATAAGCTAGGGATCTGCAGCCTTTGTATTCATCTACATATTTTAAATCGGTCCTAACTTATAAAAAATATAAGCTAGGGGTCTGCAGCCTTTGTATTCATCTACATATTTTAAATCGGTCCTAACTTACAGAAAATTTAAGCTAGGGGTCTGCTTGTACTTAACCCTAAATATCCGGGGTTGGGGAAATTATTTATCTATAAATTTTAAATCGGTCCTAACTAGAAAATATAGGCTAGGGGTCTGCAACCTCCGTATTCAAGTACAATCTTAAACATTTAGACAAATAGTCTGCTAAGGTGTCCAAAAAAAATATGTTTTAACACAGATTGTGAATTTGAATGTTTTAGAATGCTGGATTTAAGTCACAATAAACTTGTAAAGTTAGAGAACAAGACTCATGGACTTTTAGAAGATTGTCTTAGTCTCAGGCACAAACGTAACCAAACATTTAAAACTCTATTACTAAAATTCTTGAGAAAATACAACTTAAAGAGCCATAGACAATATGCAATATGCATTCTCTAATGCTTTATACTAAACTTAATTTAGAAAGCTTTTTTATTCGTTATTTGTTTAACCTTCTTTTTCCATTTCTCGAAACTAAAACATAAATAGAAAAACCAGAAACCCAAAGCTAGACATAATTGGAAAAGGTCAAATTCATGCAAACAGTACGACTTTGGGACCTTGTACCTCTAGTTTTAATTTTACGCTAAAGAATGAGAAAGTTGCAAATTTTATTTTAAACTTTTGTGCTTGTTAAACGGTTGTGTTTTGTGTCTAGAAAGATAGATCTATCCTTCAACAATATTGCCTTCATTACCCCTCTCATGTTCCCGGAGAAGAAATGGGTTCCATATAAATTACAGGTAATTTAAAAACTATATTCGTAATTTCAAGCAATCTACCATTACCAAATATAGAGCTGCATGTCCGATACACAATGGTATCTATTCCTAACATTTTTATCTATGCAACAGAGAGAAGGATTTTATTTAAGTTCAGATAGAAAACCAGAATATCATCATCCTTTTTGCACAAACGAAGGTTTTAACTCTTTAAAGGCTGGGGGGTCTGAATCTATGTATGGCCTGGGGTCTATACATAGATTCAGTCGGCCCCCCCCCCGAGAAAAAAGTTAAGGGTTAAAATACATATGCTTAGTCTAATTTTTCAAGGCCAGCTCATTAGACAGATAACTTTAATAGTGCTAGGGTTGAAAAAAATGTAAAAATATTTGTTTTTGTTTTAAAAAATATCAAAGTGTGACACATGTTTCTACATCCATTTTTCAAGGGCTTCCTAAAAATGTAGTTTTTAGATCTGTAGCTTTAGTTACAAAAAAGTTATGGGGTATTTTAGATTTTTTTCCCACAGATCGGACTTTTTACCGTCCTGTCTGTACCCAACCCTATGCATTAAAAAAAATTACAAAAAATCCTTTTAATTTCTTTTCATTAAAATTCACAAAATTTCACGGTCATAGTCAAACATGAGAGTGCTACGACAAAAAATTAGAGGGGGGGCGTCGAACATCCTCCCCCTGCCTGTTAAGGGTACTAATGTGAATCTGACATGAGACTTTTTAGATGGAGTATTAAATTACTGGCATTTTGAAAGCTTTTCTCGGAATACACAATTAGGTCAACTTTAGCATGGCAACTTTTTAAAATCATTGTCATAGAGTTTATATTCCTCTTATTATTTTTAATGAATTTTACTAAATCATAAAGTTTTTTTTAACTATTGTCTGCGGTGCGTGGAATTAACTTGTGGAAGAACAAAGTGTTCTTCTGAATAATTTTGTTAGATTCTGATTCTGAACACATCGCAATCGGTTGTTTTCCTTAAATAAAAGTTGGCAAGGAGTTAAACTTGGCCTTTATATCCTCTACAGTTTAGATACAAAACTTTTAGGATTTATATTGTACGAATAAAAGTAGGTTATATTATTGTGATGAAATGGGGGGGGGGGGGGAGGTTGTAGATGGAAAAATTCTGATAGTTTTGAAATGTGTAATTTTTACTAATATCCCATGTTTTTCTTTTTTTTAAAACGCCGGGGTTCCCCTCTTGGTGGGCTAGGTTAGGATATATGCTCCCCCCCCTCATGTCTCTTAATTTATTAGACTTGAGGATTCTTTGTTTTGTTCATGGTAGAGGATTAAGAAAGAGATGTAAAAAATGTATCAAAAACAATAGAGAATAATATTCTATCTCTTAAAAAGTATAATTAGAAACATAAGCTTCCCTAGTTGAAAAATGAATGGTTTAGTGTGAACTGAAGGGGGTGCTTAATAAAACAATTATTTAAACACCTTTACCGGGAGGTGTGCACTGCGATAGGTTTCTCACATCGTTAAAATTCTAACGCGCCACAGTGCATGTAAAGAAACAAATTAGTCGCCATCATTTTTAATGTATTCATGGTAAAAAAGAGGTGTCGGGAACAGTGTTCACGCCATTATAATAATGTTCTTTTTATCGGTTTCTGCATGATTTGAATTTTGCTGGAATATATTGAAAGATATTTCTTTTTCATTGTGTTACTAAAGGTTAAATATTTAAAAAGAAAACATTAAACATTTCCCTCTTTTGTGGTTTCAGGAGAAAAAAAAACTATATAGAATATAGTTCATGTTGGTAAGAACATTATTTAATTTCATCAACAACAGGATTCTTATGTAGGTTTCATAAAAACCAAACTAACAAAACATTTTTTGTTCGAGTTTTGACCTTTCATAGACCAACCTATTTTTTTTACTTGAATGATGATAGAAGCAATTAAACTGAGATCGTTCCTATATTTAAGTCGACTTAATTCTGAGAATTTGTCGATAAACCATTTTTTTTTTAAACTAGAATTTTCATATTATTTTCTTTTTTTCTTTTTTCTTATTTTTATGCCAAAACTTGATGAACCATGGAGAGATTAGGACATTTTTAATTATCTTTCTTTTTTCAACAGTTCAGATTTCGGGTTTGAAAACACGAAGGTTTTTTTTACAGCTTTTGGTTGCTATTTTGCTCTGTGGATCTGGATTCGTGGACCCACTTATTTTGACCCCCACCCCCCTCTAAATTTTTTTTTGATGTCCAAATATGACAAATGATACATTAAGAATCTGCAAAAAAAAATTGAAAATTTGCAATAAGTGAATTTTCTTTGTAAACTCCAGTCATTTAGTAAAAATGTTTGCAAAAATAGGGTCTAAAAAAGGATAAATTATACATTTTTAAAGAGTCCTTGACAATACCTCAAATATGCAACAACAAAAATTGTGTAAAAATTAATAACCTTTTGTGTAATTTGGAAAAACTAAAAATGTGCAAATTATTTTTGCAAAACTTGTGCGATCTGCTTCCTTAGGTCATAGGCTTTCTTAAGACAACTGAAAAAGTAGTCATTCAGACATGTAGTATGCCTGAGGACTCAGGCAGTTAGTATAAAAGCCCGGTTTTAGAAGGGAGGGCTATTATCATTTAGAAAAAGTCTTAGACCAATACTTTTTGAGTTATGTAAATAAACTACAGGGGGGAGGGTCAAATGTATCCCCCCCCCAGCAGGAATAGGGTTAACAAATTTGCTGAAGTAAAACTTTTCTAGTAAATGATGCGAAACTTTATAAATTTATGTAAAGTGTATCAGAAGCTTCAAAGAAACTGATAAATTCTAAAATTTAAATTAATATTTTAATCTATTCTAATATTTTAATATTTTTTTAATATTTTTTATTTATTAAATATACTAAAAGCTTATTGGATAGAATTTTTATTTCTTTAGTTTAGCAAAAACTAAAGAAATTAAATTGTTTTATTTGAAATATTGTCTTACTTTAAACTTGAAGCACATACATTGCTAAATAAGGTTTGATAGGCTGACTTCTCCAAGATTTTGTAGCTATAAACTGCATGAAGATTGTGAACGCAGACCCAAATCTAACAACAGGACTGTTCACAAGGACAGCAGAAGGATACTCAACAATACTGGACTATGTGTTATCGATTTTGGTTTCATAGGATAAAAGAGACCTAAAGAGGATTCATGTCCCCAAACGATAGACAGAGTTTTTATCGACGAACTTCTAGTGTTTCAAGGTTGTACACTTCAAATGTAAATTTTTCATTCACTAAGAATTCAAAAAATTTTATATTTTAGGTTAAGTTGGATTCGCACTAGTTTTCATATATTTTTATGCATTTTAAATGGAACATTTTGTAGAAATTTGTTAAAGATTAGATAGGATCTAAGGATAAAATCTTGACCTTTTAAATATTTTTTTCTGCCGTAATCTTGCAGGGGGGGGGGGGGGGTAGATTTTTTGTTTTGCCGCAAACATTTTGTTTGTTTGGGTTCTGTTCCTTAATCATATTCAAACTGTGTAACTAACTTGGACAAACTTGAAAACTTTTGTTTAACTATTCCTGCTCCAACTTCACACACTCCAGGTAAAAATGACCAACATACTTCCCTGGAGATAGATAATGAATACTTTTTCTCTCTTCAGTAATATTTACAATTTTTTATTTGGAGCTTTTTCATGCAAATAGATTTACGTGACTGAGCCTATTTTTATATAGCCAATCAACAATCCTTAGGGTCAAGTCAGGTATTTTGCAAACATTTGGCTCAAGAAGTTCAGTCTTTTGATGTTTTTGGTTTAAACAAACCAACAAATAATTATAAATAATTATAATATTTATAGTTACAACACCCTTTACTTTGGCTTGCTACTGCTTGGGAACAACGCAGCATATTTTGCATGGTGGTGCATGTTTCCTAGAAGGCATTTTGGGAGTTCTATTTTGATTCTCCTTTCGGATCCATCTTTGATTTGATTTAATACAGAAACTTTAGTTTCTGTAAGATGTGCTGTATCTTGAATCTTGATGGATATTGCAGCTATAACTTACTTTTCCTTCAACAAAGTTTGTGCAACCAAAGTAAATTTTGTGTGCACTTTCATCCTTCAGCCTAGAATAAAGATTTAGTCCCGGGTGCAGCAAACTGACACAAACAAACAAATATTGGAATCAAAAATAAATAATTTGGTTCAGGAATCAATTTGTTAACTTTGTATTTCTGCATATTTATTCTAATTTAAACATTTGTGAAAATATGAAAATGTCAAATAATATTTAAGTAGTATTTGACTTGAGCTGGATTATCTTCTATTATATTGGAACAAAATAAAATCGAATTTTAATACTCAACTAATGAATTTTAAAAAGGGCTGGCCATGTTTTATGCTTGGCACGATAGTACTTTTTTTTCAATTTGGTGTTTCAATTCTGGTCATTATGTTTATTTTTAACTGGCTGAAAAAATTTGTATTCAGTTTCTAAAACAGTTGTTTGTTAACCGAACTGTTCCCAGTTTGGTAACCAAACCATTCCCAGTTTGGTAACCGATCCATTCCCAGTTTGGAACCAAACTATTCCAAGTTTGGTAACCGAACTATTCAGAGTTTGGTAACCGAATATTCCTAGTTTGGTAACCTAACCATTCCCAGCCTGGTAACCGAACTATTCCCAGTTTGGTAAACGAACTATTCCCAGTTTGTTAACCAAACTATTCCCAGTTTGGTAACCGAACTATTCCCAGTTTGGTAATCGAATATTCCCAGTTTGGTAACCCTTAACATGATTTTATAATTTACCCAATATGTTTAGGAAATTGACTTGTCGTTCAACACAATCCCTGTGCTTACTTCTGGTATTCTTCACGGCACCAAGCATCTCACATTTCTCAATTTATCCAACAATATTATTAATGACATCAGGTTAGCATTCTGTAATTATTTTTTAAAATCTTGAATTGTAATTTTTTTAATGCCTCAGTTTTTAAAAAAGAGTATTGTTTATGTCCAATTCTTTAAAAGGTTTAAATACCCCTCCTTATACAAGACCCCCCCCCCCTCCCCCTCCCCCTGATTTACGTAAAAGCTCGTTAATTAGATCGACCCCCACCACCACTTTATACACATACATCTAAACTAAACAGTTTGTTTTTAATCTTTGTGACAGAAACAATCTCAAGGAATAATAATTGTATTTTTTAAAGTGAATATTCGCAAATTATCTTTTTTCCATCTCATAATCTGAGTTTGTTTCCCTTATGTCCATTTGACAGCCAATTTTTTGTTTTCAAATCTTTTTTATTTGTTTATTTCCTGTGGTTTTTAACAATTTTAAGAAAAAAATGTTATCGATTTTGATGGTTATTATCGTTAGAACTGACGAGGGTCAACCCAGACCGAAATATATTTTCAATATATGTGCTGCAACTAATATCTACTTTTTTGCTCTAAAGAGGTTTGGTCCATCACCATCACCGAATTTTAAATTTTTAAAAATGCATTCACTTTATATTTGTGTTTCAAGGGATCAAGCTTTGAAACCTATCTTATGCGGATTATTAATTTTTCTACGATATTTCGTGGTGGTTTTACCCTGCAGGAATAACTTCAATTGAGGGATCAAGCATTGATCCTCACATTAAAATTGTCCTTGTTGGATATCAAATATCCAAGATCAACAATACTGCACACAAAAGTTTGTTCATCTGTAGACGTTATTTCAAGTGCCCCTTTGGATAAAAATGGAAAGTCTGATTTACAATTCAAACCTTTGTCTGATCAATATTTTTTACAGGCAAATTTTTTAAAGAAAAGCTTGTAAATGGTTACAACATTATAAGTTTGTTAAAAAAAAGACATTACGTATCTTTGCCCTTTAATAATTGTATTATGTTTAATAGGGTTTTCATTAAACAAAAGAACTTATTACATTATTCTAGATTTGATAAATTTGTAAGAAATCTTGTCATAATTCATACTTCCATGAAAAAAGTAATAAGCTATGTTTTTGTTTTCTTAGAATACCAGCTCTCGTAAATTTAATCCGTTTTAAGAGAACTTTGACATTGGAATCCTAGTCCCAAACATCTGTGTGTAATGTTGCACCAGTTCTCAAACTTAAATTTAAATTTAGAATCTCGAGTTTCACAAAAGGCTAAGATTTAGATGCCTAAAGCAATATTGTTGAAGCAAATTATTCTACTGTTGGTAAATCCCTTGAGAGAAGTTTGTGCAGATATATCAGCTTGGAGAAATTAAGATTGGAACTTTAGTTTTTTAAGTTAGAATTATCGTTTTCAAAATAGCCTTATTCCAAATTTAATGAATTTCAACCACGTCTCACATTCCCCGAAAACCGCTTTTAATTGAGCGCCAGCTAAAATCTTGAAAAACTTAATACAATTTTAAGTGGAACCAACCATATTTGAGCCGCGGCTTAAGTTCTTTAAATTCGGCCTCTTGACAAGTTTTTAGTTAAAATGTATAGCATTATCTTTTTCACTAAGTGTAAAATAGCCTTGACTTGATATCAGATTTGATATTATATTTGATATCGGATTTGATATCAGATTTGATATCAGATTTAATATGTTATTTGATATCAGATTTGATATGATATTTAATATTAGATTTGATATGATATTTGATATCAGATTTGATATCAGATTTGATATGATATTTGATATCAGATTTGATATAAGATTTAATATCAGATTTAATATCAGATTTAATATCAGATTTGATATCAGATTTGGTATCAGATTTGATATCAGATTTAATATGTTATTTGATATCAGATTTGATATGATATTTGATATCAGATTTGATATGATATTTGATATCAGATTTGATATCAGATTTGATATCAAATTTGATATCATATTTAAAATGTTATTTGAAATCAGATTTGATATGATATTTGATATTAGATTTGATATCAGATTTGATATAAGATTTAATATGTTATTTGATATGATATTTGATATTAGATTTGATATGATATTTGATATCAGATTTGATATCAGATTTGATATGATATTTGATATTAGGTTTGATATCAGATTTGATATCGGATTTGATATCAGATTTGATATCAGATTTGATATCAGATTTGATATCAGATTTGATATGATATTTGATATCAGATTAGATATCAGATTTGACATCAGATTTGATATCAGATTTGATATGATATTTGATATCAGATTAGATATCAGATTTGACATCAGATTTGATATTTGATATCAGATTTGATATCAGATTTGATATCAGATTTGATATCAGATTTGATATCAGATTTGATATCAGATTTGATATCAGATTTGATATCAGATTTGATGACAAATTTGAATTTGATGTCAGATTTTATTAAAGATTTTAAATGTTTTGAAGGGTAAATGTGCTGGGTAACCTGAGTAGTCTGGAGGTTCTAGATCTTTCCTATAATGAGCTTCAAGACGAGAAACTTCGAGCAGACAGGTCACATTAATAATCATTTATGCAGATTAAGCATTTTTAAATCAACGGAAGTAGAACTAAGGAGGGATAGAGACAGGCATTCTTTATTTATTACCGCGGTGAATTTTGACCGAACTATTGAAGGATCGATTTTACTAAACAGGCACGTTGGCCCAGGCTTGAGCAAAAACTTAATACTAAATGTTGTTTGTTTACAATATATCTAGTTCTAGTGTTGTACTAATACACCACAATAGAATTTAAAGAAACCTTATCCCCATCTACTAAGACCTAAATTCTAAAGTAATTGAGATTTCAACCACTTTACCCCACACTTGTATGTCGATTCCATTAGCGCCTGATCCAATCAGGGTTCAGTCATGTATTTGTTGTCTATTTTGAACCAATAGATATTGTATGGCGGTAACATCTATCTTTCTATCTATCTCATTATCCAATGAAAGATATGAATCCTTTAATCGGGCTTTAACGGTAAATGGAAATACTTCTACTGAAACCATAGTGGCCCCACTTATAAAAATATTGATTACAATTATTAAGCACATTTTCACAGAATAGCATTTGGTTTAACATCCCTGGAAAGATGAAACTTTTAAGTGTATGTTTGAGTAGCTACTCATTTTTCACTTAGATTTTTGAGTGATTATACGCAGAAAATGTTGCACAATTACAATAAAATGTATACCATCTATTTAATCTATGTTATAAACTAACGATTCAGGTGGGGAGGAATATTGAAGAATCTAACTTATCTAAGTTTAGCGTACAACAGTCTTTACAACATTCCAGCAGCACATCTAGCCCAGGTAGTATTATACCATCAGTACATCTAGCCCAGGTAGTATTATACCATCAGCACATCTAGCCCAGGTAGTATTTTACCTTCAGTACATCTAGCTCAGGTAGTATTACACCATCAGCACATCTAGCTCAGGTAGTATTATACCAGCAGCACATCTAGCCCAGGTAGTATTATACCAGCAGCTCATCTAGCCCAGGTAGTATTATACCATCAGCACATTTAGCCAGGGTAGTATTATACCATCAGAACATCTAGCCCAGGTAGTATTATATCATCAGCACATCTAGCCGAGGTAGTATTATACCATCAGCACATCTAGCCCAGGTAGTATTTTACCATCAGTACATCTAGCTCAGGTAGTATTATACCATCAGCACATCTAGCCCAGGTAGTATTATTTCATCAGCACATCTAGCTCAGGTAGTATTATACCATCAGCACATTTAGCTCAGGTAGTATTATACCATCAGGACATCTAGCCCAGGTAGTATTTTACCAACAGTACATCTAGCTCAGGTAGTATTATACCATCAGCACATCTAGCCCAGGTAGTATTATTATTGTTGTTATTATAACTTAAAGGGAGTGTTCGTCATAAATAAAAGGAGAAAGAAAGAAATGCCAAAGGACATCGTTTCCTATTGGTCAGCATATAGACTTGAGACACTTAATAAGGCATTTTCACTACTTGAGAAATCTCAAATCTATAAAACGCATTCGATATTATTAATCAAAACTAGTATATTTTAGTTTTTTTGTTAATTTAATCTAAAAGTCATTTTTACCTTCGTGGGATTGTTGGGCCATTATAACATTTTCTTATATATATATATATATATATGGTGATTTTGATTTATAAAAAAGATACAGTTCTGCCCATTAATTTTTTTAGTTATCAATACTGCACTATTCAAAATTACAACAACAACAAAAAATCTTAGAAACAAATATCGATATCAAAATGTTTCAAAGGTTTGGCCAGGTTGTACGCAAGACACTAATTTTCTATTAATATTGCATGCAATATAATATATTTTTTATAAACAATTTGGATCATCAATTGAAAAATACCAGTCAACTTTGAATATTTAAAATATTATCAAATTTACAACATGTGTTATTTCTTTTCATCTCTTTTTATAAATAAAGTAATATTATTTTATATTATATATATTATATGCCCGATTCACAGCGGTACTCTTAAAAGCTTTGTCTGAACAAATATGAATCATACATCAATGTTTATAATTTTGAAAAAATTATTTTTTATTATGAATGAAACTGTTGTGAATCGGGCATTAAAATATACGCTTTAAGAGCCTTTAAATATAACTAAATTATTTAAGTTTGAGTCCTTGAAGACCTTGGATGTGGAGGGAAATGATCTAATTCATTATTTTCCTGTATTTTCTGCTCCCATAAAGGCAGGGTTGGATGTCAGGTTAGTTAAAAAGGGGAGTAAGGGTTCCCTCTACCCCCTTAAGGGTCCCTTCAACCCCCTTTTCCGTTGAAGGGAAATGATATTTGTGAGCCAGATTTGAACTCTTTTGGAACAAAAAAATATTACAAAAACTGATATTAGTTTTGGTCAAATTCTTAATCTAAAATTAATTTTATATGCCCTTAATTACAAAAATGTTTCCCCCAATTTTGCAATAAATGTTACAGAAAAAGGACTTTGTCAAAACATTCTTAAAGTTCTTGGGGAAGGGTAGGGGGATCTGGGACGATTACAAAAGAGGAAGGGATGATATTTATCAACAAAACACATAGTTATACGACCCACAAAGGATGAAACTTAGAACGACGACCATAAACACTTTAAATTTGATGGCTGGAGGCACAGTTTGGCCATCAGTCCTAAAGTAGTCTTTCATCGGTCCTAAAGTAGTCTTTTAGGTCGATTTAATGGGTTTTTAAAGATAAATAGGTTGAAACCATGGACGTAAGAGAAAAGACTGAATAAATACCTTCCAGTTGTCTAAAATCCTTTGTAAGAAACCATGTTCACCCTTGAGCTCAAACTGAAATGTTGAAGCTAAATGTATTTACACTGCCTGCAATCTAGGTATAGAGGAAACCTGCTCAGATGCGAATGTTCTTTAAGACCTTTAATTCAATGGATTCGGAAAGGAAACCGAAAAACAAGGTTAGACAAAAGAATCCAGTATCAGTTTATTATTTATCCTTAAAAAATTAAGTTTTCAGAAGGTTCAGCAAAATATTTTTTTCATTTCAAAATGACCACCCTGTAAGATTCAGGATCTAAATCTTTCTGCCAAGCTTTGCAAAATATATTGAAAGCAATTATCCGATTTTCTTAATATATTTATTTATAGGATGCATTTATTGACATATTTCATTAGAAATACAGCCTCACGCTCTATATAGATGGATTTATTGGAACTTTATAGATTTATGCTTTATTAGTTTTCCTAAATTTATTGCTCAAGTTGGTGAACGAGGATGATTAAATGCCTTCTTAATAAAATCTAATAGAAAACTAGACTTTCTCATCCGGTACTAAACTTGCATTCCTCAAACAGATGATATGAAATAAAATCGCAAAAAAATCACCGCGACAATCTGCGCTGTGCATGCCAATTTGATCGTCTTCCATCGAGGAAAAAAAACACATTTTACAGTTTAAATACCAAAAATGTTCTTCTTTATAATTTTCATCAATATTGCTGCCTGGTCTTAATAATTTATTCAGAGAACTTTTATACTCTATTCAGTGATAACCAGAACACTCTGAAAAAGGAAGACGACATTTAGACTGAAGTTATGACTTTAAATAGTTTAATTTTTATAAGTAACATGCATTTGATTTGACACAGCAATTTTGCATGGTAATCAGACCCATTTTACTTAATTAGGGATTTAATACACAATAAGTGTGTTGTAAAACTATTTCTTTGTAACAACATCAAATACACTTCCTATTTCAGAATGTTCTGGTTATTACTGTATTTGCTAGCAAATCATATCCTTAAATGTGTTTCTGTTTTAGTTGGGATGATGCAATCTGTAGTTCTCCGGCCTATCTAGCCGGGAAACCAGTAAGCAGTATCAGGCGGGTGCAATAATCAATTAAATTCAATTATTTGTTAAAATTTATTCAGAACATCTGATTTGAAGTGTAGAATTTATGCGATGGCATACATAAAAAGAAATTGTGCAAAATAAAATGTTTTCTTTTTTAATTCAAGCCTGTTTTCTTTCCATATTCTTCAGTTTTAAAGGTTTTGAGTAAAGTATCTAAATTCTCCTTTATTCCTTCACAAGTCTAGGAGACACAAACCCTCTCCTCCCTCCCCCTATACAATCCCTTGAATGTATTATGGGTAAGATCAATAAAACGAGTTAAATAGAAAAACATTTGAAAATAAAAAATATTGTTGCACAGAGAGGAACAGTTAGTCTGTGATAACATTTCAGAGGTAAGTAAATTTTCCTTCTCCCGTCTTCAGATTTTGTTGCAAGATTATCTCTAGATACTTCTTAAAAAATTAATAAATGTCTCTGAATTCTTTTTTTGATGATGGAGAAAGGGGTTGGTTTTAAGGAAAGGTATCAATATACCCCTAAAAATTATACGAAAAACACTCCAGCGGTTGTTTTGTCTGTTCTTGATCCTGCCCATGTCTAAATTATTTCATTTATTGTTTTATAAATCTAAATATCATGTTGGGTGATTATTAGTTAATTTATTTTCTTTAAAAAATATCATCAGAGGTCAGAACTTTTGTGTGAAATATCTCTTTATCTTAAATATTTAATATTCAATGGGGATACTTATAGTTTGAGGATTGATCCTATCAGAGCTGAGAACTTTAGAATAGTGGATATCCAGATCAATGCTTCATCCTTTCTTTTTCTTAAAGGGAGTGTTCGCGAATAATGAAAGGGGGTATAGGCTTAATGCGATAAAAACGCACTTTTGATCGCTACTTATCTTACATCTTATCTGTTGCCTTTATAAGGAGAAAATTGGTAAAAACGTTATTCGAACTATGCGTCCATACAAATTGAGAAAATTGCAACGTACGACTTAGACCGTAAAAAAAATTAATTAAATTTCAAACAAATCATTTAGATATTACAACCTATAGTCATCGATTATCTTTCGCCACATTTGTATATAGTTTATATTTTAGAATATTTTTTAATTAATATTTTTATATTTTATTTTTTAGAAAACGTTTTTAACGGATTTCGAAAAATGTGATTGGTGCGTGGCATTTTTAGATAGTTGCGCAAGCGACAAGAGAAATAAAATTATAAATATAAGAGGTCGGGATTAAAGGTATCCAAAAGTTCCCAGCTCAGTTAAGATATCCCTGCAGGGTTCGATCACCATGGGATATCGAAGAGGAATTAAATTAGTCCGTTGGTCTGCTTGATCTTGAGATTCACAACACGAAAGATCTGACTATAACCATTGTCTACAAAGACCAAAAACAGATCTGAAACCTATTCAAATTCAACATCTATTTCTAGCTGAAATCTATTCAAATGTGAACGTTTGAATTGGTTTTGAATTAGCATATCTATTCTAGTTTCTATTCCATTGTCTTCACTGCAGTTCAGTTTCAGTCATTTATATTCAAGATTTTAAATTGCTGTGTTAAACTACAATTCTTGTTCGTTCGAAGCAAACTCTACTCAAGTCTACACATTGTACATTTTCTACTGAAATTCAATATTTTAATCAATTTCATTATTTTACAGGAGACGTTTTTAATCTTCAATATCATAAAGTTGCAGGCTTTAGTGCAGAACAATTATTGAATTCTGATATTTCTAGAATATTAAAAAAGTGAGGCCCCTGCACTTTAGTAAACTTGTAGTTTTTAATTTCCTTGGCCTATGCATCTTTTGTTTCACCATAGATATTGAATGTTTAACTTTTCTATTTGTTGTGAAACTTTTTTTCATGTCGATTTTGCTCCAGATTACATTAAAACAAATGGGAATGTTATTTATATTATACTATTTGTATGTTTTCATGCCAATTGAAAAATATTGATTGTATTGTTAAGGCTGATGATTATGAGATAACCCCTGATGTCAAGTTCCGTAATGTAGATGAGTAAGTTTTGTTTTTTAACCTTGCACTAATTCTCTGAAATAATTTTACTCAAACTAGTTTAATTACATCCAATATAAATACTAATTGTCCCGTGATTTATTAAAACTAGTTCATGTTCATAGAGATCAGATTTCACAGGTTTAACGGGTGTATTTAATACGTACTTTGAATGTCCATACTCGGTATTGTGTTTGACCGATAGATTATCAAGATTTTTAAGTCAGAAAAAAAGCTTTCAACGGTTCAACCTAGACATAATCAATTTTTATCTTTCTTTATAAAATAGTGTCAAAGGCTTATTATGTTCAGGCGATTTTTTAAAACTTTCTTTTTGCACTTATGACAATTTTTGATTGTTTCGGCTCATTTTTTTGGGTTAACAAATTCTAACCATTCCAACCTTCATAAAATAGTTTAGAGATACCTAGTACTTCTTTAATAATTGATTCCATTTTAGTTGTCGTCTTGTAGATTAATGAATTAGGAAACTTCACTACAGAGATGAGTTGGTTTGTTATCACTGACGAAGATAATTATATTCATTTGTATCTATACCATTTTGATTCAGCCTACCCTCTTGAAAAGTTTTTTTTTCTAATTCGTTTAGTTTTTTCTTGATCTACGATATAGAAAACCGTTCTCCCTTGCTCTGAGTTGGTTTGCTAATACTAAAATGACGATAATGAAAATAAATGGGATCGATGCCATTTTGAATTAGTCTACCCTGTAAAAGGTACTTTTCTCGATTTATTTTTTATTTATAACCATAATTTAGGAAACCGTCCTCCCTAGCTCTGAGCTGGTTTGTGAACACTAATGAGGATGTAGCAGATTTCAGACTTGAGCTGACCAGCTTAAAGAAGAATAAACGGACACTTCTGGTTAAAGATATTGGATACAATACAAGGTATGATGGGATGGGATGGGATGGGATGGGATGGGATGGGATGGGATGGGATTTGTGCAAAATAAAATGTTTTCTTTTTTAATTCAAGCCTGTTTTCTTTCCATATTCTTCAGTTTTAAAGGTTTTGAGTAAAGTATCTAAATTCTCCTTTATTCATNTTTGTTTGTATCCAATAAACGTCAAAACGGCTGAACCGATCGGGCCCAAATTTTTTGTGGGACATCTAGGGACTCCAGGGAAGGTTTATGAATCATCAAAATTTCAAATATTTGTCTCCATCAAAATTCGATCGTCATTAAATTTTTTAAAATTTTGAAAATCCTCGAATTTTTTAGTGAAAATCCGCGAATTATTTTTGTTTTGTTTTACGATATACAGAAAGAGAACATGTTCACAATTAATTTAGAAGATGGGCGCGAAGCGCCCTCTTAGGCTAGTTATACAAATTTCATTTTACAACAGGAAGTCTTACAATTTTATTTTTATTTATGAATAAGAGCTCTTATATTCCCCTCTGTACCACTTATTTTTTACTTTGAGGACATCACGGTCCAGGGTTATTTCCTTTTTTTTACAGTTTTCAAATATATTCTTAATTCAGGATGTTGGACCTTTCTACTCCCAGGGGACCCAGAGATATCCGTCCATACTCCTATTCATCCTCATCCTTACTCTTCTTAATTCAATCTAGAATTTTGTCTCCGGAGAAAAAACTGTACTTTTGTTAAATATTTAAAAAAAAATTACACTTGGTAAAAATTAAAATATTCCATAGAACTCAAAACTAATTTTCAGAAATTAGAGAAATCTTATTTTAAAAAGAAAAAGCCTTTTCTCCAAATTATATTTATTTATTATCAATCTTGGGATTAGATATTGATATTTCCTGCTCGGCCGAGTGTATAATTAGATCGGTTTCTTGAACTGTGAACACAAAACCGGTTCTTTGAACTATAAGCACAGAGCCGGTTCCTTAAACTATAAACAGAACCGGTTCCGGGAGCTTTAGTTCCTGGAATTATAAACACAGAACCGGTTTCTTTAACAATAAACAAAGAACTGGTTCCTTGAACTATAGACATAGAACCGGGTTCTTGAATCATAAGTAAAAACTGGTTTCTTGAAATATAAGCAAAGAACTGGTTTCTTGAACTATAAGCATAGAACTGGTTTCTTGAATTATAAGCAAAAAAACGGTTCCTTGAATTATGATCATAGAACCAGTTTCTCGAACTATAAACAAAGAATTGGTTTCTTGAACTATAAACAAAGAGCTGGTTTCTTAAACTATAAACAAAGAATTGGTTTCTTGAACTATAAACAAAGAACTGGTTCCTTGAACTATAAACATAGAACCAGTTTCTTAAATTATAAGCAAAGAACCGGTTTCTGGAACTAAAAACACGGAACTGGTGCCTTGTACTGAAAACCGGTCCATTGAGCTATAAACAAAGAACTTGTTTCTGGAACTGCAAGCACGAACCAGTTCCTTGAACTGCGAACACAAACCGGTTTCTTAAACTGTAAACACAGAACTGGTTCTAATCCCACTGAAGCCGATATTGAAATGGTGACTGATACTGAAGTGAGAATCGGTAAATAAAGCTCAACTTAACCTTAAAATATCTTTTAGTACACTGATTTTATCATTTTTAATTGTTATTTCAGTGTTTTATTTTGTTAACTACAGAAAAAGTTAAATGAAAACCTATGAAAATATTAATTAAATCGACCTCGAAACAGACCAGTATGTGTTGTTAACATGTATTTTTAGTTTGTAAAACAATAAGTACATTTACTCTTCAGGTTGAAAGAACCCTTTAAATTGTGAAATTTTGTGTGTGACAAAAAAATTTAATAAATTTTAACTTGCATGGTTCTTTTTTCAAACATTTTTTGGGGGGTTTTGAATTCGATTACAACTTTCAGGAGACCTATCTATATACTTTGCTTGTAGCAGGCTGTCTGATTGATTGTATGTATCCAATAAAAGTCAAAACGGCTAAACCGATCAGGCCTAAATTTTGTGTGCGACTTCATACGTCCCCAGGGAGGTTTATAGATGATCAAAATTTTAAAATTTTGCCTCTAACAAAATTCGATTGACATTAAATTTTAAAAAAATCCACGATTTTTGTTTGTTTTTGTATTACAATGTATTTAAAGAGAAAATATTCACAATTGAAATCGTGTACGCATGGTTTATTAAAGTATGGTAGATTGAGATCAATTTTTCAGACTCGCTGAAGTAAATCAAATTACTAAAGGTCACCCAAAGCATAGGCCTTCAAGGATGAAACTATAATTGTCACTTAAAAAGAAAGATATTATTTGAAATTTATTTCAAAATTCCAAATTCCAGGTTCCTTGCACGTGTTAAATTGTTTCTTGCTCCGTCAAATTGGTTCATTTATCCTTATTTTTAAGAGTTTTGGGGGTAACTCTGTTAAATCTGGGTTTGAACGAGGGGGTGAAGGTTACTGGGTATAGAGTATTTTACTTTCTCTGAATATTAATGGGTCTCAGGGGAGTAGTGGGGAGGAATTAATGGAAGCAGGAACTATACATAAATGTATTTACAAGGAGTATTAAATGGGGAGGGAGATACAATTGACGCGGCCTGCCTTACCATTTGATTATAAATGCTTTGCAGACGTTATTCTATTTGTATAAGAAATATTTGGCTGATGTTATTCTGATTATTTCTTATACAAATGGAGTACCGTCTTCCAAGCGTGTATAATCATATGGTAGGGCGGGCCGCGTCAGTTTTATCTCCCTCCAATTACATACTCCTTAGTTATTTACTGAGCATAAATGTGTTTTAAAAACTATTTAACCGTATTCAACGCAACTCTTTAAAAGAATTTTCACAATATTTAAGGCCCAAAATCTGTCTGATCCGGGCCCTAAGTTCGAATAAGATGAAATTATGATTAAGATTGTCCCGAACGCCTTAAAGTTTGAAGTTACGAAATTATCACTTTTATGAAGTTTTCTAATTGTCACTTTTATGAAGTTGTCTAATTGTCACTTTTATGAAGTTACCAAATTGTCACTTATGTATTTATATACCTGGTTGTCACTTTTTTGTAGTTGCCAAATCGTCATTTTTATGAAGCAATCACATTTCATTACCAAATTGTCTCTTTTTTGTAATTACAAAATTGTTATTTACAAATTGTCATTATTTTGTAGTTACCAATTTTTTATTGCCAATTTGTCACTTATATGTACTTACCAAATTGTTACCTTACCAAGATGGCATTACCAAATTGTCCTTACCAAAAATCTTTCCGTCGTTTTTAAATATTACAATATTTTCCTCTTTTTGTAACAATTCAAATTCAAATAAACTCTAGAATTTTTTTTCATTGAAGAAATAACTTTTTTTAATATCTTTTTGTTTTCTCAAGTCATAAGATGGAGAAACAAACATAAATTGAAATAATCAATTTAATACGAAAACTGTACGCTTAATCAGACAACGCTTTATGCATGGACAGTCGCCTAAAATTTCGTCTACAATCCCTTTAAAAGTTATAATATTATTTTTTATAAAAAACTTGCGAGGAAAGACTGTGACTGAGGATGGGTGGGGGGTGTCCGCTGAGGTAATGCAGTTTGAAGAAAATGAGGATTGATGTTAGTAATAAAGATTATATGTAGGGGAGGGTAATACAGGGTGTCCCAATAAACATGGGCATTTGGTGGCGAATTCGATATCGTATTTTCAAACAATTCTTTGACTTAGTATAGTGATACCTACTGAGAAAGCTGTAATCTGTAAGAGTTTCGTCTGCTATGTTCACAATTTGTTTATGTTTTGACTGCATACGGTTGTACTTAGTGAAACGGGACGGGATGCATGGGATGGACGGGACGGGGCGACATGGGGTGGAGTGTTAAAGATGCAATGGGATACCGTTTAATTTTGTTTACAAACAAGATGTTTGAGAAATTAAAGATTTCTTGCAAAATGGAACAAAAATACACGAGTCATAAGTTACATGAAAGATGTATTTGTGTTCACTCACCTGCTCAATCCACATTCCTAGATTTAATCTATTTTTATTTGAATTTATGAGTTGGTCTGAACTGTCTAACCTAGGACAAAGTGTCCAGAAGTTTCTGCCTGATGTTCCAATATAAGATCTTACAGTTTCTCAGTTTAACAAAGAAGAATTTATCTCTAACCTCAGATTTCTATCAGAATTATATTTTCAATCTGCCAACCGGATTCTAAATTCTATTAACACATACATCATACATCAATAGTGTACTATGTTTTCCCCTTTTCTGTACTCTAAATGTACTGTACAACATATATGGTGAACTGGATAGATTCTTGTACTAAGTACTAGATATGATCTTTCGGATAGAGTATGTACTTTAAACTATACGAATGTCATACAATGTACTAGATTTGATGTACTTAATTGAATATGATTTATTCTTTAGATTATTGTACTTTGTACTACTTATGTTCTACGGGATTGTTTATGTACTTTAAACTGGGCAAGTTTTACTAACTTTTTATATTTAAATAAATAAATTTGTAGTTTCTTATTTTCATAATTTATTTTACAATGTTATTGGAAAATAATTTACTTTACTGACTATTGTGATATATACTAGATAAAATGGATTTAATATATCGAAATATAAATAATATATAGATAATATATTGCTAGATATAATGAACTGGATAGGGTATATATGTATTAGATATATTTTTTGGTTAAAGTATTGTAGTATGTACTGTAGGAGATATGATGTACTGGATAGGGTATTGTACTATGTGTTAGATATAATTTTTGGTTAAAGTATTGTACTATGTAGGAGATATGATGTACTGGAAATGTAGCATGTACTATTTCTAGATACGATGTACTGGACCAAGTACCATCTGGTGAAGAACTGCGAATGTGCTTGTTGGTTAAAACGTCTCTTGGTATGATTAGAAGATGGAGAAAGGATCAACAATGTCAGGTTTGTTATAAAATATATTTAACTTTTTTAAATCTGTTTTTCTATAAACCAATTGGAAGAGATTTTCTTTGTAACATGTTAACATGCTAACAATATTAGTCAAATGAAAACTAACCAAATATCGCGCATTATTAATCAGAATTCAAAATCTGAAATAATTAACCAGTAACTTTAGCAATTAGTTCCAACCGCATCAACAATAAGCAGTAAGCAACCCGTTTTAAACAATTCCACTATCTATATATAAATTTGACTCGTCTGGGTGTTTGTTTGTCTGTTTGTATCCAATAAACTTCAAAACGGCTGAACCGATCGGGCCCAAATTTTTTGTGGGACATCTAGGGACTCCAGGGAAGGTTTATGAATCATCAAAATTTCAAATATTTGTCTCCATCAAAATTCGATCGTCATTAAATTTTTTAAAATTTTGAAAATCCGCGAATTTTTTAGTGAAAATCCGCGAATTATTTTTGTTTTGTTTTACGATGTACACAAAGAGAACATGTTCACAATTAATTTAGAAGATGGGCGCGAAGCGCCNCTGTTCTATATTGTGTATCCTATACAGAATATTCCTGGATATCTGTTCTATATTGTGTATCCTATATAGAATATTCCTGGATATTTGTTATATATTGTGTATCCTATATAGAATATTCCTGGATATCTGTTCTATATTGTGTATCCTATATATAGAATATTCCTGGATATCTGTTCTATATTGTGTATCCTATATAGAATATTCCTGGTTATCTGTTCTATATTGTGTATCCTACATAGAATATTCCGGGATATCTACTCTATATTGTGTATCCTATACAGAATATTCCTGGATATCTGTTCTATATTGTGTATTCTATAGAGAATATTCCTGGATATCTGCTTTATATTGTGTATCCTATATAAAATATAAGACTGGATATCTGCTTTATGTTGTGTATCCTATCCAATATAAAGTTCAAGTTCAGGGCTAGATGTCAACTGAATTGAAAGACTCCAGTTTAAAATATCTTTTGGTGTCATAAAGCTATGTAATATGCATGTCACTCATATTCTGGGTGGGATATCGAATTCGTCACTGAATTCCCATGTTTTTTGGGACACCCTGTAGAAGAACTTTTGTCGAGGGGGAAGAATAAGATGGAATGGATATCACGGTAAATTAGAAGTCCTGGATGATAATTCAGTGCGCCTTAACTTGAGACTCCAATTTTACTCATTAAATGATAATTTTCCGTCTTTGCTGTTGTTTACATTTTTGTTGGGCTATCCATGCATTTTTAATTTCAAATTATATTAAGTCTTGACCGCGTTTTTTGAATTAGAAATGACTGAATACAAATTTTTCGATACAGACAGAGGATATACTTGGTTTTATGGCAAAGAGGAGGGAAAGGGGCGTTTTTAGAGAAGACAAGATGTATGTTAATTTATTCTCCGTTTACAGAGTGACATATCGGATTCACAACGGTATCCTTAGAACCTTTGTTTAATCGAGAATCAATGAGAAATACAGGGTGTCCCACGAAACATACCAGATGGTAGATAGTTTTGAATGTCTTCTTCCATATACTGCATTACATTTCAAAGACTTGTTAAAGTTGATTTTTTTTTTTTAAATATTTTTTACTCAAATAAATTTTACTTTGAAATCAATTTTAATATGATATATGACTGCCATATAATATTTTTATTGTTCTTTTGATATCAAACCACTTTAAAAATTATGGAAGAAGACATATTAAACTATTCACCTATTGTCATGTTTCGTGGGGACACTCTGTACTTGATTTATTTTTACAACATTGGTAATTTTCCATTGTGGATTTTTTATGAGAGTATTTTAAGATTTTAAAAATCTTTATTTTTTTTTTGACCAACACTGAAATCTTCTATATTGTTACTCAGATGTAGGTTTAAAGGGCACCTTTGTAAATCGGACATGCCAATTTCAGTCCATGTAAATACTGATAGACACCCTGAATGTATTTAAACACCTGGAGTATGTACTGCTAGACACCCTGTATGTATTTAAACACCTGGAGTATGCCAGGTTTCCTGGTTATATCATTAGTTGAAGATTAATGATCGCAATGCTCTATATTTTTGATGATTTAAATTCAAGGTCTCGACATTGATAATATTCTTTATTCTCCAAACAGTGATATTATGAAAAATTCTTGAATTTTTGAATTAAAAAATAAATAAAAATTTGTTGACGTGGAGAAAAATTCAGGAATTTGGCGTATTTTTGATTTTTTTTTTAATATTCATCCCTGAATAGTGAATCTTCAAAATGGAATGGATCATAGAAGTTGCTACGTTTACCAATATAAACATAAGTTCCAAGGTTGTCTGCCGAAATAAATAATTATTTAGGAGTTTACGTGAATTATTTTATTTGCAGAACACTCTTTGCTAACCCCTATTTTTCTTCAGTCAGTAAACTGCAAATTAGTGCAGAAGGAACCAAAAGCTTTTTGTTAGACAAATTAAAAAACTTTATTTTAGTAAATACGGAAGTAATAAAACTACGAATCATAAGAATAAGACTTCCAAACTTTTAAAAAATAATTTCTCTAATAGATCTAGTATACAATTTAAAATCGTAGCACATCAAAATAGCAAAGAATTAAGATGCATTGAATTGATATCATATAAGCCCATGAACCTTTATCTCCAGTCTTTCTTCAACTAACCAAACTAGTTGGGTGGTTTACAAACTTTTAGTTTTGTAAAGGTTTACAGACTTTTAGTTTTGTAAAACCAAACTAGTAGGGTGGTTTACAGACTTTTAGTTTTGTAAAACCAAACTAGTAGGGTGGTTTACAGACTTATAGTTTTGTAAAACCAAACTAGTAGGGTGGTTTACAGACTTATAGTTTTGTAAAACCAAACTAGTAGGGTGGTTTACAGACTGCGTTGCTCAAATACAAGAATCCAAAAATGTCAAGCTTAAAAGAAGAAAGGTATAAAATTTGAATCAACCCTGTTATAAGGAAAATTGTTTAAATTGTAAATTGTTTGATATTATTTTCAATTTTTCCACAAATATCGGATAATTTTCAATTTGTCTACATTTATGATATCAAGCTTGTGGCAGATTTTAATTAAAAAATAATCTTTTTACATATTTATATCCTCTAAGAATCAGACTTTAATATAAGTATAATATGGTGTTAGTTTAAATTCAGATCTTGGAGGTTTCTTGAGTTTGTTTTCAGATCACAGAGGTTTCGTTAGTATTTTTATGAATAAATTCTTGAAACCCCATGATTTTTACTCTTTGTAACCCTTTGATTTTTACTCCTTGAAACCCTTTGATTTTTACTCCTTGCAACCCTTTGATGTTCACTTCTTGCAACCCTTTGATTTTCACTCCTTGCAACCCTTTGGGGTTTCCTACTTGCAACCCTTTGATTTTCACTCTTTGCAAATCTATGATTTTTAATAATTGCAAACCTTAGATTTTCACTCCTTGCAATTCTTTGATTATCACTCGTTGCAACCCTTTGATTTTCCTTCTTGCAAACCTTGTTATTTTCACTCCTTGCAAACCTTTTCTCCTCTCCCCTCACAATAACTTACTCAGTAAGAACTTTAAAAGGTTCAAAGGAAGGTTTTTTTTCTAAATTATTGGTTTTAAAGATATTGCTTCTTTAACCTAGACTACGATATAAAGTTTCACTCTTTACGGAATACAGATGTAAGCTCCATTATAGGTTTATTAAAAGCACAAAACATTACAAAATTCTTTTAAAGTATTTCTGAGTGCTTTAAACAATTTGTATGAAATTATTTAATTAATTGATCTGTCAATTAAACATGAAGTAATTAAAGCTTCTTTTCATCTAGAGAATAAATTTTATATAAACAGAGCGTTCATTCAAAATTTAAATTCTAACAGAATATTAAAATTTAATTTTTAAACTCTTTTGTTTCGAATTAATCTAATTTTAGAGCAGAAAGGACGGATTAAAGGAATCAAAACATTATAAACGGTTTACATTGATTTTTTTCTTACAACTTGAAACTTCCACGCAATTGTAACCAGCACGGTGTTAAACTACAGTGTGGGTGATTATATCAATACAATGAATTGTAACCAGCACGGTGTTAAACTACAGTGTGGGCGATTATATCAATACAATGAATTGTAACCAGCACGGTGTTAAACTACAGTGTGGGCGATTATATCAATACAATGAATTGTAACCAGCACGGTGTTAAACTACAGTGTGGGCGATTATATCAATACAATGAAGACAACTTTTGATTTTAATTTTGACTTATACTAAGCTTTTAAATAGCCTGGATAAACATAAACATAATGTAACCATGGTGTGAGCTCAATAGTTCGGAATAGGGATAGGGAATGAAAGGCGGAAAGTCTGCCAGAGAGCTCCGGCTTTCCATGAGTCATTATATTTGTTCTTTTTTATACTTGTAAATACATTTTTTTGTATACTCTGAATGTTAAGATTAGAATTCTGTAGAAGGTGTTTAAAAAAGCTTCTCTTCATGAATATTTTTAAGCTTGTATTTCGAAAAAAACCTTGTTAACAAAAAAGGCTTAAATAAAAAAGTCGTCTTCATTGTATTGATGTAATCGCCTACCACTGAAATAAAAATTAAATACGGTGATATATGGGTGATATATGGGAATTTGTCCAGGGGGGCTTAAAAACTTTTTTTCCTTCCAGGGGGTGGAGCTCTGCAGTTCGTCCATGGGGGCCTAAAACTCCCATTTGAAAATTAGATTGCAAAAATCCAAGAACCAACAAAATTGAAACATTTTTTTTACTAAAAATTGTTTTTAATCCAATCCATTAAACAATTATATTTTACAATATGTTGACCAATAGTGTATTTCCCTGTAAATGAAAAATAAATTTACTCTAAAAACCATTTTTTTAAATTATGCTATTTTTTATGAAAAGCTAAAACTAAGATTTCGTATATTTTATTATATATTTCGGTGGTTTTTAAAAGAGATAAATAGCTCATTGTAATTGTTTGATTTAAAATTTTACATATCTTAGCTTATTATGTTAGCAATTAAATGTATAGGTTCATTAAATAATCTACACAATTTTCAAGAAACTCGGGTTTTCTGGCTGCAATACAATCTTAATCTTCGTTAGACCTGCATTTAATTCTTATATAAATTTATTTTAACAAAAAATATTGGTGGTTATTCTCGCATTCAGAAACAAGTTTAAATGAGAATATCGGTTCAATTTAAATTCGAAAAGATTCTGTTTTTATATTGGGTGAATAATCGATAATTTTCGACAAAATTTAAAAAAATGATTTTTGCTCGGATTTTACGCTTAAGAAATAATTGTGATAAAAAAAATTCAAAAATATATTTGGAACATTGAAAAATATCCACGAAACCAATTATTATTTCAAGAAAAAAAGAAACTTTTCCAAAATTTAATAAAAATTCATGAAGTAATGAACAAAAATCCGCAAAAATTTAGAGTGGAAATCCGCAGTAAACGTTATCAAATTATAACCTCATTATTATCTATATATACTTAGCTTGTCTGGGTGTCTGTCTGTTTGTTTATACCCAATAAAGGGCAACCTGGCTAAAACGAACGGGCCCAAAGTCCTTTTGGGACCTCAAGTGACCCCAGGAAAGGTTTATGGATGATCGAATTTTTAAAAATGTGCCTTTAACAAAAATCTACTTTTGAAAATTTTGAAAATCTACGAAATTTTTTTAAATCCGCAAATTTTTTGTTTTGTTTTATAATGTATACAAAGAGAATGTGTTCACAATTGAAATAGAAGATGGGCGCGAATCTCCCTAAAAGCCTGGTATCTTAAAATAGGTGAACAATCCCCTTTAAAGGGACTGTAAGCGTAATTTCAAGGTACCCCCCAATCCCATGCAAAGATGACTATGTCAGATTTACAACTGTAACATTGAAAACTTAGATATCATTGATTTTCTCTAAAATGTTTCTTTCTGTTTTCTCTGCATTCTTTGTCCTTAAGAAGCAATGGAAAAACTCAACGCAAAACACACTTTTCGAGAAAAACAACGATTTCTTTCACAATTTTGATCAGATTAAAGTTTCAAGGGTACCATTGCAAAACGGAAATTGTCATCTTTGCATGAAGGGTCACTTAAATCTTTGGTTACAGTCCCTTTAAATCCTAATGTTTAGAGGAGGACACATGGAATATAGCTTCAAGGTTCAATAGCGTAAGGTTGGGGACCAATCCTGAGAGAAACAGGAAAAGGAGAGAGTCTACAAACTTTGAAATTTTTCTTCAGATAAAACTCAAAATATTCGACTATTTGACTCTTCTGCGCAAAGTAGAAATTGATCAATGTAGCGAGAAGACTGAGCATTAAAGCCCCTGCTGGGAACTCGTGTTCTTTCTGTTGAAAAAATATGAGAACAAGAAGAGTTGTGAATATCATCAGTACACTGATAAGCAGTCCCTTCAGGTTGAACGCTTTCTTTGAAGGATTATTTCTCTCTGCCCAGGAGAGCTTTGCGCTGTGGTGTTTGTCTAGGTAGTAGTTGATGTACATGTTAGAGAGAAACATGATTAAGCTTGCAACCCCTGCATGTACAGCTAGTAGTACAGTGGAGGGACTTAATCCTTTGGAAACCTTTAGACCAGTCAAGTAAGCATTCATTGGTGTAACATAACCTAAACAAGAACTCTTAATTCGTTGCTTCACTCTTAAACCATGCAAAACCATACGCAAAAATCAATCAAGATTTTTCCAAATACTTCTTCATACCTATATCCTCTTAAATCTTTATATCTAGGACTACAGAAAAAATATGACTGGGTGGCCAAAGGTGGAGGCCTGGCGACAATTCAAATTAACCAAGTCGATGTGTAATTTTCGAATATAGGTTAAAAATTACCTATTAATTCTTTTTGTTTATTTTGTTTGAACTTTATAAACCGCGTGCTTTTAAACCAAATTTTATCCTAATGCCATTTTTTGTAATTAAAACTAACAAAAAGCGCTAAAATCTCAAAATATCTAAATCTCAAAATCTTTCTCCTATTTAAAATCAAAGAAGATATTCACGTTTTATAATAATTCTCATTTTTATTGTAACACTCTGTGTACCTGAACTGATGTGCAGGTACTGTAGTGTCAGGATTGGAGGAAGATAAAGAATACAGTTGAAAAAAACAACCCATTTGGCAGTTGACATCGGATCATAACCAAGAAACCGATCAAACTGAAAAAGCGAGTTTACAAAATCGTGATTTTTGTCCTAAATGTTCAATAGAGTAGCAACTTTGTTTAAACAATATCTATAGCTATCTAATGATAAACGTTGTTTAAAATATATCTATATTATCTAGTGATAAACTTTGTATCAAAATATATTTATAGCTATCTAGTGATAAACTTTGTATCAAATAAATGTCTACAGATATCTAGTGACAAGCTTTGTATCACAAATATATATAGCTATCTAGTGATAAACTTTGTATCAAATAAATGTCTACAGATATCTAGTGACAAGATCTATCGCTATCTAGTGATAAACTTTGTTACAAAAAAGATCTTTAGCTATCTTGTGACATACTTTGTTACAAAAAAGATCTATCGCTATCTAGTGATAAACTTTGTTACAAAAAAGATCTTTAGCTATCTAGTGACATACTTTGTGTCCAAAAAGATCTATTGCTATCTAGTGACAAACTTTATGTCCAAAAAGATCTTTAGCTATATTGTGACAAACTGTATATCCAAAAAGATCTAAAGCTTTCTTGACAAATCCATAAAAAAAAATCATTAACTTTGTCTCATGTCTTGTTTGGTGGGACACCCTGTCCATAAGATTAATTTTGCATTAAAACCTTTTTGAATTTTGCATCGTTCTGTATCATGGGAAATAACACATTAAGTCCCATAAAAGTATGAAAAAGGAAGGCGACTCATATGATCTTAAGTAACATAAAACACAGAATTATTAAGCAGTGCACAGGCGTTAACATTCCCATTCCACTTAATTAAACGAAACACCAACTACAATGATTGCTTTGATAAAGGTAGAGGAGTTATCCTTTTAGGGGACTCACTGGGCACTGTAGAGGAGTTATCCTTTTAGGGGACTCACTGGGCACTGTAGAGGAGTTATCCTTTTAGGGGACTCACTGACCACAGTAGGATAAAATTTTACCTTGATCACTGCTATCACTTTTAGTATCGCCATCTCAACTGCGAGCCCAACACTGATGAATCCAACAGCATCCATCATCAAGTTCAGGGACATCGCGACAAACATTGGAATATGGGAAATTACGGAGCAGTACATCATAAAACTTCCCTTAAAGTTAATGCAATATAGTGACGAAATAAAGTAATCCTCCATTTTAAACTTACATTTATGATTAAATACATTACCCTTTAAAACAATGCTGTCCTGTATCAGTCTTTAAAGAAATTAGTTTTTGGCTCAAATTCTAATTTTCTAATCCTTATCTTATATCGTTTATAGCTTTGCAGACCAAATTATGAATTCTTTACACAGATCAAATAATCTAAGCTTGAAATATCAAAGGTTTACACCCGCAGGTTGCAGGTTGCAAAGATATAGGGATTAGAAAATCTTAGCGTGTGGCAAAGAATATAAGTGTCTTTCAATTCTTTTAATAGATGCACAAAAAATTCTATTGCATTGAACGGGAAAATTACAGTAAGATGTATCGCACATTATTTCACCGCACACATACAGGGTGATCCAGGAAACATGACAGTTGGTAAATACTTTTGAATGTCGTCTTACATACACTGTATTAGATATTAAAGGCTGTTTGCAGTTTATTTTGTTTAAAATATCCTTTGCTAATATATATTAACTTTGAAGTTAATTTTACTATAAAAATACTCCTATATAATGTTTTAATATTGTCTTTGGTATTAAAGAACTTCAAAAATTATGGAAGAAGATATTCTAAACTATTTACTAACTGTTTCGGCGGAACAGCCTATATCTAATTGTAATTTTCCATTTGAATGTTATGGCCGGATGTATCTATTGGAGCAATAGCGTTTTTTTAGCAGTGTGTACGTTTGTAAAAACCGCTGTAAAAAAGGATATCTTCTTAAAAAATCATCGGGTAAAGTTTGACAGGGTTCTGTCGAAAATGGACATGTAAGTTTGTTTTGTAACTCGTCAGTAAATCCATGGGAAGTCCATTAAAGGAAGCCCTACCTGAAAGGTTAACAAAGCATTTGCGAGTTCTACGATGTAGTGACTGATGACAATGATGATATTTACTTGAATGTGAGGAACAGAGTTCTTGTAAGTTCTGACCATGTGTGCAAACACATTGCTTGAGAGAATCATTATTAGCTCCAAGAGGAACACGGCATATGATGGCGAAAATTCTGCTTTCTTCATCGGTGATTTTCCCCCCCTCAAATCTGCCTTTTTGACTGGATCAAACTGCGCTGTTTTACCGCTAGACGTCACGACTGGTTTTTCGAACAAAGGTATTGTGAAATTTCTCAAGAAATCTTGATTCTTCTTGTTTCCGAATCTTTCAAAAGCGTTGAACTTTTCTTTCAGAAATATTTCCTGAGTTACAAGATTTCTGTTTAAACTTCCATTATTGACTGGAGAATATTCCGGTTCTTCTTGACCTACCAAGATTTGTGGACTATCATGCACAGATCCTTCTGAAGAGCTTGGACCAAGTAGGATCAGTGCTAGCAAGGCAAGGTAACCACGGGTTTGCAACATTGCGTTTATTTGTCCTAATTCTTCTAATAGCTAAATATAACTAAACAAATATGTCTGATTTGAAAGCTCTCTCAAGTCTCTGCTCTCTGAGTAAAGCCCATTGAACAATAAAAAATATCAAAATTAAGCCTGGTGACGTGCATCCATAAAGTTTTCAAAATGTTAGACTTAAAAAGCAATTTCAAAATACCTTTTGATGTTTTTAATATTTTGTCATGTGGGAAAATCATTAAATTAAAAGTATCAAGTCTGATGAGGGGGGAAGGCAAACTTCCGTCCCGCAATTAATTCACAAACATAAACTTGTGGCAACGGAGGGGAGGAAGGCCAACCACATCAATCTCTAGTCCGAACCACATTCTCCTCATTTTCTCGTCCAAACCACCTAGGAATCCTCGTCCTTTGATTATTTTGTGTTAAAAAGTTTCCAATTCTTGAAGATAAAACTATTTTTTAAAAATCTGGCCAAGTTAGGGCATAAAATATGGATAGACTAAAGTATTGCAATGATTATATCATTTTGGAATCTTCAAATCCATGAGAATGATGTCAAACTTTATTTAGGTAAAACTTAAATCTCTTCTGCCTCCGTAATGGCTAACCTTCGTGATATGAAAAAATAGCAAAAGAGTCGGCATACATCTGCCTATAATTTTCCTCATGGAACCACCCGGAAAAATTCTATGGTTTTCACTAAAGTTAACAAAAAAGATTGAAGTTCTATAAACTTGGAATTATTTGCGGCATTCTACATCTGAAAATGCGCGTAAAAAAGGTGAACATTTTTAAAGACATTAAACTTGAAATCTTTAATTAAATTGAAGGCTGCGTGTTCATATCACGTCGGGGTCACCACTTTAGAAGTACATTTATTGCTTCTGTTTATATATACATGATAAATACGAGTGTGTAAAAGGAGAGGAAGTTGAGAAAGTCTTCTCCGGTTCCAGGATCCGACACAACTCTTTTGCGGATTTCATAATCCTCTTTCGGGGATTTCATATCCTCTACAAAAGATAGATAGATAGATAGATAAATAGAAAGATAGATTTAGATAATTTTTAACGAATTGCATTAAAAACTGTGTTATTTCTGGTACAAATTGATTTTTTCTCTTCTTATTTTTAGAGAAGAATGTACACAAAATTATATTGTAGGAGACAATCGGAAAACATTTTGTCGGAAGATATATGGGTGCGGCTAAGGAAGCGCTACGGGTGAGCGCGATGCCGCAAGTCCATGTTTGTGAGTAAATTGCGGGATGGAGGCTATACTGGTTCGGCTTGCCTTTCCCCCTTGTCTGTTAATAAGAAAGATAGACGACATTTGAGAGCTAATAATGCATTTATGCGCCCCCCTTGTAGGCTGTTTAATATCATATTTAATAATGAATTCAATTATGTAATTAAATTATTTTCAATGTTTTAACAATGCTAAAAAGTATGACACCCAGTAACTGTTTTCAGGATTTAAAGTAAAAAACAGCATTTTTTAATTTGCTCTTGATAATATACCAAATTCTTATAATATTCATGGCTCGTGTTTAAAAAATACTTTATAATGAACAACAATTAATTAGTAAATTAATTAAACATGTGCGCGAAGCGCAAACTTTTTTTTTCTCTTTCATGTAATTCTTTGTGTCTGTTAGTCTGCAAAATAATCCTAATATTCCGATATAATCCTTATTACATTTCTTGTTTTTCTTCTTGGATTGTCATGTTTTGTGTAAACTTATGATCTATGTATTGTGATACTCATACTCATATATACAAGTTTTTTTTCAGAGGATAAATTAAGAATGGCTGACTTTCTTCAAATCAAAAACGAGAAAATAGTTAGAAATTCTATGCGAAATGATGAGCGAAGCGCCAAAGTAAAGTTTTGGTATTTTTTTCTTAATTGGCAAAATTTGACAAAAGATGGTCCACAATCATGATCATGCTGGAGTCATGGGGGGAGGGGGCGAAACTCAGTTCGCCCCCCCCCCCTAATTGCGTCACTGCCTATCATAACACAGCATTGTCAAAACGTGAAACCAAACGTAAAACCAAACGCGAAACCAAACATGAAACCAAACATGAAACCAAACATGTGTGACATTTTTTGTCACATATGTTTCTCTAAAAAATTGTTAAACACCTTCAAATTTTTACATCCTGATATCTAGATGTTAAAATTACTGTCTTGGCATAGCAACGAAAAATACAGTTTGGACTTTATTATGCATTTCAACATACTCCCAGACCCAGACGTCTATATCTTTGTAACCTAGACTTTCTATCTAAAGTTCAACTTAGTAAACTAGGCTGCGCGCCAGACCAATCCTTTACTAGTTTATTCTAAAACATCCAATAGAATCATGAAACTTTTTGTATCGACCAATAACAGACCAATATTTGATGTACAATCGTTTATGTATCCAATGAAATAATGTATGTCAAGGAATTTTATTATCTATAGTATGTTATCCTTTATAAATTTGTGCGCAAGTGCAACCCCTTGTGATTTCTTTGGTATAAAAGCTTTGTAAACTTTGTATATTGTCACTCTATTCTCTACCTTTGTGAAAAATATTCTGACAGATAAAAGTAAGTCATTTAATATAGTTTTAACTTATAGAGTCTATAGTCGGAAATCGTCCATCTTTGGGAGTGTTGTAAAAAGGAATGTTACAGCATTGCAAATCAAATCTCTAGAAACATACCCTGGGAATATTAGCGAAAAATCAGAGTTTTTAAGCTCTCCGCATTGCTTAAGCTTTGCGTTGCTATTGTCTTTACTAAGACAGTTTTTGGGAAAAGTTTCAGAGTAACAACATATAGACATTTTAACCTAAAACATTCATATTTACATCACTCTAGAATTTGGATTTTTTCTGATTATATAAGATATATTAAAGCTTCATTTCTAGTAAAAAATATCACACCTAAAAAGCCCAGTTTTGTGGCAAAATAAAGAACTTTAAAACCTAGAAATTGTAGCACATGAAACCAAACATAAAAGCAAACGGGAAACCAAACATGAAACCAAACATGAAACTAAACATGAAACCAAAAATGAAACCAAACATGAAACCAAACATGAAACCAAACATGAAACCAAACAAGAAACCACACGCGAAACCAAACATGAAACCAAACATGAAACCAAACATGAAACTAAACATGAAACCAAACATGAAACCAAACACAATACTAAACTAAAAACAAAAATAATACCAATTGGAAGTAAAAACAAATATAAAGTTTGAAGAGGTCGAATGTCGTCTTATTTGACAGGGCCTCAGGATTATTAGAGTAGAGCCCAAGGGCTTTTCAAAAGTGTATCAAATGTTATAGATTTGTATCACAATAAGGACATAGAAGGAGGTTCCTGGGGAACCTCCCAAACTATTTTGGGTAAACCAGACGTCAGCCTGAATAGTGTTAAAGAATACAATAGGGAATAATTCAATCAATAGAAAGTAATAATTTAACACAATCGTCTCTGAAGTCTCATCCTATGACGTGGGTAACCCCGTAGATTCTAAATATGAAGTATTCAACTTCAAAAAGTGTAAATGACTACAAAAATCTCTCATTCATTTTTATGATAACCCCCAGGATAGATGTCTGAATCCCTTCAGTGGAGTTATGAACCCCAGGATAGATATCTGAATCCCTTCAGTGGAGTTATGAACCCCAGGATAGATATCTGAATCCCTTCTGAATCAATCCAGTGGGATTATAAACTCCAGGATAGATATCTGAACCTCTTCAGTGGAGTTATGAACCCCAGGATAGATATCTGAATCCCTTCAGTGGAGTTATGAACCCCAGGATAGATATCTGAATCCCTTCAGTGGAGTTATAACCCCGGCCCAGGATAGATATCTGAATCAATCCAGTGGGATTATAAACTCCAGGATAGATATCTGAACCTCTCCAGTGGAGTTATAAACCCCAGGATAGATATCTGAATCCCTCCAGTGCAGTGGGATTATAAACCCCAGGATAAACAAAGGGTGTCCCACGAAACATGAGAACAGCAAGACGACTTAAAGTCGTCTTTGATATTTGAATTTATTTGTGACATTTAGTCTTCTATCTACTTTAACATGTATGATTCTTGAAACAATTATCACATAATTCTCCTAGCCCTGGCATTTCCAAAAATTGGTCTGCGTTTTTTTGTGCTTTCAATATTACCGGAGATATAAAGAGTTTGGTTCAGATTTCAATTTTGTTAAATAAAAGCAAAATTGTCGAAATCTGAACGAAATTGTTCATATCTCGGGCAATATTGAAAGCAAAAAACATATAATAGAGACGGATACGTAGAAGATCATACCCTAGGTGACAGTAGGCCGGATGACAAATACAACTCATATCATGGAAATAACTACAAGGAAGAAAATAGAAGTAGATACACCAAGAGAAGAATGTCACCAGATTTTACGTCGCGTCGTCACAAAAAATGCAGACCACATTTTGGAAATGGCAGGACTAGGGGAATTTTGTGATTATTATCTCTAGAAATTTACTCCTAAAATTAGGTTGACAAATAAATGCAGCAAATTTTATAAAAAATCAAGACGATATTCAAGTCGTCTTGCATACTGTCATGTTTCGTGGGACACCCTGTATCTGAATCAATCCAGTGGGATTATAACCCCCAGGATAGATATCTGAATCAATCCAGTGAGATTATAACCCCCAGGATAGATATCTGAATTCCTCCAGTGGAGTTATAAACCCCAGGATAGCTGAATCAATCCAGTGGGATTATATACCCTAAGGAAGGAAATCTGAATCCCTCCAGTGGGATTATAAACCCCGGGATGTATACCTAAATCATTCCAGTGTTATTATAAACCTTAAGGATGTAAATCTAAATCCCTCCACTGTGATTATAACCCCCAAGGATGGATATCTGAATCATTTCAGTGGGATTATATAAACCCCAAGGATGGATATCTAAATCCCTCCAGTGAAGTTATACACACCATGGAGGATTGATATCTGAATCCCTCCAGTGGAATTATAAACCCCCAGGATGGATATTTGAATCCCTCCACTGTGATTATAACCCCCAAGGATGGATATCTGAATCATTTCAGTGGGATTATATAAACCCCAAGGATGGATATCTAAATCCCTCCTGTGGCGTTAAACACCCCATGGATGGATATCTGAATCCCTCCAGTGGAATTATAAACCCCCAGGATGGATATCTGAATCCCTCCATTTGGATTAAAACACCCTAAACAGATATCTGAATCCCTCTAGTGGCAATATGAATCTCTTATATTAATATCTGAATCCCTTCAATGGGATTATAAACCCCCTGAATGGATATCTGAATTCCTTCAGTGGGATTATAAACCCTAAGGATGGATATTTGACTCCCTTCAGTGGGATTATAAACCCCCTCAATGGATATTTGAATACTTTCAGTGGGATTATAAACCCCCTGAACGGATATCTGAATTCCTCCAGTGGAATTATAAACCCAAAGGATGGATATATAAATCCCTCCAGTGTGATTAGTAACCGCCTGAATGGAAATCTGAATCCCTTCAGTGTGATTATGAATCCCCTATATTAATATCTGTATTCGTCTTGTGGGATTATAATCCCCTTATATGGATATATCAATCCCTCCAATGGGATTTTAAACCCCCTAGATGGATATATAAATCGCTCAAGTGGGATTATAAACTGCATAGATGGATATTTGTGGGATTATGCACCGCATAGATGAATATCTGAATCCCTCCAGTGGGATTATAAACCGCATAGATGGATATCTGAATCTCTCCAGTGGGATTATCTACCGCATGCATGGATATCGGAATCTCTCAGTGTTGTTATGAACCCCATTGATGGATATCTGAATCATTCTATTGGGATTGTGAACCTCAATCCCTTCAGTGGGATTATGAACCCCCCTAGATGGATATCTGAATCCCTCTATTGGGACTAAAAACCCCTAGGTGGATACAAAGTCCCTGCAGTGGAATTACAATACTTATGGAAAGATATCTGAATCCCTCCGGTGGGATTTTAAAGCCCCATGGAGACTATCTGAGTCCCTCCAGTGCAGTGGAATGTAAATCAATTTGTGTATAGTTTCAAATCTTTAATAGAGAAGATTCAACCCCCTGCAATGATTTTAAAGCCCCATGGAGACTATCTGAATCCCTCCAGTGCAGTGGAATGTAAATCAAATTGTGTATAGTTTCAAATCTTTAATAGAGAAGAGAAGATTCGACCCCCTGCAATGAAAATAAAATCCCTGTGCTAGTCACCATGTCTTCTTACTAACTTCTTTAACGCCGTTATAAACTAGATATTCTCTAAACATATTCGTAGTAAAAAAGCAACATGATCCAGAATCAAATGTCCATGTGCAATACAAATACAATAAGATGTGAAATACGAAAACAAGTATATTATACTGGGTTACTAAGGCATTACACATATTTCAACCTACTGATTCCCAAGTTTCAAGAGTTTTCCGTCATTAAAATTTCATTCTTTAATCATGTATTAATCATGTTTTAAGACTGCATGGAACCCTTGTTGCCAAGCTCCTGCAATTCCCCCACCCCCTTCTTCCTTCTTCCTACATCTGCAGGTAATTGGAAGATGGGGGGAGGGGATGTACAGACTGGACAAGAAATCAAAGAACGAAGAAACGTTGAGAGGAGGGGTATATTGGTTTGTAAGATGGGAGGAGTGGGTTCACTGCAGCTTCAAAGATGGTTTTGTTGTTGTTATTCGAAAGATCTTAATTATTGAGAGCATTTATTATGTAGAGTGGAGGGGGGGCTGTAGCTTTACCATTGCCTACAGATATAAAGCAGTGCATTGGGGTGGTGGTGGGGGGGGGGGGTTGCTACCATTACCTACAGGATATAAAGCAGTACATTGGGGTTGATTTGTCAGTTTTCCAGGAACGTTCCTTGAAGAGAACCGAACACTTCACAAGTCACTATTATATTCTTCTTACAGCTTACTACTAAACTTTTCAACTATTAGGTAACCATATATGTATTTTTTATCAAGGGTTAAAGTATCTAAATTTAGAACTGACACGGATCTTGGATTTTTTAGGTTCCCAGGCACTTAATTTTGATCCATCTGAAATATCATAGCCAAAGGGTCTCTTGTTGTAATTTAATTTGAAAAGGGACATGCCTGATTCACAACATGCCTTTATCCTTTATCTGATAAATAATGAAGTCAAGTTGTTCTTAATGTTTAATTTTTATGGAACAGAGAAGCTACAACTGATAATAATCAATTTACAAAAGGAATATGATTGATATTTGATGCGTTCTTGATTATACAAAGCCTGTATGGGTATCTCTGTTAACCTGACATGCCACTCTTTAACTTTAATATAATATCCGTGTACTGATTTAGTGAATCAGGAACAAAATTAGGCTAATTTTAAAGATATTCCAATAAGGACTAGAATTATCAGATTATTTCTTTGGTTATAGATTATATAAATTATGTCATTATATTTTGCGATAAAACTCAGTTTTCTTTTAATGGAACTTAACACTAATAAACTTAAAGTTGATCTAAAATTATAATTAATTGATTTAAAATCAAATTTGTGACTACTGTTCTGATTTTGAATTTTGATGCCTCACCCTTTGGCATTTTTTACCCCCCCCCCCCTCCTGGTTCTTAAATTGCTTTTATTTTATTCAAAGTCTACATGTCCCCTCTGTAGTCCTTTGTTTTCCCAATCCAAGAACTATGTATTATAATGGAACCCACTGTTCAAAGTTATACTCTGTGAAGTCCTGGGTAGTCTCATGAAGACAATAATTTAAGTCCTTTCTTCATCTTTATTTTTTCCAGCCCTCCTTCCCTACTTTAGTTTTATGATGCCCCCCCCCCCAAGTTGCCAGAAACTCTTATGATGCATAAAGCTATTAATTTTTAATAAGTTAAATTTGAAAATAAACTGCACGAAGCGCCAAGAAAATTTAAACAACCTTTCAGATGGGACAAGCTCATCTTTTACCTATACTACACTATATATGTTAACTATGTTAACCTATGCCCAAAAAATCACAAGAGGAGCGGCAGCCCCCCCCCCCTTGGCAGAATGCTAAGGGGGGTCAAGGGGACTACTGCCCCCCCCCCACCTTTGTACGCTACCGTTTATTAAATGTAAACAACCAGACCTTTATGACCAAAACAAATAAGTAAAGATGCTGGTTAGTTTAACTTGAATTTCATGGGTATCATCTTTAATATAAAAATCTATGTTTTAGGATAAAACATGGCGCGGTTCATTCCTATTCTCTTCCTAATATCTCAGGCGTTTGGGCACAGCTTGGAATGAAGATGCAAACAAACATTAAAAAAATTTAAAAATTAAATTAAAAAATTACATCAATTCTTTTAATGGATGGATTTGAGATAGATTGCATCAAATGACTAGAGATAGGGTTACTCACAAAAGATAAGACTTTAATGCCAACCAACATCGTTAAATATGACTATGGAAGATTTTTTTGGTTTCCTGAATTATAATCTTTATAAAATATAAGAAGAACATTTTTTTACGGCGGGATGGAACAAAAATGTCAGAGAAAAAGACTATATTTAAATTTTGTGCAGTCGTCTCTGAAGTCTCATCCTTTCTATAGGTATATAACTATATAATTATATGCGTTAAAAACGTATTAACAAACTTATTTTTTGAATCATGTTTAAAGGGAGTGACCGGCTATGTACGGTAGTTGAACTGAGGACGCAGTGTTGTGGAAAACTTCTTTAGGATTCATTTGAGACATATTTCACTTTTTAAAAAACCGTAAATCCTGAGTTTGAGCGCAAATTCGACGTTCAAAACTCCTGATTTGGAGGTGGATACGCTTTCAGAATTAGTTTTTTTTAAATTATTAATTAAAGACGACATAAAATGTAAAAATATTCTATAATGAACTACAGACGATATGTTTAGGAACATTTTGAGAAAATAAAAATTAATCTTATCACCGAAAATAAAGTAATCTTGTTCAATTATTAGTTTCTATTATCTCATTATTCTAGTTTTTCGTTATTCACAAAGATGTTCGCAGATTTTCTATAATTATTATTGAAAAGACGACATTTAAAGAATTTGAAGAAATCTGCGAATAAATTCAAAGAAAATTAGAAATCCAAAATAATAATGAAAACGAAATAATCGATTTTAGCATTGATTTATTGACAAATTTCTTTTGTGAAATATGTTCCTAGCCATCTAATTAGATTACTGTATAAATTTTACTTTAATTTTCGTTGTCGTTATTTAATAATTAAAAAAAAACTAATTCTGAAAGGGTATCCACTCCCAAATCAGGAGTTTTGAACGTCGAATTTGCGCTCAAACTCAGGATTTACAGATCTTTAAAAAGTGTAATATGTCTCAAATGAATCCTAAAGAAGTTTTCGACAACACTGCATACTCAGTTCAATTACCTTACATAGCCGGTCACTCCCTTTAATCTAAATGATAATTCACAAAAATCAATTGCTTTCCATTGCTGAGGTTTCTTTATTGATGTAAAGAGGTGGAAATCCATTTAACTCGTAAATCTAATAAATCTGATATTTTCGGACTAATTGATTCAAAACCCTGGCATTCAAGGTGTCTTTTTATTTCACAACAATTCTAGGAATCTTATCTTTAGATATACAATAAATATAAAGTTCAAAGTTGTAATGTCTGCTTGTCTGTCTATTGGTTTGTTTGTTTGTCCGATCATAACTCAGGAACCCGTAGACCGATTCGTCTCAAATTTATATTGGGGAACGCGGGAGAGCCACGGGAATGTTCTTAGCTTAAGAGTGTTTCGACTTTTATCGGGAAAAATGTCTAAAATCGGGTAAACGGCGGGAGTAACTATGAGTAACATGGGCAACGCTGGGTTCCCAAGCTAGTGTTTGATAAGATTTACTCTCAAGACAATGTCCTCACTCCTCATATCGTATAAAATATCAATGACGTCATACAGTATACTTGAGATATTTGTTAATATTAATCAAAATATAAAATATTAAATGATTTATCAAAAATGTCAGTATATCATGTATCAACTGTAATGTTTTCTGTCATTTTGTGCATTAAAAAGTATCAGAAGTATGATTACACTATCAAGTTGCAAAGATATAGGGATTAGAAAATTTGCGTGTGTGGCAAAGATTCAATTTCTCGCATTCTATTCTAAAACTGTAACAATGTTTTAGTTTGTCGTAATGCTGTTGGTTGCTTTTAAAATTAAAACATCTGGATCATTTTAATAGTTTTAAAAAGGTAAATTTTTCAAAAATTGCTACTTTTTTGTTTGTTTACATTTCCCCCGTCTCCTGCAGTACACTCAGTGTCCTCCCGGATGGATATCAATGTCTCCATCTCTGGGTTGTCTTCTCTACCATACCGAGGCTTGTGGAGGGGTTCAAGGGGGAGGTTGTGACTGGATACAGGTATTATCAAGGGTTCAAGGGGGAGGTTGTGACTGGATATATACAGGTATTATCAAGGGTTCATGGGGGAGGTTGTGACTGGATACAGGTATTATCAAGGATTCAAGGGTAGGTTGTGACTGGATACAGGTATTATCAAGGATTCAAGGGTAGGTTGTGACTGGATACAGGTATTATCAAGGGTTCAAGGAGGAGGTTGTGACTGGATACAGGTATTATCAAGGGTTCAAATGGGGAGGACTGGATACAGGTATTATCAAGGATTCAAGGGTAGGTTGTGACTGGATACAGGTATTATCAAGGGTTCAAGGGGGAGGTTGTGACTGGATATATACAGGTATTATCAAGGGTTCAAGGGGGAGGTTGTGACTGGATATATACAGGTATTATCAAGGGTTCAAGGGGGAGGTTNGAGAACTGTGCTGCTATGTCCGGGGGGGTTGTGACTGTCATATCCCTTTTTTAAGGCATTCTTTCTTACATTACACAGTCACACTCTGTTGCTAAAGGAACTGAGTTTTTGCCACAAACTCAAATGTTCTCATCCCTATATCTTTGTGACCGGATGGTGTAAATCTTTGATATTTTAAACTTAAACTTTTTGATCTAACAGAATTTATAGTTTGAAATATCAAAGGTCTACAACATAGTGTTGCAAATATATAGGCATTAATATATTATAATTTGTTGCAAAAACTCAATTCCTTTAGTATCGTAAAAACTATATACTTATTTTTTTTCTCACAATATTAAGACTTTTTTGATACACATATTTCTGATGTTATGTTGATATTTCTGATTTGGTACAGACCGATCTCATAATCCATAATCCATAATCCATAATCCTCATAATCAGAAAAATCTAGATACATAATTCAATATTTATAATTTCAGAGCTCATATATTCCTTTTTAGGCATTTTTTTATATACACAGTACACACCCCTGATATTATGTTGATATTGAATACTCCATCAATACTATATTAATAATTTCGATGTAGGATAATCATTGCAACTCTTTTTTTTTCAAAATTCTTTTTAAATTTTTTAAACTGTAATATTTATATATTGATTTTATAGTTTTTGTAGTTTCACAATCTCTTTAATCAGTATGTTTATACAGGCTACAGAATCTTGTCAGAGTATCGGAGCTTGGTTGGTTGAAATTCATTCAGGAGATGAACAGAACTTTATTGTTACCATGGCAAAGGTTGGTATACAGTGAGACCTAATAAACTGTGGAATATGAAGAAAACATTTAATTATCTGACGTATATATATTTAATTCATGTTGTTATAAAGCCAGTGAATTGAAAATTAACTTACTAAGTGTACCTTACTTAATTGTCGTGAATGACTATTTAAAATCATAACGTTGATCCAACAGTCGTCTTTAAATTCCACAGTTTTCTGGGTCTCACTTTATTAGTTTTACAAACATAACATAAAAGATTTCATTTTAAAAATTCCTTCGTTCTTTATAATATAATATAATATTAATTTTTATTGTGACAAAATATTATTTGATTAAATTAAATCTTCTTTCACGAAGCCTTTTTGGAAATATATCATTGTCTTTGAAACTGAATGTGAAGATAAGTATTTTTGAACACAGGTCTAATTAGAACCCATATGTTAAATAATTTACACCCCTGGTCCTAACATCAACCAAATATCCTGTACAAGCCATGTAAAGGTATTGAGTCTTTGCCACAATTTCTGATTTTCTAATCCCTATATCTTTGAAACCCAATTTTATATTTCAAACTATGAATCTGTTAGATCAAATAATCTAAGTTTGAAACATTAAAGGTTTACGCCATCAGGTTGCTAAGAAATAAGAATTAGAAAATTTGATCAAAAACTCATCTCCTTTATTTAAGGCTCTTGAATTGATCCACGGCCCCCTGGATTGGTGGATTGGATTAAATGATCTAGGAAATGAAGGTAAAAACTCAAATAATTATTTTGACCGTTTTTAGGCCAGTGTCCGAATTTAATGAATTTAAGCCGCTTCTAAAATCCCCCAAAAACCGGTTTCAGTTGAGCGCCGGCTTAAATCTTGAAAAATTTAATACAAATTTAAGTGGAACCAACAAAATTTGAGCCGCGGCTTAAATTCTTTAAATTCGGCCTCAGAAATAATAAACACAGAAAATGAGTTGAACAAAGCACTGCTGATTGAACCACTTCAACCTGGTTTAACTTATTCTCGTTATTAATTAAATCCGATCAATGCAGTTCAATAATCCTCAATAAAAGGTGTTAAACAATTTTTAGATTTTCTACTATATATGTTAGATGAAAATTATATATATATATACACATATATATATAATTAATTTATTATTCAATCAAAAAAAACATATATATAAATATACATATGTTAGATGAAAATTATTTATAAATATATGTTAGCATGAAAATTATATATATATATATATATATATATCGTCTAATTATTATTTAATCAAAAACCTTTATGTATATATATATATTAGATGAAAATTATTTACAAATATATGTTAGATGAAATTGTGGATCTTTAAGATTAAAAATTGAATTGACAAACTTCATTAAATTTCAAAAATACCATTTAGCGGAATTTTCTTAATTTGCGTTTTAAAGATTTCTATTTTTGAATATTAAATAAAGAAGAGCCTAAAAATGTGAAAATTATTCATTATAATTGAAATTTTCAAATGTAATTTTTTGTAACTTCAATAGCAAAAGACTTTAAACCAAAAGTAGCAATTTATCAATAATTTAAGTTTGTTGTTTCTGACGAGTCCTTTATATTTAGCCTACGTCATTAACAAATTTATATACAGAAAGTAGTAATCTTCATTTGTACTCTTTGATTTTATGTTTGATCATAGCTTATAACCACCTTGACAGTTTTGACTCAAGTTTTAGTTTAGGAACTCGGCAGAACCACGGGAACGGTCTTAGTTCTAATTTAATTTGGGTTGACTTTCAAAGAGAAAGTTTTCAGGCAAAGCTGGATTCCCAATTTTTGTTGTTTTTATTATAAAAATGTTTAACTATGAAAACTAAAACTTTTACTGAACAACGGAACGGGTTCAATTTCATTAGACAATGTCGCCTTTGTTTAAAATAAATATCGCATTTTTGGTAAAATTGAAAATAGAGAAAATTTTTCTTCAGGAAATTGGTTGTGGCAGCACTCTAGATCCAACCTAACCTCAGGAAAGTTCTCCTCCTGGGGGTTAGGAGAACCTAATGGAACCTATCTAGAGAACTGTGCTGCTATGTCCTATGGAAGTTTAAACTATAGGTAACCTTTTTATTTGGGAAAAAAAAAACAAAGTAATTATACAAATATACAGAAGAGGTGAGTAGGAAGACAGTAACTGTAATTTTAAGACAAAAAAGGGGGATGTCGTCGTATTTTATGTGAGCCTCCATTTAAAGAGGGGTATGCGGACCATTGCCCAATTCACAAAGGTAGCAATATAACCTCAATCTAATTAATAATTTGGAGGATAGCGTCTTTTTTTTTCTTGAAAAGTGTTTTAATCTGATAACATCTCTGTGGATATTGAAGCAAGACATGCTCAAGCCACGTTTGTACTTTATTGCTTTGTGTAATTATACAATACATTTTTACGTGCTTTTTTATATCTAAGATTGGGATTTATATTTTTAATTGATAAAATTTACAATTATTCTTTATTTATAGATGGAGTGATCTGGGTTGCGGGAAACGAGCTAGAACTTTTCCTATCTGTCAGAAGTTTTAGAACTTTTCCTATCTGTCAGAATTTTTAGAACTTTTCCTATCCGTCAGAAGTTTTAGAACTTTTCCTATCTGTCAGAAGTTTTTGAACTTTTCCTATCTGTCAGAAGTTTTTGAACTTTTCCTATCTGTCAGAAGTTTTAGAACGATTCTTCATTTTCTATAGAATTTTTAGAACTTTTCCTATCTGTCAGAAGATTTAGAACGATTCTTAATTTTCTATAGAAGTTTTGGACAGAATAGAAGTTTTAGTCTGATTTTTTCTTTTTCCATTGAAGTTAACAAGTTTGTCCTCTACCCTAGAAGTTTAACACTGACTATCCAGGGACTATCCTGGAACTATCCTGGGACTATCCTGGGACTATCCTGGGACTATCCTGGGACTATCCTGGGACTATCCTGGGACTATCCTGGGACTATCCTGGGACTATCCGGGACTATCCTGGGACTATCCTGGGACTATCCTGAGACTAAATTAAATGATTAACAAGAAATCTTCCATTATCTTCTTTTATTAAATGTTTAATATCATTGTAAATATAGAAATCTATAAATAAATCCAATTTTGTTTTATTTTCATACTTTTCTCATTAATCGATTTAAAAAAGAGTGGCGGAGAAGGGGGCTTTCCAAATAAAGTTTGCTCAATAAAAATGAGATTTGAGACGTTCCTCATAAGTGTTTTGAAGGGTTACGCGCAAAAGATGAAGTACGACTTGAAACTTTTTAACCGACCCTGGAGGGTCTTCCTTAAAGGGACTGTATGCCTAATTTCAAGTGAACCTCCATGCAAAGATCGCAATACCCGAATTAAAATGGTATCCTTGAAACTTTTATCTGATCAAAAAGTGGAAGATACCCGTCGTTTTTCTGACTCGACAAGTGTTTATTTCTGTGAGTTTCTTAATTGACTCTTTAAACAAGGAATGCGAAGATCGCTTTCGCAGAAAAACCGCAAATGAAAAACCGGTTTAAGGAAACAAAAAAATTCTTATCTAATTCATACTTGATCAGACAATGCTTTCAAGGGTACCCTTGTAAATCGGACATTGTCATCTTTGCATTGAGGGCCACTTGAAATTACGTTTACAGTCCCTTTAAGTTTTCATGTTTTTGTGCACACTGTACCTTGATTAGGGTGAATTCAAGTCTTATCAAACAAAAATTATCAAACCAGTCAAACAATAAATATGGCGTATGCATGGACCCTTCTAAACTTAGGTTATCTATTTACAAATTTAGCTTGACTGTTTGTTTCCAATAAACGTTAACACGGTTAAACCGTGATGGCCAAATTTTTTGTGGCATCTCCCCATGGCCCAAGAGAAGGGTTAGGGCCTGTCAATATATAGATTGTATTTTCCTGGAAAAATTCGATTTAAATATTTTTGAAAGTTCTATGTGTAATAAGTAATCTTTAAAAAACCAGGAAATTTTTAAATTTAATGATGTAAGAGCTTGGGAACCCAGGTTTCATGGAGTTTTTCTTAACTAAGATTTTTTGAACCCAGTTAAGAACATTCCCGTGGTTCTACCAAGTTTCCCAATCATAATTTGAGGCAAAACATTTGTCATCAGATCATGTGTACCTAGCACAATAAACATTACTTCTAGTGAAACAGAAATTCCTTGGCAAAATTCTATTTCCTGCCAGTAAACTTAGTGAAAGTGGTACCTGATAAGTAAAATACAGTAAAATAGTTTTACATTATAACTATAAGTTTATATTTTATAGATAAACCAAATCCGTGAAAAAGTTGTTTACAACAACATACATATTTAATGAAGAAACTTTTTATAAAAAGTTTAACCGTACAAAATGAGAAAAGGGATAAACTTTACATTAGACAAGGAAATGTAGCACGTTAGAGTCAGGTACTTTGAAATTAGATTGTAATGTGTACACTGTACATCTCATCCTGGTTGGGCATATTCCAACTTTTTCTGGCCGTTTCGTTAACGGTTATAGTTCCAACCGTTAGAGAAAAAATTAAGGTACCCGTTAATTTTAAAGGTAAGAACGATATGTTCATTTCGTTAACGGCATTTACCGTTTTTTTTAAATCACCGTTATTTAACAATCTTGATTTTAGTAACGACATTGACGGAAAGTTTTTAACAATCGTTAGCGGCTCAAGTCCCTAATGGTCTATTACAATATTAATAAAAGTCACTTAATAATGACAAATGGGATAAGAAAGGTTAAGAAAGAAGTGGATGTTTTCGGCAAAAGAATTCTTAATTCTTGTAAGTTCATCTTCATCTTCAGAGTATCATAGTGCATGGTGCACAACCTATCAAGATTTTACTTTATGTGTTTCCATTTTCCTTGTTTCTTCCAAGAGGGAAGGGAAAAAAAGAGAGAGAAACCCCTCTTCTCTTCTCTGCACTATTATATTCTCATTTTCCCATGTAGGGTGTACTGTAATGTTATTCCACACAGGGTTCTGTTCAACCACAAGAAACTGGAGAGAATTGAATAAGAACCTGATGCTTACACAAATAGAACCAAATTTAATGGAAAGAATTAACGTCCTTCGGATACTTAATAACAGCTAACCAGGCTTGTTATTAAAGAGTATGTTTAAAGCTGCCAGTAGCAAAATCTGGATCCAGCTAGGTAAAAAACCTCCATGCTCCAGGGTAATACAGCGTTAAAAGATTAATGCAGGCCTTCAATGTTTCTTGTGTTCCGTTTTTTCTTTTCCATTAGTGTGCAGGGGTGTATACCCCCATATTCACCCCTGGCTAAAGTTTCTCTAGTTTGCCATTTTTTCTCTCTCACCCTGTATCTCTGAATACTGTTAGAAGCGCCTCTCAAGACCTAGTTGTTACCTCTCTGAAAGCTGAATGTACACTTTTTATGTGTTTAATTTGAGAGAACTCCGAGAAAGAACAAAAAATTAAGTATGAACCATAAGTAAAGCTATAAAATCACTTTTCATCGTTAACAAAACGATCAAAGTTATTTTTCAAAATGTAAAACTGATCATTCCTATCGAATATGATATTATTTGTATAGGTTTGGAACTAAAACGGGAGATATTGGAGGAAACGGGCCCAGATATTAACGGGGTTATTTTCAGACTTCATTATAAGGTTAATAGTTTTTAACTCTGCTAAACAAATTTTACTTTTGAGTTTAATTAAAGGGGTAGGAAAGGTGGGACTATACTAACTATGGTATCTAGATGACCAGTTGTCTACTCCTACTATGTGGGACTATACTAACTATGGTATCTAGATGACCAGTAGTCTACTCCTACTATGTGGGACTATACTAACTATGGTATCTAGGTGACCAGTAGTCTACTCCTACTATGTGGGACTATACTAACTATGGTATCTAGGTGACCAGTAGTCTACTCCTACTATGTGGTACTATACTAACTATGGTATCTATGTGACCAGTAGCCTACTACTACTATGTGGCACTATACTAACTATGGTAACTAGATGACTAGTAGTCTACTTCTACTATGTGGGAATATATTAACTATGGTATCTAGGTGACCAGTAGTCTACTACTACTATGTGGAACTATAATAACTATGGTATCATGGTTTGGGTCTAAACCTGTTAGTTGCACGACAAATAGTCAGGTAATAAAAAAAAATTTACTACATGTTATTTTAGGTAATCATTTAAACTGATTCACAAAGGCACCCTGTAAACCTTAGTCCAGATAGAAAACGCCAATATCTTCTTCTCTGTTGTTTAGATTAAGGAAATACGTCAAAAGTTTTTTACTAAAATGATAAAAAGTTGAGTATCTGAAATAATCAAAATCTGAGGGTTAGATTTGTACATAAAATTTAGATAACTGGGTTTCATTCCTTAATAAAACTTAGATGGCTAGGTTTCATTTCTTAATAAAACTTAGATAACTGGGTTTCATTCCTCAATAAAACTTAGATAACTGCCAACTGGGTTTCATTCCTTAATAAAATTTAGATAACTGAGTTTCATTCCTTAATAAAACTAAAATAAATGGGTTTCATTTCTTAATAAAACTAAAATAACTGAGTTTCATTCCTTAATAAAACTTTAATAACTGGGTTTCATTTCTTAATAAAACTAAAATAACTGAGTTTCATTTCTTTTTAAAACTTATATAACTGGGTTTCATTTCTTAATAAACTTAGAGAACTGGGTTTCAATTCTTAATAAAACTAAAATAACTGGGTTTCATTTCTTAATAAAACTAAAATAACTGGGTTTCATTCCTTAATAAAACTTAAATAACTGGGTTTTATTTCTTACTAAAACTTAGAAAACCGGGTTTCATTTCTTAATAGGACTAAAATAACTCGGTTTCATTCCTTTTTAAAACTTTGATAACTGGTTTTTTTTTCCTTAGAAAACTTACAAAACTGGGTTTGATTTATGTAATCCTTGGATAAAAGAGTGTCATTTCTTAATAAAATTTATAATAACTGGGCTAGATCTAATTAAACTTATATATAAAAATTAGATAACAAGGGTTGATTTCTTTAATAAAAATTAGACAACATAGGATTGATTTCTATACAAAACTAAGATAACAAGGGTTGATTTATATATAAAACTAAGATAACAATTGGGTTGATTTATATATAAAATTAAGATAACAAGGGTTGATTTATATATAAAACTAAGATAACAATTGGGTTGATTTATATATAAAACTAAGATAACAATTGGGTTGATTTATATATAAAACTAAGATAACAATTGGGTTGATTTATATATAAAACTAAGATAACAATTGGGTTGATTTTTATATAAAAATTAACAATAGGGATTGTTTTCTTTGTTAACAATTAAGTATTGGGTTAAATAACTGGAATATATTTTTATATAAAACTTAAATAACTGAGTTTTTTCTTACACAACTTATTGATGGCTGGGTTTAATATCTTTATAAACCAAAACAATTTTTTCTGCACAAAAATTAGATAACAGGGATTGATTTCTATATAAAAATTAGATAAAAGAGGTTAATTCTTATATAAAAATTAGATAAAAGGGTTTATTTCTATATTAAAATTAGATTACAAGGGTTGATTTTTATATAAAAATTAGATTACAGGGTTTGATTTCTTTATAAAAATTAGATTACAGGTGTTGATCTCTTTATTAAAATTAGATTACAAGGGTTGATTTCTTTATTAAAATTAGATTACAGGGGTTGATTTTGATTCCTATTGCTGGATTCATCCTTCTAAGATATCTACTCAGACAACCAAATGGACGGATGAAATTATTCAGAAAAACCTTCAAGGTATTGTTTTATAATGAAAATTATATTTAAGGGACTGTTAATAAAATCAAAGTAAAATGGAGATACAAATTATGAAGAATTGTTTTCACTAGCTATTTTAGAAACGAATTAATTATAAAGTGAAAGTAAAGGAGATGATTAATTTTAATTAATTTTTGACTTCTTAATCCCCATAACTTTTTAACCCTGTGCCGTAGACATTAGATATTTCAAACGTTGAGGTCCGTTAGTTCGAATAGTTTAAATTTTAATTATCGAAGGTTAACACCTCAAGGTTGTAAAAATTAGAAAATTGAGTTTTACGGAAGCACAACTTTCATAATTGTTTTTCTTTTATTTAGATCGGCTTACAAAATAACAAAAATATAAACTAAAAGGCTGAGTTTTGCCACAAACTTCCATTTTTTAATTCCTATATATTTGCAATTCAGTGTCGTATAATCTTTGATATTTTAATCCACGGCCCGCTTCTATGCTTCTATCTACCGATCTATTTTATTCTGGGCTAGTGTACATGTAACTTTGTCGGTGGGCTACGCAGCTGTTATATCTCAGTGGAAAGGAAATTTCTAAAACCTCTGCATAGCAAATTTTAGGTTTTACTATAACAAATTTTTATTCTGACTATTGTTCATTCTATAAAAATAATTTGTACTTTTAAAAAAGTTTGAGGTGAAGTTAGGGTCCAAATTAAAGAAGAAGTTAGGTAGATAGTGGACCCTGGAGTAAGCAGAAATGTGATACTGTAACTTAAATCTTGTGATCATAGCATTTTCTTCAAAGAGTTGGTAGCATCAAAGGCGCCTTTTTTAGAATTCCAAAATGTGGTCTGCCGTTTTTTAAAATTCAAAATATTAAATATAAGTATCTCCAACAATTTTTATAATACAATTGAGGCTAAATCTTATCAAGTTTTAAAGACTTACAATGTTTTTCTATACTCCTTTGACATATATTAATTTTACGAAAACCAAAGACAAATTGTAAGCTCCAGGGTCCAATGTCTAATGTACTGCATAACACCCCAGCGAAAAAATTACATCAAACCTTGACTATGATATATCCATCTATTATATATCCATATTTTAAACTATGAATTCTATTAGATCGGTTTGAAATATTAAAAGATTGCACGATCAGGTTGTAAAAATATAGGGATAAGAAGATTTGAATTTGGGGTAAAAACTATTTGTCCCATTCCTGAAGGGCCGATTGTAATGGATTAAATCATAAAAAGTATTATAAACTATTTCTATCCAGGTATCGGAGGTTCAAGTTCATCGGAGGAACATCTTTTTCACTGTCAAAACGTAAACCAGGAACAAAATAAACAAAAACAAACTTCTGCGGAGTTAGATTATTTACTTGACAGCTTTCTAAATATTTGATGCGCAAAGGAAGTAGGTCTTAGTCACAAACTCATTTTTTCTAAGCCCTAAATCAGTGAAATCTTTGGCTCGATGCTTTTTATTTTTTTTTTTCGTTTTCAAGTTTGGAATTATAAGAATAATATATTTTTTAAACCATATTTTAATTACAAGTAGTTCTTTATTAAGCATCGTTCTTTTATCATTGAATTTTAAATATAGAAAATATTTTATCTTTATTAAGTCTAACTGCAGTCTTAACATGGCAGAGTTTTCTGGGTCTTACTGTATATTTATTGTTATTATAAAAGCCAAATATGAAAGTAAAAATAATTTTATTTTTAATTTGAAATATCTCAATTCTAATGATTACAAAAAATTGGTTAAAAAACGACTTAGAATTTTAAATTACAATTTGGCTGATCTAGCAGCAATCTTAGATTCCTTTAAGAAAGGAAATTATAAGATATCATTATTGAAACCTTATCAGTCAATTGGTACAGGCTCCTTCATTGTGGATTAATTAAAATTGGATTAAAAAAATAGTTTGGAAGAAATTTAAACAAAGAAAAAATGAAAATTCACAATACAGAATTTTACGTTTCTGAAGATCCACTTAATATCCTTTAATTCATTCTTATTTATATAGTTTAACAAAAGCTCATGAAAAACTAAAAAAAACATAAAAATATTTTTTAATAAAAATCCTTTTAATTATTGTCAATTTATCATTTTTGTCACTTTTACAAAAATAAAAATGGTTAAAAATAATTTCAATAATAATAAAAAAAATTGAATGGTATATCAAAGAAGAAGAACGTTTACAAACCATAGCATCTGTTATTGAAGCTAATAGAGTAAAGAGCACAATTGGATAAAAAATTTTATGCCTAAAATTATTTTTAAAAAATAGGGTTTTTTCTCTTACATGACTCATGTATTCTATACGGTCAGTACCAGTCTTTACTCGGCGAACATAAAAACATCTTTATATGAGTCTGTTGGTCGAAATGTAATCTCTAAGACCTCAGTTGACTAATCAATTAAGTTTATTAGCAAATATGCATTTTTTAACTCTGTAAAAGGCAAGTCTTTATGAACTTTCAAATTAACCCAAAAGTTATCCAATTTGTGCTTTTACTCTACATGAACATAAAAAGGGCGGTGAAAATACACCAAAGCCCAAAACTTATGACAGAGTATCATAAAGCATGAAGAAAGGCATTGAGCCTTTGTCACAAACTCTGATTTTCAAATATCTATATCTTTGCAACTCAAAGTCGTAGACCTTAGATATTTCAAACTGTAAATTCGGTCAGATCAAATGATCTAAATTTGAAATATCAAAGTTATACACCTTTAGGTTGGACAGAAAAAAGGGAATTAAAAAATTTGAGCTGATGGCAAATTTTTAATTTATTTGGAGATATTTATCTAGGAATAAAAAAGTATTGGCAAAAGTAAGCTAAACCTTAGGCCATGCATGGCAAACACTCCTGAAAGAAAGACAACTCCTAAATGACATTTTAAACCTGGCCTGGTTTAAATAAAGTTAATGCATGGATGTATCGCTAACTATGACAACAAAAGCATATTGTTACAACTAAGCAACCATTCGAATTGTGTTTTTATTGAGGTATGATAAAACTTTAGTATTGGCACGTTTATTTTAATGATAATACAGTTGAATCGACATGTTTTATTTTCAAATGAAAGGATCCAGATTATGACTGTTTATCTCGTTCTGTTGATTACTACCAGGTATAAATATTCATTGATTTTATGAAACAAATTTTAATACTTAATATTTTATAATTCCTTTCCAATCTATTATAGGCCATACGTTTTTTTTAAAGGCAGGTTTTGTTGTAAATGAAGTGGATTGTATATTATTACACAATAGTACTGTGAACCCAACCAAGGGTTCTCCAACGTGTATATAGTATCATACAGTTCATTGCTCCCAAGCGGAGAAATTAAGCTTAAAATTTCAATCCAAGAATAAAGACAAACAATCTAGACCCAAGTCCAATAGGATATTGAACCCTGAGTATGTTTGCAGCCTTAGTATATAACAGGCTAGGCTCGCAAGATAATTGAAACCCTTTGCCAGGGGAGGATCAATGCTGGAGAAAAGAGTGAAACAATATTTATCCAGCCAGGGAAGAAATCAGTATCGTCGGCCATCTTATCCCCAAAGACCTTGTTAGTTCTCACGAAGTATCTGATCAGAAGAGTCAAATGAAATATATTCGCCTCAGGCAAATGTTGTGTGTATTTAGATCAACTTTAATTGGTCCAACACTAATCGTTTGTATCGTTATAATGTAAATATAGTTTGTGTACAACCCTGCTTCGTTATTTCACTCAATCTTGGCTTTTTACTACTGAGTTCTTTTCAAGTCTATAGTGTACACATTGATCCAAAGGTTGCAGACTACCTCATAAAAATTGATAAGAATCTTGTCTAATACTCTTTTAAAATGAAATCTAAAATAAGTGAGTTAGTAAGGTCAAATAAAATGCCAAAAAGTTGCGAGACCCTGTCTTAAAAATTGTTGCAACTTTTCATACTGCAGTCTGGATATAAGTAGGTAGTGATTTATTTCATTTTGTATTACTTTTATAGTTTTTTATTTTATGTTTTATTACTTGTATGTTATAGTTTTTAATTTTATTTTGTATTACTTGTTTGTGATAGTTTTTTATTTTATTTTGTATTACTTGTTTGTAATAGTTTTTTATTTAATTTTGTATTACTTGTTTGTGATAGTTTTTTATTTTATTTTGTATTACTTTTTAGTAATAGTTTTTTATTTTATTTTGTATAGAACTTGTATGTGGTAGTTTTTTATTTTATTTGTATAGCACTTGTATGTAATGCGAAATGAAAAAAAATTAAAATTTAATTGAACCCATGAAGAAGACAACAACTATTTTTATTCTTTAAATTCTCTTGAACATGTTTTATCATTGATTTACGAGTTGGTCATGCTTCAGTGGAGTGCGGTTTTTCTGATGTTTCAAGCCCTGTGTTTTTATGCATCTAGGTAAACAATAGATTCAAAATGCATTTAACATTAAAAAATACACAAAATATATAAAATAGAATTTCTTAGATTTGTGTGGAGTAAATGGGAGAATGGAACAATGGAGTATATTTTGAAAACAACAGAACGTCATGAATCTATAGAAAGGGAACGCAATCCACCATAAAATAAACTTCTTTTCAAAACAATTTTTTTTTCTTTAAATTTCAATTTTTTTTCAGGAAAGCTGAAATTACTGCTCAGCTTATCTTGTACAGATCCCAAAGGTTAGAATCTGTTAAAAAAAGAAAACTAAACCGACACAAAAAATTACACTAAATTAAAACATACTAAAAATGTTTGTAATACAGATAAAGGAATTAAGTCTTTTCAACAAACTCTGATCTTCCAATCCCTATACCTTTGCAACCCAATGCCATAGACCTTAGATATTTTAAACTATGAATTCTTTTATTTCAAAAATCCCATTTTGCACCATTTGGTAGCAAAGATAAAGGGATTAGATAATTAGAGTTTGTGCCTAAGACTTAATTTTCTTTATTAAGTAAATGAGTTATGGTTGAAAAAACAAATAAAATTGCTACTCTTGCTTTTATTGGTGAGAGTTCATTCTCTACTGAATTCATAAAAATTTTATCAACAAGTTTTCAAATCAAAATTAAGCATTAAATGAATGTGCAGTGATTATAAAGTAATTTTAAATCTATAAAAAGTTTACTCATTATGCCAATATTTTATGATGTTCTTGAACAAACTTAAACGCAAAAAAGTTGCAGATAAAATTAAGAATAAATAAAATTTAGAGGTAAAAATAAGTTGTATGCTCTTGGATATATGTTGGCTGAATGCAGTCTAGGACTAAACCTTGCTATTCAATGGGCCTTCACCTGTGCTTTCTTGGGAGTAGCTAGATATGGGTAGGTTATCAAATATCAACCCTACACAATTTGCAAAATATTTCATATGTTTTTTTTATCACACGTTTCCCACATAAAAATCTTAAAGAAAGTCCATATACTCTACTGCCTCCAAGACTAAAATACAAATTTCCATTATCACATTTTGAACAGATATTAACCCGACCCTATCTCGGCTAAAAAGATCGCAAACGTTACCACAAACCCAAATTTTTAAATCCTCAATAATTATCTTTACCACCTGATGGTGATGCAAACATATAAGGATTAAAAAATCAGAATGTGCGGTAAAGACTCAAATCCTTTAGTTCTTATAAGTTATTTAGGTCAAACGCAGTAAAAGCTCTCCTTCATTGGTTACCATAAAATGACGTGAAGGTTCTCATATTTTCACGTCAAAATTTAGGACAAAGAAGGATTTTGAAGCATTTTTAAAAATTAACTACTTTTGAACTTGATTTTGGTTTGGTTAAGTCTGAAATAAAAACCTGCAAAATGTTTGGTTATTCCCTTCATTTACATTATTTCTTTTATAATAATCTATAAATCAAGATTTTTTGGGGAAAAAAGCGGAATTTTATTTTTAATCACTCATGTACATATTCTATAAATTCTCTTAGACGCTTTTATTTCACGGACACTTACATAATAATAAAATTAATTTCAGGAATCATGTTTTTAATTTTTACAATTTGGGCTGGTATTCAATTTTCTGTAAGTATCTACTTTATACAAACAAAAACATAAAGATTTTAACAAATTATTAAAAATATATAATATTTTCTAACACCTAGATGACAGGCGTCGTCTTCCATCTATGCTTTTATTTCCTACCTTATCTGGCTGTACGTATATGAGGTATATAAACTTTTTTTTTGTAAATCTGTCTGTATAGCTCAAGGACTATGGAGTCAAGCTTACCCTGTATAATTACATATATATATATATTATATATATATACATATATGTAACATATATGTATATAACATCCCTAAATCGATTTTTTCCCCAAAGGTCAAGAAATTTAAAGGTTATAAGTTTTAAATATTGGAACTAAATAACTAGAAGGGGTAAGGGGTGTTAGTTAAGAAAAGATTGTTTTAATTTTAAAATAGGAACACACTCTTCTATATAGATAACATATATGTATATAGACAAATGTTTTATGATTAAGGAGTATATAATGGATAGCTTAAAATAATAGAACTTTTGAACTAGGATTATCTACTTCTCTAATCCTCAGTAAAGAAGCAGTTTAATTTTCCAGGGTTACCAACGTAAATACGTTTTATGACGATTCAAAGGGTAAATTTAGTATTCTACCTTGAACATAATCTTTTAATGGGTTATTGAATTATTTGACAAAGAAAGAAACAATTTTACGTTTGCTGTGAATCCATGAATATATGGAAACGGACAGAGTATAAATTCGTTCAGTTGTCTCTGAAGTCTTGTTATGCGCCAGGTATGGTGAAGGAGGGGGAACTAACCCTGTATATTTACTTGTTATGCGCCAGGTATGGTGAAGGAGGGGGAACTACTCAAACTGATCTGCTCTGTCTTCTACCTCTGAATATAATACATGACAAGGTCCAAGTTTTATCTTATTTTAACTAGCTTGGGAACCAAGCTTTGCCAGGATTTTTCGTATAGAACTCAACCCACTCAACTCAGAATTTTAATAACAGACTAAGAACATGATCCCGTGGTTCTATCGAGTTATTTTAATAACAGACTAAGAACATGATCCCGTGGTTCTATCGAGTTATTTTAATAACAGACTAAGAACATGATCCCGTGGTTCTACCGAGTTATTTTAATAACAGACTAAGAACATGATCCCGTGGTTCTATCGAGTTATTTTAATAACAGACTAAGAACATGATCCCGGGCACGTTCTATCGAGTTACCCAATCAAAATTTAAGGAAAATCGACCCAGGGGTGTATTCGAGTTTTCATCAGATATTATTTCTTTCTTTGGTAAAAATTATCAAACATTTATCAATTTATGATTTTTTGATTAAGATCTTTCTCTTCCAATGGTTCTGGTTTGCCCTTCTCTCTTTTCTTACATGCTCTAAACTGCTATATAGGTAAAAATTTACAAATCAATCTTTAGGAAAAAAACTAATGTAGAATGTTAAATTTCAGGATCTGTGTTTTTCTTTCTGCAGGAGCTAGGTATACAACTTTTATATTATTATATAAGTAGAAAATATCGTTATCGTTATATATATATAAATATATATATATATATATATATATATCAATACAATAAAGACGACTTTCATCTTTAATTTGATTTCTGCTAATCAATTCAAACAGCATTAATACACATAAACATAGATCTAAAGAGAAGCTGCCAATTAAATAGAAAAGTCGTCTTCATTGTATTGGTAAAAACGCCGACCACTGTATACAAACTTCGTAGAAATTTTCCATCTTTTAGGAAAATATTTTTGAATTTTTTCAGAGAAAGGGTTCTTCGATATGAAATGAGTAAAACCTCATTGTTCAGCACTGCTGAGTATAACTGTATTCTCAGAACATTCTCTAAGTATTTACTTCTTTCCAGATTTAAACATGATTATTGGAAAATGTCGTCTTTAATCTTAGAAAAAATATTTGTTGTCCTGATTACCAAAGATTTATGGAATTTCGTAAAGATTTCAATTAAATAAACAAACTAAAATTTCTTAATGTCGTCTTTCTTTGTAAAAATTAGGAAAAGTCGTGCAACATATTTTTTAATTAAAACGGAAGTAGATAAAAGACGATCTTTAACGATCATGTTTTATTGGATGGTTTAATTAAGAATCAATAGTTTTAGCCTGAGCTAAGTCGGGTTAAAACAAGTACGAAAACAAATATTTTTGTTTTTAACAAGAATAAAGTGTGTAACGCTTCTGGTGTATCTTCCTTGCTAGAATTGTTTTCTAAAATTGGTTCCATTTCATGTAATGATAACATTTCTAAAAACAATTTTGTTTTGAAAATATTGAAAATTGTAAGAGAAAATTGCCTCAAAAATTCTAATTTTAAAGAAAGTTTTTTAAATCTATAAGAAGATTTATTAATTTCTTAAAATCCTAAAAACTGTTGGTCAATTTTTAGGATCAATTTCAATATTCAATTGATTAATTAATTCCAAGAAGTAAAAATTCTATAAAGAGAATATAGATTCGAAGAAGAATTTATTTGCAAGTTTAATCCTCTTTTTTCTGTTTAATTAAAGTAGAAACCAGAAAACTGTGAATTGATTGTCGCCTTTTTTCTTACTTTCAACTATTTAGTAATTTGTAATAGCTATTACTGAAATATGTCTCATTTTTATTATTAAATCAGTTACAAATTACATAATTCTTAGCTCCATTTTATTTAAAAAGATTGAAAAAGATGACAATCATTCCACTGTTTTCTGTTTATCACTGTATTTAATGTTATTTGTACAAAGGTCTCACTCGGATTTTGTATTTCTGGAGATTTTAAATAAAAATGCTGAGGTGGAGTTGGTGCAGAATACCATGAGGTAAATATAAAAAACCCGATTTATTCAAAAACTTTTTAAAAATCTATTTTTAGGAAGTTTAAAGAACTAAAGGAAAAAAGTGAATTGTCCTTGTGAATATTTGCTGGAGACTCAAATTAGTTAATATACTGTGTGAAACTTTTATCTAAAAATAGAAAATAAATAAAATAATTCAATATGTTAGCTAGCAGATGTGTGTCATTCTATGAGACTATTGAAGCAAGTTCTAAGCTTTGCATTAGATTTCTTTATAATTTATGTAAAAATGACCTTAACACAGTTCTTGGCAGAAATGTATTTTCTATTGCAAATGATTGTTCTGTAAATCCTTCCGATCTTAGTAAAATGTTAGTTAAGAAACAAATGAAATATTTTGATGTCCCATTGGAACATGAATGGAAAGTTCCGGTTTTACAAGAACTTTTAATTACAAGAATGAATAATTTATATGTTGAAGGATTCGATGATTACGTAATAACTGAAATGATAAATATGATATGTAGTGAGTAAAAATCAATGTTTTCTATTTGTGCATAATTTTGAATATTTTTTTCTCTTTTCTTTTGGAAACCTGTATTTTCAAAAAAAATTTATTTAAACAAATTTTGACTACACCATTTATATATACATCTTTGTGTGTGAATAAATCTTTATAATATAATATAATATTAAACTTTATATTTTAATAATATTAGCTTTCCTTCACAATACAAAGGAACATTTTTTAATTATTTTCCACATATCATGGTTTTGAACTAAATTTTTGTAGATACTCTTCACTAGCTATTTTAAAAAAATGAAAATTAAATAATTATCATTTGATCAAGTGTTGAATTAAACATGTAATTTTGTTATTCTGACTAATTTGTGCATCAAAACATATTTGGACATGCAATTTTTAATGTTCTTCACTCTTCAGTTTCAGATTTTAAAAGTGTAATAACTCTGAATTCTAGGGGGGGGGGGTACGCCCCCTCTTTACAGGTCTAGGGGGAGTAATGCCCTCCTTGCCCCCCCCGTATACGCCCTTATATAAAAGTAAAACTAAAAAGAAGTATTTATACAGATTATGTATAAAAAGAAAGGGAGAAGGAACAATAGTTTGATTGATTGATTGATTGATGTATCTAAAGATTATATTTGTAAAATCAAAATCAGGAGCGGATACAGGATTTAAGTGAGGGGGGTGCTAGATTTATTTGGATCAAAAACATCCAGATTTAGGAACACAATTTTTTTAAAGTTATATATTTTTCCTGTTTTGCACTAAGTTTTCTTTCCCTTAAGTGCTATTGAACCTTCGCACCCCCCTGAAATCTCAGGGGGGTGCGAAGGTCCTGTCGCCCCCCCCCCTGTATCCACCGAATCCACCCCCTGATCAAAATTATTGATGATAGATCGCTAGATGCTTAAAAATTTAAAACCCTAATAATTAATAGATAAAGAATTTAGAATACATTTTGAAAGGTTATAGAGTACAATTATAGGGGTCAACGTATACTCGTAACCTGAAATACACAAGCTTCAAATTCCCCCAATAAACTCGAACAGAGTACACTCTACAGCTCTTAAAGTGAAACAATCAGAAACAGAAGAGAATAAATTTAAAAAGAATGTCACCTAAAAAGTCTGAAAGTCTTCATATTGTAACACCTCTACTAGAAAGTAAAGAACTAAGCAGGTATCGAAGAGAGTATAAGTATACATTACTTTGTTTATAATTATTTTGTTTTCTTGTAAATTCTAAATTTTGTCAAAATATATTTGATCTTCGTCGTGTAATTACAGACAAAACATTTGGTTAATTTCTTTGTATACGATTTTTGCATGCAGGCATTATTGTCAATTGTCTGAAATTATTTATTGTGCAGTAAAAGAAGTAAAATGGCCAAAAATTCACTTCTGAAATCTTAATTTACGTTAATCTATATGTAAGTTACAATACAAATACAAATTCTAAGTCTGTGTTTGTAAAAAAAGGGATTCCAGTTTCTGTTGTACAGACCAATTTATATATCTGTATATATAAATATATAATTTTTAAATACTTGGGACATAAAATGTCGTCATCCAACTATGAGTTTGGCCAACTTTAGTACAAGGTGTCCCAAAAAACATGGGAATTCAGTGACGAATCGTATATCGTCTTTGCCATGAATAAGCATTGTAATACCTAATTTCAAAAGCCATAATATTATTATGTCTGCTAGAGTTTATTTTATGAAAACGGCAAAAGGCTGTAAAGATGTGTCTATAATGTCTCCGCAAGATGAACAATGAAGATGGACAAGTTTACTCTGTTTGTATACTGCAATTTTCTTGTTTTACTAAGTACAACTGTATGGAGTCAAGACATAAACAAACAAAATGTGAACATAGCAGACGAAACTCTTACAGATTTCAGCTTTCACAGTAGGTATCACTATACTAAATCAAAGAATTATTTGAAAAGACGATATCGAATTCGTGTCTGAATTCCCATGTTATTGGGACACCCTGTATTTAATCATGTTGCCCCTCTCCCTCCTATTAATTTTTCACATGGATCTCATATGCATCACATGGATATTATTGGTCATGTGACCGCAGCGCCCAGCCCCCTAGCCTGTCCTAGCCGCAGCGCTGAGCCCTCTATCCTGTCCTAGCCACAGCGCTCGGTCCAGAAATTTTCTTAACCAAACCTAATCCTGAAATAATACAAAATAACTTAAAATTAATAAATTAATTGTCATGTACAAAATTTATAAGAGCGGGGGGGGGGGGGGGTCCAAAAATCGTGTATTAGGACGGACCTTTAATTCGATTTAATTTAAAGTCATTTTTTTCTTCTTCAAATTCATCGTTTCTAATTTAAATCTTTTTTTCTGATAACATAGTTCAGTGTTTTTAAATCATGCTTGTATCCACTATCAACTATTTTCTTTATGAATCATGTGATTTCTTCGACCTTAAATCATGCATTTTCTTTTTCAAAAATGATTTTTTCTTCTTAGCTTAAATTATGTTTTTTTTTCTTCCTAAAACCGTCTTTTTTCTTCTCAAATTATGCGCTTCTAAATTCTTTAGGTTGGCTGGGCGACGAGTTTGGTTAAAAATGGAGAATATGCAGCCGGGAGGAAGCTTTAAAATCAGGAAATTTTTCAAATTTAGTTTCAATCAGAAATTTTGATTTTTTCACTGATAGATGTACAAGGAACTTCTCTCTTGCAAAACATGTACTGCAGTTTCTGGGTAAAATGTAAATAAAGTTTGTTTCTACTACTTGCTCAGCTCCAGTGTCGTGCTGCAGTAAATGCCTTACTCCATAAAGGTATTTCAGACCCGTATCAATCCAGGTACAACTCAATCCCTCTTGTTGGTCTACGAGGCATAAGAACTAATCAGTTCAATAACACTTTACTATCAATGTCAATCTGGACACGATTTATCTGAACCAATGCTTCACTGTCAATGTCAATCCGGACACCGTTTATCTGAACCAATGCTTCACTATCAATGTCAATCTGGACACGAGTTATCTGAACCAATGCTTTACTATCAATGTCAATCCGGACATGATTTATCTGAACCAATGCTTTACTATTAATGTCAATCTGGACACAATTTATCTGAACCAATGCTTTACTTTCAATGTCAATCCGGACACGAGTTATCTGAACCAATGCTTCACTGTCAATGTCAATCTAGACATGAGTTATCTTAACCAATGCTTTACTATCAATGCCAATCAGTTATCTGAACCAATGCTTTACTATCAATGTCAATCCGGACACGATTTATCTGAACCAATGCTTTACTATCAATGTCAATCCGGACATGATTTATCTGTACCAATGCTTTACTATCAATGTCAATTCAGACACAATTTATTTGAACCAATGCTCACTATTAATGTCAATCCGGACACAATTTATCTGAATCAATGCTTCACTATCAATGTCAACCGGACATGATCTATCTGTACCAATGCTTTACTATCAATGTCAATCCGGACATGATCTATCTGAACCAATGCTTTACTATCAATGCCAATCCGGACACGATTTATCTGAACCAATGCTTTACATATCAATTTCAATCCGGACATGATCTATCTGAACCAATGCTTTACTATCAATGTCAATCCGGGCACGTACAGACGTATCTAGGTAGGTTAAGCGCAATACAAGATTTGGGTAGTTATTGATAAGCGCATTTAGATTTACAGACAATGTACAACGTAATTTATCTTTAGGTAAATGGGATCTGCTCTGGTATTTATTACAGTGCATCAGTTTATCCCCCCTGCGACAGTTAACTACCCATAATGTTTTAACGATTGCAGCACAATGTCAGACATAAAAACAATCTGATGACACTTGCCAATGTTTATTTATTTTTTGTTTGGAAAAACACATTTATAATTATATGTCTGTCTCGAATAAATACTATTTTTTAATAGTTTGAGAGGAAAGGCTTTTTAAGCGTATTAGATTTAAATATGCATTTAATTGTGTAATATTATAGTTTTTCATGGTTATATATTGTTTTTTTTTTGTGTTAAAAGGTGAAAACTTTAGGTGGCACTGTCGCATGGGAGATGAACTGCATGCTGCTATACAATTCTTGGCAAACATACTCTGCAGTACACTTTTAAAGATTTTTTTTTTGTCAAACTATTTCATAGTAAACATCAGCTTTTTAATCTTTATTTATATTTGTGTTTAATCTGAAAAATCGGCAGAGGAATTGGCCACACTATGCAGGTTTGAAATTACAAATATACAATTTATTGTTTACAATATACATTTCAGTAAAAACGGTCAAAATGTTTACGGGTTTTCTAATAAATTTTATAAACTTCTTTAAAAACACCTTTTTCTTTTATTTTGAAGAATATTCCTGTCTGTTTGATGTGTCCGAAAATATACATAATAAATATAAAGAAACAAATCCAAAATTTGAATTAATGTCCAATCAACATTTTTATTTACTTTGGCTCTGTTCGTGTCTTTTATCCTTTCTTGTATTTATTTTATATCTTTTATCCTTTTCTTGTATTTATTTTATATCATTTATACTTTCTTGTATTTATTTTATATAATTTATCCCTTCTTGTATTTATTTTATATCATTTATCCTTTCTTGTATTTATTTTATATATTTATCCTTTCTTGTATTTATTTTATACAATTTATTCTTTCTTGTATTTATTTTATATCATTTATACTTGCTTGTATTTATTTTATATCATTTATCCCTTCTTGTATTTATTTTATATAATTTATCCCTTCTTGTATTTATTTTATATCATTTATACTTTCTTGTATTTATTTTATATCATTTATACTTTCTTGTATTTATTTTATATAATTTATTTTTTCTTGTATTTATTTTATATCATTTATACTTTCTTGTATTCATTTTATATCATGTATCCCTTCTTGTATTTATTTTATATTATTTATCCTTTCTTGTATTTATTTTATACCATTTATCTTTTCTTGTATTTATTTTATATCATTTATTCTTTCTTGTATTTATTTTATATCATTTATCCTTTCTTGTATTTATTTTATATCATTTATACTTTCTTGTATTTATTTTATATCATTTATCCTTTCTTGTATTTATTTTATATCATTTATACTTTCTTGTATTTATTTTATATCATTTATACTTTCTTGTATTTATTTTATATAATTTATCCTTTCTTGTATTTATTTTATATCATTTATACTTTCTTGTATTTATTTTATATCATTTATCTTTTCTTGTATTCATTTTATATCATGTATCCCTTCTTGTATTTATTTTATATTATTTATCCTTTCTTGTATTTATTTTATACCATTTATCTTTTCTTGTATTTATTTTATATCATTTATTCTTTCTTGTATTTATTTTATATCATTTATCTTTTCTTGTATTTATTTTATATCATTTATCCCTTCTTGTATTTTTTTTATATCAATACAGGCAATGTAAACCTGGTTTCAAGTGATCCTCCATACAAAGATGGAAATGCACGATCCTTAATGGTATCTTTGAAACCCTTATCTGATCAACAATGTTGAAGATAATGTCGTTTTCCTAGGTTCAAATCTGATAATTACTGTAATTTTTCCTGCAGTAGAAATGCGCACGTCACTTTTGTAGAGAAACCACAATAAAATGATCAGTTTTAAAAACTAAAAACATTAACATTTTATTCATAATTTTTAAGGGTATCGTCGTGAATCGGGCCTTGCCATCTTTGCATGGAGGGTCTTTGAATTTACGCGTATACAGTTTTTTCAATTATTAAATTGTTAAAAGTTGAAGCTTTACCATAATAATTGTACAGTATTTTTAGCGTGGGAACTCAGCTTTGTCTGGAAGCAAATTTCTTCTCTATGTAGACTTTCAAACCAAGCTTAGAACATTTCTGATTTACTCAATCAAAAGGGCTTCCTAGTTTAGAGATTTTCCCGCATTCTCTTGTTTATAATTGTTTTATAACATATAAAATGCATAATTGTATTTATATTAAAATTTGAAAGTATCTTTTAATTTTGTTTAGGAAGCAGTTTCTAAGCTAGGAGTGACACGGTTTATTGGCAGTAGTGGAGGAAATGCTGGAATGGCTATGGCAGTTGCTGCTCAGGAATATTATAGATAATTTTAACCAAATAATGAAAATAGTTTCTCATTATTCAATCTGTTCACACTACACTGCACCAGGTTTTTTCTGTTTAAAAAAAAAAATTTTAACTTTCGTACATTATCAAAATAATGATTCTTTCTGTTTTGATTTACGGATGTTTCTAAGAAATTGAGTTTTTGACACAAACTCAAATTTTATAATCCCTATATCTTTGCAACTTGATGGTGTGATCCTATGATATTTCAAACTTAGAATATTTTAACTGATATAATTCATAGTTTAAAAAACTAAATAAAAATATATAGGGATTAAAAAATTAGAATTTGTTGCATAAAATCAGTTCTATTACAAAAACTAAAGTTTTCTTAGGAGAGATTTTTTATTCTAAGTGTTGATGAACATCTAAAGGTTGAAGATCTAGAATGTGAAAGTTTAGAAAATGAATGTTCCTCTGACAATATATATTCCAACCAGTACTAAACCATTCATGATCGATAATCTTAAGGTTAGTTAATTTCAAGTAAAAAAATAATGTAATGCACAATTCACCTCTTCATGAAAAATATAAGAAATAGAAAATTAGTTTTAACATTTTCTTTTAAGATTATTTTGATTTTTAGTAAATTTTGGGTTTTTATTAAGTTTAAAACTTAACGATTTTTTTTTATTTTTATTGCTCCAGCTAAATTATAATACAAAACAAGTAGGACGAAATTTTGGTACTGTCATGGCTATTAGAATTTTATGATTATTGTTTCAAGGATTATACTGCTTGCTAATGAAGGCTGCAGTATAGCATAATGTCCTCTGGGTTATACACAAAGAATGAATCTTTAAAGAAGACTGTAAAGAATTTTTACTGTCTGTTCCCTTTATTTAGGATTCCATGCATCTGTAAACTTTCTGCATCTGTTTCATTAAATAATCCATTAAAAAGAAAAAAGATTTTTTTTTCAATAATGAGATCGTCATAATTTTAAGTCGTCTCTACAGCATCATCTTGTATATAGTATCTAATGTAGAATTATTGTGCTGATGTTGTTGTGACTGGAGAGAACTGGAATCAAGCAAATGAAGCAGCCAAAGAAGCTCTTAAACAGGTTTTATAGATTTTATGGAGGAACAAAAATTGTTTGTGTTCTCCAAAAAAGCTCTTAAACAGGTTTTAGATTTTAGTTTTAAATTTGATGCTATTATAGGGTCCTTTGTGCCCCATTTTCTATTAACAGTTTTAACTTTCAATCATTTTCAAATTTTCGGGGATTGTTTCTGTTTAAATTGTCGCATTTTTAATAATAATAAACTTTCTGATCCAAACTTTCCTTTTTTACGTTTTAGAAACCTTCCCTGTGGTAATGTGAGTTGCTATGAAAAATTTGGCCCGATCAGTTCAGTCGTTTTAAAGTTTATGGGATACAAACAAACAAACACTTAGACACCCATGTGTATACTAGTACAATCAGATTTGTTCCTAAACTTTCAAAGATAGCCGGGGACACTGCAACGTCTGATGAAATATACCTTAGCTGTCTATTTTTAGGAAGGGACATTTCTTGTACATCCTTATGATCAGCCTGATACCTGGGAGGGACACAGTACTCTTGTACAAGAACTACAGAACCAACTACCTCAGGTCAACAAAATGTGTTTAAAACATTATGATCAAAGGCATTAACAGATATCTCATTTATAATTCCCCCTAAAGAATTTTTTAAAGCTCCAGAGAGTATAGAGTATAGGCCAGGTTTATATTTCCAGGCTCCAGGATGTATAGTGAGCTGTGTAGGAGGAGGAGGACTGGTTCTAGGTTTACTCCAGGGACTGGAAAAAGCAGGATGGAGTTCTACTCCGGTCCTAGCGATGGAAACAGAAGGAGCACACTGTTTTGCTGCGGCTAGACAGGCTGGTCAGGTGGTCCAACTAGCAGGGATTACAAGTGTTGCGACAAGTCTTGGAGCACTTAGTGTCTCAGAAACACTGTTCAACTTGTCTGTAGAGAAGGTTGGCTACTTTTATTTCAAAAATAATATACATGGTTGTCAATAAACTATGACCCTTGAAAGAAAACTAAATCAGATTTTTCCAGTTTTTCTAAAATTTTTGGTTCCGGTGAAGGAAATAAGTTTTGTCACAAACATTGATTTTTTAATCCCCATATCTTTGCAACCACAGAAAAAAACTTTAGAATGAGATATCCTTAATCCCGACCTGTTAATTAATCTGGAGATTAATAACAAAGGGAGAACAAGCACTATTTGATCTAGAGATTAAGGAAAAGAGGAGATCAAGCATTGATCTTGATATCCAACATTCTAAAGTTTTCAGCACTTATGTCGTAGACCTTAGATACTTCAAATTATAAATTATATTAGATCAAATAGTTTGAAATATTAATATGATTAAAAACTATATAAAAAAATCCAAAACGATAGGAATTAATTAGTTTCAAGTCTTATCCTTAACCCTGCATTGTATAGGGTATAGATAAATTTTTCAACAATTTATTTTTAAATTAACAAAATTTAAAAAAGAGCAGTGAATTTATTTTCTCCGACTGTTCTTTTTATCTGATCATACATCTGATTTCTGTTCTTCTCTTTTATAGATCCACGCATTCTAATCCCTTGTAGACAAAGGAAATATGCATTTGACAGATATTTCTGCTTCTGGGTATAAATAAATAAAAATTTTAACTCTAGTACTTTTATCTAGTTAATAAAATATTTATTTACAATCAAAACAATTTTGTTTTCAAATAAAGTTTTTATGGTTGGTGTTAATAAATATTTCTATTGCCACTCTTACATTTTTCAAAAAAACATTGATTTTTCATAATAAAAAAAAATATATATATTTCTCAATAAAAACAATCCGTGCTAATTCCCGATTTCAGATTTGGTTGAGTTAGTTTCCCAAGAAAGAAAAGTTTTTGTTTAGTTTAACATCACTGAGGATTTTTAAAATGTTCTATATTCATGAAAAACTGAGATGAACTGGATGGTTTTAATTTCATCTGACCTTTTATTTAAAAAGGGGCAACTGTTCTGGGACATAAACCCTCCCAGGTGGTTTGAGTTTAATATTAAGCTTTCAATTATTAATGCTGCTATAAAAATAAAACACCATTGTATGTGCCTTAGATTTATTTATGTCATCCAGTAGACATACAGTAAACAAACAGAAAACAGATTCTAAATACAAGAATAATTTAATAAAATATAAAGATTTATGACAATAGCTAAAACTGTAGCAGTGACTTATGCCTCAATGAAGAGGATAAGCACTGTACTTTAACCTTACAAGCTAATAACTCCAATGAAGAAGTTATAACATGAAGGTTCTTTCAACAATTGCTCAAAATGTAACAATGTAACATGCTCCAATTAAGGGGATGCACACTGCACATTTAGCCAAACAATACAAATAACTCCATTTAAGAAGTTAATGAATTTTGACTCTTTGACTGGTCCCTTTAAATAAAAAGAGGGAACGGTCCCTTTATTGCTGTAAGTTAAAATACTTCAGTATATTTAATGCACTGAGGAAAGAAAATATTAGATGAATAACAATTAATAACAATTGCGATAGGATGCAATGATTCTGCTATAGAATAAACCAAAAAAAAAGAGAATAAAACTAAAAGGTTGATTAATTTGAGTAATAAAACCAATTTATGGTATTTTTTAAAAGCTCGGAAAAAATCTTATTTCTAAGCAGATTGCTGGTTTTGAATGAAGTTGAATCAGAAAATATTTATATTTCAGCCTGAACGAATATTGAACCATGTTGTATCGGATACAAAAGCTAAAGCAGCGAGTGTCAAGTTTGCAGATAATATGAGGTAAAATGTTATCTAGGCGAAATGTGTCTAGGCAAACTGTGTCTAGGCAAACTGTGTCTAGGCAAACTGTGTCTAGGCAAAATGTTATCTAGGTAAAAGTGTACTAGGAGAAAGTGTACTAGGTGAACTTGTACTCGGCAAAATGTTACTGAGCCTTACCAAGATAATAGCAAGAACAAAAATGTTTTTAGTTCATCTCAATATTTAACAAAATAAATTATCTCTTCTCACACTTGTGCTTGAAATCAAAATCAGAGGAACTACGAGGTCACTAGCTCTAGTTTTCTTTCTCAGTCCAAAAGTAGAAGCATTTTTTATGCTTTTTAATGATTTAACCATAGACTAATGATAAAACAGATAGTACACTAGATTTTGTCTTTTTAAGCTCAAAGGGTTTTTTGTTCACAATAAAAAAAGCCCAAAGGAGATACGCGCATGCTCTCTCTTTGTCTTGTAATCCAAGGCGGCATGCGCATAACTCCTTTGGGCTTCTGCCTCAGGGTTATTGTGAACGAAAAACCCCTAAATCTTGAAAAGACAACATCTAGTGTTCTATCTGTTTTTTTTTATAAATCTATGGATTTAACAAGTCCTTCGAATTATTTTAGATCTTCGCTAACGGACGGCGAAAGCTATTAGTTTAAAGATCATTACTGAACAGTAACTTAGGAATGTTTAATTTAAATAAAGAACGGAAAACCCCGTCAACTGAATGTTCCTTCCAATTTTCAGCAAAGACTGTCTCATTTTTTGTGAATTTGTGAAGAAAATGAGTCGCCACAAATTCAAATCTTCCAATTCCTATATGTTTTGCAACTTGATGGTGAACACCTTTTATTTTAATCTTAAAGTTTTTATTACCAAAATTCTTAGTTTGAAATATCTAATGTCTACAATTTGAGAAATACATGGATTATAAAATCATAATTCTTGTCAAAGACTGAATTCCTATGTTTGTGTCTAGGGTGTTGGTTGAAGCATCCTGTGGAGCAGCTCTATCTGGAGTTTATAGCGGAGTAATCAACCATCTTGATATACCCCAGGGGGATATAGTTGTAGTTGTATGCGGGGGAAATATTATTAATCTCGAGATCATCAACACATGGAGGCAGGAGATGTCAAACTTAACTCAGAATTCATGAAAAGCAGGAAGTAGTTGAACTAGGTAAAGATAGGTGAACTAGTTCAACTACTTCTTAATATCTTAATATCTTCAAACCTCACTTTGCTCGCACTGTATTTCTGCCAAAAAATAGTTTCTGAAAGAGCCCAGAAAATAGTTTGAAAAAGTGTTAAGAAAATAGTTTTAGAAAGAGTCCAGAGTCTAGAAAATAGTTTAGAGAAGGGTTCAGAAAATATATAGTTTCAGAAAGACTCTAAAGAGGAGTTAAGAAAATAGTATAGGCAACCGTCTAGAAAAGTGTTTAGAAAATAGTTTCAGAAAAAGTAAAAAAGAGCTTAGAAAAGTGTTCAAAAAAGTGTTCAAAAATAGTATAAAAAATTATTCAGAGAGTAGTTAAGAAAAGTGTTCAAAACCTAGTTTATAGAAGAGTTTAGAAAATAGTTTTAAAGAGTCCAGAGATTATTTTTTTAAAAGTTTAGGGGACAATTTAGAAAAGTGTTCAGAAAAGTGTTTAGAAAATAGTTTAGAAAATTGTTCAGAAAGTAGATAAGAAAAGTGTTCAAAACCTAGTTTATAGAAGAGTTTAGAAAATAGTTTTAAAGAGTCCAGAGATTATTTTTTTAAAAAGTTTAGGGGACAATTTAGAAAAGAGTTAAAAAAATTAGTTAGAAAAATGTTTAGGAAACTGTCTCGAAAAAAGTTCATTAAAGAGTTACACAAAAGAGTTTAGAAAAGTGTTCAAAAAATAGTTTAAAAAGTGTTCAGGAAAGAGTTAAGAAAAAAGATTAGAAAATTGTCTAAAAAATGATTTCAGGAAATAGTTCAGAAAAGAGTAAAGGATTTCAGGAAAGAGTCAAGAAACGAGTAAACGAATTCAAAAAAGAGACATTTTATTAGGATTTGGAATCGTTTTCGATTTTAAGAGTAATTAATGCCAAAGTATGTTTGTACACTGTACACTGTACACTATACTCTGTACACTGTACACTGTACACTGTACACTATACTCTGTACACTGTACACTGTACACTGTACACTGTACACTGTACACTGTACACTGTACACTGTACACCGTACACTGTACACTGTACACTGTACACTGTACACTGTACACTGTACACTGTACACTGTATATGCTTTCAAGAATGTTCACACTGCAATAGGCAAAATAAACTTAATTATTTTATCTAGAAATCTTACAAGCAGAAGTCCAGTGCGTTACTCTTATAATATAGTTGTTGTTCTTAATATATGTAATATGTTTATATATTTTTTAATAAATAATGCAAAAAGGGGTATCATGCTTAATTCAAAGAAAGATATGTATGCATATCAAATAAGAAATTATATACAATTCATAAAATAATTCCTATTTCAAACAATTAAAGTAGAACATATATATAAATAGAAGATATAATCCCTTTTGATCTTCTAGGAAAAATATAACGACGTATATGAGCCAATGAGTCTAACTTCTAACTTGAAAACGAGATGGAAAAGGAATGAGTCTTTGCCACAAAATCAAATTTTCTAATCTCTATATCTGTGAAACCTGATGTCCTTAACCTTTAATATTTTAAACATCGATTATTTGATCTAACAGAATCATAGTTTAAAATATCTTATATCTACGACATTGGGTTACAAAGATATTGGAATTAGAAAAACATTAGAATTTGTGGCAAAGACTTATTTCCTTTTAGCAAAAAGTGTTGATCATTATGGGCCTTACGGACATCTAAAAGCAGCCTAAGAGACTCATTTATGTTCTGAATACCAAACGGTGATATTTAAAGAATATTTTGAAATAGGTGAACACTGATCAAATAGGGTCTCTAAATTTCAGTTCAATCTCTTTCGCAAAAATTTTGCAATGTCAACGGAAATGTGAACGAAACAAACATTTTAATTTATTTTCGCAAAAAATTTCGACCTTTCATTCAAAATCTTAATTTTTTCGCAAAAATATTCAACAACCCATTTTTGCGAAATTCTAACCTTTTTTGACAGCATTTTTGATAAAATATTAAGACATTTTGAATTTTCGTTAAAATTTTTTGTTTAAGAACTGTTCCATTGAAGTTAACGTTGACAACTAAATTTGCTTACTTTAACACATCCCTGACACATAGCAGTCGTTGCAGAAATGTTTAAATAGAATTTAGATAGAATTCAAATCTCAGAAAATTATTTACAAAAGATCCCAACGAGGTTATAGTGTATAGAGTGATGAGGTACGCTAATCCTTTACTAATTTTATAGGCCATAAACTATACCGATTGAGTACTGCATATTTGTTTATTATAAGTTGATTCTATAGTATATCAATATTAGTAAATACTTGTAAGTGCACAGTACAGCTAACTGAGCACACAGGTAGAGAACTATCATCCCCTCCCTGAAAGATCCTCATCAGATATGATACTTAGTCATGTTCAAGTTTATCTTCAGTTGAACACCCTATAATAGATGAACACATACTTGCAACCTAGATAATATTAATTTGACTTTTATGTTTTAATAAGAATCATGAACGAGTCATTCTATATTCCACAGCATTACCCCCACAAAGGACGAGACCTAAGGAGACGACAGTTGAAGAATTTTTTGGGTTTTCGTTTGTTAATTGAATTTTCCCTGCAGCTTTAAACTTATTGTCGAGTCTCTTTGCCGCCCAAATCATTGAATTTACCATTCACGAACTAACATATTAAGAAATTATTATTCCTTTATAAAAAGCTGTTTTTTTTTGGTATGCAACAATTTTCATTTAATCCCGCCCCTTTAAAAAATAATAATTTAAATTTCCATTGATTCTAATTTGTCTGAGAGTAAATGACATTCCTTTGTAAAAAATAACAAATTATTTTTATTATTTATTATTATTTTTTAAAGGGGCGGGATTAAATGAAAATTGTTGCATACCAAAAAACCAGCTTTTTATAAAGGAATGTATCATTTACTCTCAGACAAATTAGAATCAATGGAAATTTAAACCCCCGAGGGATTCAATGATAAACCCGAGGGATGCATTTTTCTGAGATTATTTGCTAGTTAACCTTAAATATTAAATAACATGAAAATATCTATTCTTAACAGGAAATTCATTATTTTCATTAGTTTTTCTTCTTATGACTGACTGAGAAAAGGAAAAAGAACGTAACTCAAGTTTGAAAATCCAGCTTTCTACAAGTCATTAGCAAATCAGCGCTACGTGCTAGTAATAAAAATTAACTATCCAAACCTAATTGTTAAAAGATCAGCCCGCGTTTATAAGTGTTCACTATGGTTTATAGGGATACGCATTGTCAAGTTTTTTCTTGAAACAAAGGTGCAGCACAAAACGTTTAACCAATCTTAAGCAAAACAAAATAAGTGATAGACACATTTACCCTGGGGGGGGGGGGGGGGGGCTTAACTGACACTCCGTCAGAAATCCGACAATCTTCTTGAAGCAAAATGGAATTTTTTTTGTTCTTATCGAATAAAAGTTGAACGAAAACTTCGCGAAAATGGACGAAATTTTCTTTGAGAAAACATCAAAATTCGTAAAATTTTTAAGGAAATTCGTTCAGTTTCGTTCGTTCATTTTCGTGAATTTCGTTCAACAAACCCTGTGAACGATACGTTAACCTTGTCAGGACTTTATTTTAGTTTAAGAATATCTTTTATCTATTGAAAAAATATTGTTATCTTCGAAGAAAACAATATAAAAAATATACCGCTCTCGAACATGTCAGTTGTCTAATCATGCTGATTAACAAGTAACATATAAAATTGCTTGTTTTTAAATACCTTGATTTTTAAATTTTTTGGAAATATTGAATTTAAAGAGCACGTTTTTGTATATACTTTAAACAGTTCTAGAGTCCAGAACTAAAGCTTAAATGTTAAGTTTCAGCTTAAACTCCTCGTGAATTAAATTAGCTGAGTTAACCCTAAACAGGCCCCACCTCTCAAGTTTGTTTGCCCTAACACTCTCATCATCGTGAAATTTTTGTGATTTTTTTTTAATGCATAGGGTCCCTACCGGTAAAAAGTCAGGTCCGCGTGGAAAAAAAAATCTTAAACAACCCTCAACCTTTTTGTGACTAAAGCTACATATCTAAAAAACAATATTTTTTAAAAGCCCTTAAAAACTGGATGTAGAAACATATGTGTCACATCTTGATATTTGTTTAAAACAGAACAAAAACAGTTTTTACATTTTTATTTTGCATCTTTTTAAACCCTCCCTAGCACACAAACCATTAAAGTTTGGTCTAATTCTTTTGTTAATGAGCCGGCCTTGAAAAATTGGTCTATGAACATGCATTTCAACCCTATACCTATACTATATAAGGACCTTTTTCAACGCCCCCCACTCCAATGATGATTATCTTAAAAATGTTGCCGCGCTTGTGGTTTCTTTTAATCCATTGTTATGATGTGATATGTGAATATTTAAATAAATAAATTTAACCCGAAATTCATTATTTTACAACAATTTTAATCATTTAACTTAAAATTCGTGCATTCTTTAGTTTTGATTTACAATATTTAAAATTATTTTAATGATTAAATTTGATGTTTTGTAAACAACGTATTTCCAATCTAGATATATTATAAGTCATATTTTTTACATACACATTGAATTTCAATAGTTGTTAAAGTTTAAATATCTCTAAATGCATTAAATAATAATTGGTCCAATATGCACAGATTCCACAGATAACCCTGTAAAAACAATTTTTTAAACTAAAAAATACAATCCGTATTAGGGGGCAGCCTTCCTTGGGGCCTCACGCCTTTTACGATGAAGACTTTAAATATATTCTTTTTAATAAAAAAGACCAATTGTTTTAAAAAATCATCAAACTGTATATTTCATCCAATTTTGCCTGTTTCCTGGCGATGATGAATGTTGCATGATACGAGTATATAATTTCCTGTGAATGCAGTTCAAGGCCTTACATTATTCATATTATCGTAATCACTTTTTTAAAAATAAATATTTTTGTACAAAAATAAAATCTTTAGATAAAAATACTATTTCGCTGTCTTTTGAGAAGGAATTGAAATGAATTTTGTGAAAGGGATGTAAGAGTGGCCATTAATTATATAGTGAATTGTTCATTTTTATTTGAATTCAGTGTTTTCTTGCAGACATACCTTTTAATCCTTTGACTGTTCATCGAATAACACGGGCAGTCGTAGTACATTTCAATTTCCGAGCCGGGTCAACCTTTCCAGTCTCAGTTTGCACTGTATTACCCGTAAATTGGGTCAATAAAGCAGGCACTCACTAGCCGGTGAAACAAGGTTTACGTGGTCAGACTTTAGGTTTAATTTACTTTTACTAAAGGGTCAGAGGTGCATGATAAGTTTAAGCTTCTTAAATCCGCGTGAATTCCTGTAAAACGCGGTGTACAAAACACTAATACTAAAACTACTTGAGACAGAAAATATTTGAGTCAGATTGTTAAATGTTTTTCTCTTTAAGAAAGAAAAAGAATCAACCTTAACTAAGTATATTACTGAACTATTGACAACCCATAATCTAATAAACACGATTTTAAAATTTACGCTTCCTACAGGAACTGTATACGTTATTTTATGGAGGGCAATTCCGTCTACAATCCCTTGTTGAACTAACTCTTTATGATATGGATACATAGTACATTATATACCATAATACATAATGTCATCATGAATACATTATATGTGTGTACATACACAGTATACTACAGGTTGTCCAAAAAACATGGGAATTCGTGACGAATTTGATATCGTCTTTTTAGATAATTCTTTGATTTAGTATAGTGATACCTACTGAGAAAGCTGTAATTTGTAAGAGTTTTGTCTGCTAAGTTCACATTTTGTTTGTTTATGTTTTGACTGCATACGTTGTACTTAGTAAAACAAGAAAATTGCAGTATACAAACAGAGTAAACTTATCTGTCTTTACTGTTCATCTTGCAGAGACATTATAGACACACCTTTACAGTCTTTTACCGTTTTCATAAAATAAACTCTAGCAGACATAATAATATTATGGCTTTTGAAATTAGGTACCACAATGCTAATTCATAACAAAGACGATATCCAATTCGTCACTGAATTCCCATGTTTTTTTGGGACATTACATAAAATATTATAAATTAGAAAAAATAATGTTTATATTGCCTCTGATTCTGTTTCTGGTACCTGCCCTATGTCTAGTTCCTCCTCAACGTGGTAAAAAAGATCAACATATTATCAAAGGAATTTAGTTTGCGCCACAAACTCTGATTTTTTAATCACTTTATCTGCATGCAATGCAACCCAATGTCGTAAATCTTACATAATTTCAATTATTCAAATTCTGTTAAATAAAACAATTCTATAGAGGAATATCAAATATCTACACAATATCCCATGTCTTCATCATCATGTTGCAAAGATATTGGAATTAGAAAATTTGACTTTGTGGAAAAAACCTTTAATTTGCCATAAAAGGGCTGTAAGCGTAATATTTTAAGTGACCCTTCATGTAAAGATGTCAATGCCCGATTTACGATACCCTTGAAACCTTTAGCTGATCAAAATGTGGAAGATACCGTCATTTTTCTGACTCTAAAAGTAAATATTTCTGTCAGTTTCTTCATTGCTTCTTAAAACTTTCGCAGAGCAACTGCAAATGAAAACAGTTTAAGGGAGCAACAACATTGGTATCTATTTTATACTTGACTTTACTGTTGTAAATCGGGCATTGCCATCTTTGCCTGTACAGTCCCTAAATAATAATAAAATCACCTCTGTCCGAATTTAATGAATTTGAGCCGCGGCTTAAATCTGCCAAAAGCCGGTTTCAATTGAGCGCCGGCTTAAATCTTGTAAAATTTTACAATTTTAAGTAGAATCGACCATTTTGAGCCGCGGATTAAATTCTTTAAATTCGGCCTCTTTTTAATCTTAATCGAATAATCCCTACTGTATTTTTTATTTTCAATACTTATTTTAATAGATTTTCCACATAGTGGTAGAAACTTAGGAAGGAGATTCAATAATCTAACATTCATTGAAGGTAAAGTATTGAATAAAATAACAATAAAAAAACAGGATTTTAAAATCTTTTTTAAATGAATGGATAAAACAAGGCTGAAGAGACTTCGGACATTAAAGGTGACCAACCATTTAAAAAAATGTCCAACTACATTGTAAACTTAATCATGAAAATCTAAACAACTACAGATTTATATTACACTGAAGAGTCAATCCGTTGCCCGTGGAATAAATTTTTTTTTTAAATTAAAATTTTGAAAAATACAAATTTTAGAATTATTTTTAGCCTTTGTTGCACCCAGGGTATCCATGGGTTCCCTCAATAAATTTTAGCCCATTTGGTCCAGCCGTTTGGCCGGCTATAGGGAACATACGTACGAATGTCATGTTTTATTATATAGATTTATTTAAATAGTACCCTTCAAATAGATTATCAAGTACAATAGGTAGCAACAATTATACATGACGTCACAAGTGTCAAATATAACAAGAAAAACGAGATTTTCAAACATTATTTGACATGTTTTCCAAGATTAAATAAAAAAGTGTAAGAACAGAAAATAAAAACAGTTAAAATTGCACTTATTTTACTGTAAGATAAGAAAATATCAATATTTTTATTTATTTAGTCGGACACAAAAACTAAGTTGACACTTAAGACGTCGTGCAGACGTAAGAAAACAGCTGTACTGAGAGTTAACAAATTCTACTGAGAGTGTACAAATTCTACGTTGCCATCTTTTGTACTAAAATCTATTTTGTTCCCTTTAAATCTTTATTCTAGTGGTAATTAGGAATATATCTTTAAAACAATGCTAATTCTGTCTATTGTCAAAACTGCATAATTTAGCAAGCCACTTTTATGGAGATTACCCGAACTTGAAAATTGTCAAATTTTAAATAGAAATAATATCTCCATAATTTCTTCTCTTTGTAACAGTATAAAGCAAAAACAAAAAAAGTTTGCGGATTTAATAATATTTTTGCACGCATTTTCAAAATTTTACGAAAATAAAAAACTTTTTGATCATTATTAAACCTTTTCTAGGGTCACAAGGTCCCACACAAAATTTACGCCCGATCGGTTCAGCCGATTTTACGTTTATTGCATACAAACAAACAGATAGACAAGCCAAATTTATTTAGATTAGAAACTCTATATTTAGTTTAATATATCAGTTCAACCGTATAAGTTGAATATTTAAAGAACATATTTAATTTTTTTCCATTTGTTTTAAATGTACAGGACGGGTTTTTGAGGTTTCTCTTCCTAATGGTAAATCTGCAGGATGTCAGGGAGTTTTTTTTATTAAAAACTAAGACTTTTTACCGTCTAAAAAAAGAAAAAAGTTTATTATATTTTAAATATAATTTTTAAGACATCAAATTTTAATTGAATCGTTTCGTTTGGGTTTTGTGTTTTAAAAAAAGAGGGGATAGGGAATGAGTTGAAGGCCTGAGGCCGAATTTAAAGAATTTGAGCCGCGGTTTAATTATGGTTGGTTTCACTTAAAATTGTATCAAATGTTTCAAGAATTAAGCTGGGGCTCAATTTTAAGCGGGTTTTTGCGGATTCAAGCCGCGACTAAAATTCTTTAAATTCGGCCTCTGGAAAGAAAGAAAGTTGGAATAGAAAAAAACAAGGATTAATATTTGATTATTGTGTTGCAGGGGATTGAAAGTTATCCATCAGACTGGCCAAACTCATATTATTATAAAGTTAGTATTTGATGGATTTTTCAATCATTTAAAGTTTTAAAGGGATTGTTCCCCCCTGTAAAGGTATCCACATTAAATTCAAAAAAAAAGGAACTGTAAGCGTTATTTAAAAATACCCTATACACAAGATGGCAATTCCCCCTTCACAAAGCTTAAATTTTTTTTCTGGTGAAATATGATTTAGATATCCGTGTATAAAATTTGGAAAATAGATTATTTACAATTGTGGTTTTTTACAAAAGTGACTTGCAAATATTCTAAGTGAATTATCTAATATGAATTATCAGAATTAAGCACATTCAAATCAGTAAATGCGAAAATGTATTCCATATCATTGATCAGAAAAAGGTTTTAGGGGTGGGTACCTTCTTTCCAAGAAGGGTCCCTTGGAATTGCACTTACAGTGAGGGTTATTAATCGTTTTTGAAAACGATCGTTTTTTGTTTTGTTTTTCAATCGTTTTCAAAAACGATCGTTTCGTTTTCGGAAAAAACGACCCACTCTTTTTGAACTTTTAGTAAACAAACAACGATCGTTTTGAAAATGATCTTTTTATATGAACGATTTTCGACCGTTTTTTATACGATCGTTAATGAAGGGTTGTCGTTAACGATCGTTAACGAAAAGACGATTTTTATAAAAACGGTCGTTTTTGGAAAAAAACGATCATTGTAGTGAGTTTTTACAAAAAAAAAATACATGCAAATTTATTAAATGTCGTCTTACATGAGTTCATCAGTTGTGAAGGAGTGAAGGAGCTAAAACTTCTTGTTATTTTCTTAAAAACGATCGTTTTGTTTTCGATTTTTCGTCGTCGTTTTCATAACGAAACGATCCTTTTTCAAAAAAATGAAAACATTAACATCCCTACTAACAGTGGCCCTTTAATTCACTTTTCAGGGGGGTACTCAGGGGGGTGCAAGGGGTCAGGTGCACCCCCATTTCTTCTAAAAGGGGGGTGCAATGACGAATTTGCACCCCGATTCCTTTTTAAAATAAGTTGCTTGGTATAATCTTCTCTTAAAAAATTGAGATATTAGCATTTAAAGTTTTTAAAATTTGTTATCATTCTGTATACTGTATACTCATAGTGTATACTGTATACTTATAGTGTATATGCTATGTTTGAACAATTGTTTACTAAAGCTGTTCCCTCCGGAACCAAATTAAACCTTCTTTGAACAATGTTTGTCCTGAGGTAAGATTTTCAAAGTGAACTGGTTTGTTAATCTTTCGCATATGTCGATAAACATACGTCATTAATGCAATTTTACAAATATGTTCCAATTTGTATCAAAATTTAATTCGTTAAAATTTTGCAGAAACATTGCCTCAGTTTCAATATTTTATCCAGACAATTCTAAAATATCAGTGAACATGAGTAGTAATATCAAAATTATTAACATTTTCTTTTTCCCAATATTGTAAAATTTGAGATAAAAACTAAATTATGAAAATTTTCCTTATATACCATAAAAAACATCAAATTCAGGGAAAATCGAATTTTCACTGTAACATTAAGTTAAAGCTTAAATTACTAGTGTTGTTGACAAATTAGAAAATAACATCCATAACATAAAAGTCATGCTAAAATTATTCGTTTTTAAGCCCCCTGCCTCATTCACTACATTTTACTCTGTTATCATGGGGGTGCCCACTTGGGAAAATCCTGGTTACGGGCCTGGTGCCATCATAGTTAATAGACATTTTGTTAGGAAATATCGATTGATGCAAAGGATTTGTGTTTTTGCTACAAACTATCATTTTCTAATCCTAAAACCTTTGCAGTCAGACGGTGTAAGTGTTTGTTTGATAAATCAGAATTCATAGTTTAAAATATTAAAGGACTACATTGGGTTTCAAAGATATAGAAACTAGAAAATCAGAGTTTGTTGTAAAGACTCAATTCCTCTCATGAATTTTATTTTTATATTACACCACATTTCCCTCTTGAAGGCTCCCTTTAAGTGAATATGTTTTCTTTGAATAAGAAATTATTAAAAGTTTGAGATTGATTTTAGGCGACTTATTAATTCTGATGAATAGGTCCAAGATAAACTAAATATAAACTTACACAGAATCAAGATTGAAAATAAATCAAAAAACATCTTCACGTATAAATCACTAGCCATGGGAACCCAGCTTGTTATGACAAATCAAATTTCGCTATAAAACTCAACCCACTCAACTTAGAATTTTAAAACAAAGCTCAGAACATTTATTTTGTTCAACCGAGTTCCCCAATTGAAATTGGATGCAAATCATTCACATTTCAAGCAAACAAACAGATATTCATACAATTCATATATAGATGTAAAGACGACATATCTATTCATTACATGAAAGAATACAATCGAAAATTAACTCAAAAAGTATTTAATATATAAGGTTCCATAAGATATTTCTTGAAATTGATCCAACAAAAATCCTTATAACGACAATATCATTACCTCAAACTTGGGTTCTCTTCCTTTCATTTTTAAATACCGAAAGATTAGGTCAGGAAATATAATTTATTTTTTTTTGCAGGGGAAATTATTTTTCGAAGCAGGATTGTCCGAAAACCGTTCTGCACTAGTACGCCTAGTAGTTTAAAACCTTGGATAGTTGGTTGGTTTATACTCCTCCTGATCTTTAGTACAACTTATATAGTTCACATCAATACAGGCTTTTGGATATGAACAAAATTTCTAGAGAATGTATTACTTTGGTCTAGGATTAAATATTTCTAGAAAATGTGTTACTCTGATCTAGGATTATATATTTCTAGAGAATGTGCTACTCTGCTCTAGGATTAAATATTTCTAGAGAATGTGTTACTCTGATCAAGGATTAAATATTCTAGTGAATGTGTTACCCTGGTCTAGGATTAAATATTCTAGTGAATGTGTTACCCTGGTCTAGGATTATATATTTCTAGAGAATGTGTTACTCTGATCAAGGATTAAATATTCTAGTGAATGTGTTACCCTGGTCTAGGATTATATATTTCTAGAGAATGTGTTACTCTGGTCTAGGATTACATATTTCTAGAGATTGTGTTACTCTGGTCTAGGATTATATATATATCTATAAAATGTGTTACTCTGATCTAGGATTATATATTTCTAGAGAATGTGCTACTCTGATTTAGGATTAAATATTTCTAGAGAATGTGTTACTCTGATCTAGAATTAAATATTTCTAGAGAATGTGTTACTCTGATCTAGAATTAAATACTTCTAGAGAATGTGTTACTCTGGTCTAGGATTCCCTGTAATAACTGATAGTTTAGCAAATGACGCATCACTTGGTAATTATTTTTTATAAATTCAGCATCGGCGTTTACATCAATACAATGAGGACTTTTCTAATTATGTTTTTAATTATATTTTCAAATTACTAGTTTACAAATAAACAAAGCAAAGTTATTAAATTACAGCTTCTCTTTGTTTCTATGTTTTTATATGTATGTCCATGCTTTTTGAAGCTTGGTAAAAATAAAGATTTAGCTCGAAATTCATCTTCAATGTATTGATATTTACGACGACGACTGTAATTGTGATATACAATAATAAACTATTTGCAATATTTATAGTTGGCAATATTTATATTTATATCTAATAAAGTGGAATATGTCTTCTCTTTATGTTTAAGAATCCTCGGTAAAGATATTTTTATTTCTAACTAGTTTTCTTACTCGTGTTAGCCAGGAATTAAGAAAAATTTTGTTTCATATTTTAGAGCGAACTGCTTGGACCTTAGATAACATAATGTCCACCGTTGATCCATATGTGACAAATATAATGATACAAGCATTCTTTAGACAGGTTAGTTATACAAAATCAAACATTGTCCCTTTTTTCCTCAAATATATTGATCTGATTAAAAGGCTGTAATGGGAAGATTTCCATCTGAAGTTGTAACCTCGCTTCCTGAGTACTCACATCTAGATCCAAACTTTTGGTAAATATATTTTCTTTGCAAAACATTTTTCCCATTCAAAAAGATTTGGTCGTTTTTGAACAATAAAAGGTTTTGAAACAAGGCAAAATTATGCTTCTATCGTATTACATGACGTTACAGAGAAATTGATGGGTCAAACAGATTATAAATTATAAAAAAGATATGAGAGATTTCTTCATAAAGTCCAAAAAGTAACAACCCCGAAGATAATATAATAATTTAAAACAGTGATTAATGTATTGAAAACAGACAGAAAGAGAGGGTCAAATTCATGCGACATCACTTGTACAACTTTGCGACATCCCTTGTACAACTTTGCGACATCACTTGTACAACTTTGCGACATGACTTGTACAACTTTGAAACATCACTTGTACAACTTTGCAACATCACTTGTACAACTTTGCGACATCACTTGTACAACTTTGCAACATAACTTGTACAACTTTACAACATCACTTGTACAACTTTGCGACCAGGCACACTAATTTTGATTTTACGCAGAAGTATGAGAAGAAGAAAATGTATCCAATTACACATATTATAATATTACATTTTTGATCTTATCAAATAATCTTCAAGAAGAGGAGTTATGATTGAAAGCATTAAGATCTTTTTGCAAATAACTCTATATCTTTGAAATCTGAGGGTGTAAGTATTTTACATTTTAAAATTAGATTATTTGACCTAACAGAAGTCATAGTTTTGAGAAAACTAAAGTCTACAATATTGGGTTGCAAAGATAAAGGGATGAGAATATCACACTTTGTTGCAAAGACTTTACTTTAGTTTAACGTAAATGGGTGATATTTAGGTAAGATATTTGTATATTGTCTCTTTTCTATCTAAGTTTCTAAACATGCATATTTTTTATATTTAACGAGGGGGGGGGGGGGCTGAAGGGTAATTACTTTTTTGTTGATAATTTGGAATTTCTGAATTATCTCCAGGTACAATAGAAGAGGGTGTGGGGCTACGGATGGTATTCCTGTTGGTTCAAATGCTGAAGAAGATGTACTTTGTTACTCAGATGATTTGTACTTTGATCAGGTTATTATGTACTTTGATTAGGTACTCATGTACTTTGATCAAGTACTCATGTACTTTGATCAGGAAATCATGTACTTTTATCAAGTACTCATGTACTTTGATCAGTTTATTTTGTACTTTGATTATGTACTCATGTTCTTTGATCTGGTAATCATGTCCATTGATCAGGTATTATGTTCTTTGATCAGGTACTCATTTACTTCAATCAGGTACTCATGTACTTTGATCTGGTAATCATGTACTTAAATCAGGTAGATTGCACTTTGCTCATTAGATTTTTTTTTCACTTTGACTTTTCTACGCAATTACGACTTTTACTTTTGATCATGAATACTCATATGTACTTTGCTACTCAAATTTTTTGTACTTTGACCAGGCACTCATTTACTTTACTACTCAGATTATTTGTACTTCGACCAGGCACTCATGTACTTTACTACTCAGATTAATTGTACTTCAACCAGTTACTCGTGTACTTTACTACCCAGATTATTTGTACTTCGACCAGGTACTCATTTACTTTACTACTCAGATTATTTGTACTTCAACCAGGTACACATTTCCTTTACTACTCAGATTATTTGTACTTCAACCAGGCACTCATTTACTTTACTACTCAGATTATTTGTACTTCGACCAGGCAATCATGTACTTTACTACTCAGGTAATTTTTACTTCGACCAGGTACTAATGTACTTTGACTTTGAATATTTAGCAATTACACTGAAATTCCTTACGTTTTTGAACCAAAAAAATTTGGAACTAAGGGACTGTTGGCGTTATATAAAGTGGCCCGCCATTTAAACAAGGTTACTTTTTTTCCCTTGTCAATATATCAATTTTTAGATTTTTCCAGTTTTGCAGTTAAATGTTTAACACTAATACTTGTTACATATTCACTTGCAACCTTAGTGAATATATATCTATCTTTATTTAACCTAGCCTGGAAAAATATACGCTTATCTGCATTTGCTTTAATTTAAAATTCCGAATTATTGATTAATTTTAGGACATCACTGTTCATGAGTTTGCGCATTCTCTACACCTTCTTGGATTTAAGCATACTTGGCCTGAATTCCAACAGGAACATATACTGTATTTGTATTAAATAGAGTTCTGTGATAAAAATAATTTTTAAGATTGAATTAGGTGGACAAATATTCTCGACTTAATGGGACTGTAAGCACTATTTTAAATGACCTACCATTCAAAGATGGCAATACCCGATTCACAACGGTACCCTTGAAACTTTTAACTGATAATTGAAGAAGATATTATCGTTTTTCTAGGTTTAAACGTTTTTAATTCTAAAAATTCCAACATGTTTTCCTCAAGTTAAATATGGAGAATCCACAATTGAAAATAATCAGTTGAAATTACACATACAGTCCCTTTATTAGAATTACAAATACAGTCCCTTCATTAGAATTACACATACAGTCCCTTTATTAGAATTACACATTCAGTCCCTTTATTAGAATTACACATACAGTCCCTTTATTAGAATTACACATACAGTCCCTTTATTAAAATTACACATGCAGTTTCTTTATTAGAATTACACATACAGTTTCTTTATTAGAATTACACATACAGTCCCTTTATTAGAATTACACATACAGTTTCTTTATTAGAATTACACATGCAGTCCCTTTATTAGAATTACACATACAGTCCCTTTATTAGAATTACACATGCAGTCCCTTTATTAGAATTACACATAAAGTCTCTTTATTAGAATTACACATACAACCTCTTTTTTAAGAATTACACATACAGCCCCTTTATTAGAATTACACATACAGTCCCTTTATTAGAATTACACATACAGCCCCTTTATTAGAATTACACATACAGTCCCTTTATTAGAATCACACATACAGTCCCTTTATTAGAATTACACATACAGTCCCTTTATTAGAATTACTCATACAGTCTCTTTATCAGTACAAAATAATGCTTTCCGAAATATGTTACCCTTTAAAAGTATATTATTCGTTCTTTACTTCATTCGATCATAACTGATGAGAATTGAAATCAATAGATTTCAAATGTTGCTTATTGCCCTGAAATGCAGAGTGTATGGTTAAACAGGAACTAGATGTAGCGTATGCTAATGCCTATGCTAATAGTTTATGGGGCTGGGGGTATATTGGAAGCTATGCTATGACTAACGATGAAGAATACTTTGCTGAAGGACTACAGGTAAATGTTTAAAGGAACTAAGTTCTTGCCACACAACTATATTTTTGCAACCTGATGCATGATAGTGTAAAACTTTATTTCGCAAACTTAGACTATTTAATCTTAAAAACTTAATAGCTTGAAATATTAAAGTCTACAACATCGGGCTGCACAGTGCACATAGGGATGGATCGTTTTAGTTTAAGAAACGACGAAAAAAAAATATCGTCAACGTTATTTTTTTAAGACAAAATACAATTGGTCGGTTACCCCTTAGATCAGAAATCCCTTACGTCAGAAAACATTCAGGTTATTTCTCTCGAAAAAAAAATAACATTTAAGACAACATTTATAAACTTATGATCCTGAAAAAATGAAATTAATTGTGAAAAAAAAACTCGGATTCATTGGCGACATTGTTTTCAAAAACGTGTTTTAAAAGTTTAAACGAGTGGTTCGTTTTAAAAACTATCTTTTTTTTCTACAAACGAAACTATCATTTTTAGAAAAAACGAAACGATTGTTTTCCAAAAACGATGAACAACCCTAGCTGCACAGATAGAGGGATTAGAAAATCAAAGTCCCAGTTTTTGGCAATACCCGGCCGAGTTCTTGTAACTTTAAATCTTGAATTACATAGAAATGAAAGGTTGGACTTTAGATCGTTTTTAAACAAATCCCAACCCTACTCTCTAGCACTAGAATTATATCATTTTCTTCTCAATATATTTCGCCAAAAACTTTGGCATCATCAGGAGTTTGTCCTATAATGTAACAGATATAAGCAAAAAATAAAAATAAATAAATAAATGAAAGGTTGGTAACTGTTATCAATTCTACCCATTAAATAAATACGTTTCAAATTGTTGCCTTAAAATTGCATTGAATCGGTAATACATAAAGTTGTCAAAGATGTTTAATGATAAAACTTGAGAAATAAATCATTTTTGTTAGTGAAAATAAAAAATTTGAAAATCTTAATTGAATATCAAGTACTCAAACAAAGTTATATTTTTACCTAACTCGGTCGAATTTTAATATTTTGTATACTATACAGGGAGTGGGGGGGGGGCTATGGGCACCCAATCCCCCTTTGATAAGTAAATTCTAAGGTTTCCAGGGATATTCAGGTCCCCACAACTGCTGTACACGCTAACATGCCCTCTAACGATAATATCTAGCTAGCTAATTATCCTTGTTGTATGATCCAGGCATATTTCGATGTTGGATATCCCTATGATGAACAAGGTGCTCCCTGGAACCGTGCTCTACTCTACCAGAAGGATCCTACTCTCGCTAAAGTAAAACTTTGGAAATATTTACAAAAACAAAATTAGGAAAAAAGGTGTTTTCCAAATTGAAACTACATTATTACATAAGTTGATCTAATGATTTTTTTCTTGGCTAAAAAAGAACCAACATAATATCTTTAAAAGAAGTTTATTCCATTATATAATTATTTATTGAATTATTTAGATTATTGATCGTTTTATGAAGCAAAATCCATGGAGAGGAAGCTGTCCCTGATCAATGTAAAATACTAAATATTAAAGAAAAAAACTTTAAAAATTCCTTCCATTTAAATGTTTTATAATTTGAAATAAAAAAATTGTTTAATCAGTTTTATTTGAACTAATTCATCAGAATCAAAATAAATAATGAACTAGGTTCTATATATTTATACAAAGTATAAGATTGTCCTCCCGACCCAAAACTCTAATAATATATCAAACTGAATTTTACTTTTAGCCGCTAAAGATAAGGATCCAGGACGTTTTTAGAGTTTGCAATGGTGGTCAAAACCTATATTTCATATAAAATCAATTATTCTAATCTCTTCTTAATCAATCTGTTTACTGGATAGTTAATCTGTTTTAAGGAAATAGGATTAGGGTCTGATGATAGTCGAGGATTAACCCTACTTAGGTTGGAGAGGGGTGAGTAAAATAAAGAGGGGTGTTCTGAACTTGCTTTTTCATCGATATCTCCATATTTAAATTGGCGCTAATCACACACAAAATTACGCAAAATTACTAATTAGGTCTCGAACTTTAAACTTTAAAAGGGTTGTAAATGTAATTTAAAGTTATCATCTATTTATAGAGTGGCATGTAATATTCACAACGGTTTTGTCTTTAATGTATGAACTAGAAATAACTCATGATTAAACAATTTGAGAACCTATATTTTCAACTGTGGTTTCTCTACAAACGGACTTGGGTAGAAATTAACTACATTTCAAGCTTTAAAGCAATCTTCAACATTATTGACCAGATCAAGATTTCAAGCTTTAAAACAATCTTCTACATTATTGATCAGATCAAGATTTAAGCTTTAAAGCAATCTTCAACATTATTGATCAGATCAAGATTTCAAGCTTTAAAGCAATCTTCTACATTATTGATCAGATCAAGATTTCAAGCTTTAAAGCGACCTTCTACATTATTGACCAGATCAAGATTTGAAGTGTAAAGTTGTATCTCGGCCATGTCCCTCTTGAAATGAAGGGTCATTTAAAATTACGCCTACAGTCCGTTAAACCAGTTTTAAACCAGTTTTACGCCAGTTTTACGCCATTTTTAAACCATTTTTAAACCAGTTTTAAACCAGTTTTAAAATGATTTTAAGCCCGGAAAACAACAAAATATGAAACCAGAATGCCATTTCGTTAAAGCGCAATATTCAATTTTTATGATAAAGTGATTTTTTAAATGTTTGCAATTCATCTTTACATCAAATAATACTATTTTGATTGCTTCGTCTATTGTATAAAAACAAATTCAAATGTTTAGAAAAATGGTTATAATTGATTCTAGGAACCTTCGGTTTATATTGAATTTTATTTGATTTATAGATGATGTTAATTGAATTTTATAACGAAGTAATTTATATTTGTTGTTTTATTTATTTTGCTCCATCTTTATATTAATTTATTATAATTATCAACATAAGAAATTTTCCATGTTAAAAAGATTAACTTCGCTAAAAAAAGAAAAATTTCAAGAAATGTTAATCTTTTTGTAATTGTACGTTAATTCTTTAATTTTTTTATTTGGTCATTTTTTTTTGATCAAGTATATCTGTAAAACAAATTGTGAAATTAGTGTCCTCTAGGATCTGTTTGTTTGCTACATGAGACTCCCTTGGTATAATTATATTAACTAGGGTCTAGGAAAGATAAATAAAACCAATTTGTAAAAGAAGAAAAAAAAATAATTTGATTTACGGCTATTGATGGGCAAGAGGGGTCGTTATTTCAAAACGTTTAAGGTTTTTGGGACCTTTAAAGCTTCTACAATATTCTTAGAAGTTTCACATATCTTAACATAGTTTATTCAAAACATTTTCTAAACTCCAAGAGAAGAAACGGACCGAATTTTTTTATCTCATTGGATAACAATTTTGCATAGTTCAAGAAATATTACTTCAGTTTTGAAATCTTGCATTTACTGTATTTCCACCAGCCAAAACCGTTTAGAGTCAGCATACAATTTATAATGTGTAAAATCATCTTTTTATAGAAAGAAATTCAACGTATTGGGTCATTTGACAATATGTTTACAAACAGTTCACAAGGATTGAACTGTTCGGAACATATTCTAGAAAACTGTGACTTTCGATCACAATTTCACACATGAAACATATCTTTTTTCCTCGCAATTTCTTTCTTCTTGTTTTGTGACATATGCGTTATAGACGAAAATGCATAACATACAACTCTGTAAGTTTGAAGATTGCTGAAATTAGACTAACATGGAATCGAATTCAAAAAGAAAAAACCAAATTCGTTTCACCTTAGTTAGTCCGGGGTAAGTTCATCATGATAATTACTGTCAAATGACCCTACTTTACTACAGTGAAACCCTTAATAATGAATACATCGAAAGAATTCATCAAATGTCGTCTTCTTCACTTTCTGATAATGGAATGTTGCAGATATTTAGTTTTTTAATTAAATGATTATATGGAACTCTTCAAAACTTTTCCCGCATATTCATGGCTATTTAATTACTTTCGCAAATACTGAAATTTACGTAATATAGTATAAAACTCATTGAAAATTGTAAAGACGACATTTGATAAATTTATCCGATGTATTCGTTATTAAGGGTTTCACTGTACCTACTACCTTTAACTGAATGTTTTCATTTCTTTTACAAACATTGTTATTTCATGCTGCGGTAAATATATCGTTGTTGTCATATAGCAGCAAGATTCTCAATAATGAACAGATAAACAACTGGATAACCCTCAAATCAAAACCGATAACAAAGAAAACTGAAAAATTTCCTGAAAAAAATTGTATATATAATAACATATAAATCGATACAATGAATTGTTTATAATGAAAAGATTCTTACGATCTATTTTTGGATGTTAAGGGTTAAGTCGTCGGACAGTCCTAAGACGTTTTTTTTTTAAACTTCTGAAAAGAATGACAATTAATTATTAACAAAAGTCACTAATTCTTTATGTGAAAATATTCTTTGTTTAACTTTTGAAAATAGATGGATTCGCAATGTTTTAAGATATTTACACTCCGATGGGAGAACAAAGGACCGAAGCCTAAAATTATTTGGTTTGGATTTTAGTGTCTCCGAGAGGGGTTTCTAAGTTAAAGACGCCTTTACATGTATCATTGTTAATGGTTGACAATCGTGTAGTGTAAGTAAACAAATGCCAAACTTCATTAAAGAAGAATAAATCATCCCAGAAGAACGGTCTTTTCAAATCAAAAATATTTATAAGGAAATGCGGGTTTGGTTGGTCGAAATACAGTGAGAAACCTTTAGAAACTTTTCCGGTGAAAATAAAAGTCCCAAAACCTTTTCAAGAAAGAATCAAGCTCTTGCCCTTCACTAGTGTTTACGGTGATCTAGCAAATAACGAGAATAATTGTGCTGCTTGTTATTTTAAGATAATTTATCCAGTTTTCTTCTCTTGTTTCTAATGATGAAACCAAGGTTTAATCAAGGTGTTAATCATCTAATTTCTCTCTAGTTACGAATATAGTCTCAGTTTGCTCTCACTCTCTTACTCTAATTTAGTATGGAGTAAACCTCCGTCTATGTTCGGCGTACATTAGAAATATTTGGTTTTTGATACTTAACACTATTAAGAGCTGAGGTAAACCATTTTGAATTTTTACGTCGAAGAACTAAGCCTACCGTTCCTTTTTACATCTTGGGACCAAATATTATGAATGGCGGGAACTAGTTCAGCTATTTAATTCAGACTAAGTTGAACCACTTTTCCTGAAATTTGACCGGCACTCAAGAGAAGTTTATGTCGATCATTTAAAGTGGATAAGTGCAAAATATGGAGCTTTTATGAGATCAAATTTATTTTTGAATATACTTAAAGTGCTAGCCTTGCAGTTTGACATATTATAATTAAAACTACCATGTAAGAAAGTTTCCAACAGATACAATTAGATTGGATGAAGGATCATTTGAATATTTTTAGTATAACACAAAATAACACGAACAGTTTGGGCCTTATCCCAGCAAACTGTGACTTTCGATCACAATTTCACCTTTTAAATATAAATTTTACGCCTTTTATCATATGTACATAGTTGTCGGTTAATAAGTTTTAAATGAAAAAAGTATATAATTCTTTATAAAAGTTTAAATATTGTTGAATTCAAGACCACATGAGATTAATTGCATTTAGTCCAGAGTTTAATACACGAGGCAATATCCTTGGTTATATAACCGTATGGGGGGATATCCTTGGTTATATAACCGTATGGGGGGGATATCTGATTCACAACTGTACCCATTAAATTATAATAAAGCTCTGTTTTCTCATTTAAAATTAGTAATGTATAACAAATATAATTTCTAATTGTTTTTTCATCTCATGTTTAGAGGAGCACACTGTAGTTTAACATTTACAAGCTATAAAAATCGATAATTTACAATGTAGGAAAAACCAAAGACCTTGCCTTATGATTATTCAAAGGCCAACCAGACTTGAAAATTAATTTACAACTTTTAAAGTGACCTAGATCACTGCGGGGGAAAGCGAAATCTTACTGCTATTTCAATTTCAACAACATTTAGATGTTTAAAAAAAAGATACACAAACCTGTAATACACCTGCACGCCATATCTTTTGGTAATTTACCATAAAATAAATCCCTTTGTATTTTTATCAATTTATAACCCTTGATGGGCCATTCCAGCCCGTGCATGATTTGACGTTTGTGGATTATGATTGTGTGTATACTGAAGGGTTATAATGCACGCAAATCATCAAACGCAAAGAACCAAAAAGTCTTTTCTTTTTTTCTTTATCTACATGCTTATAGGGGATGTTTAATAAAATGTTCAATAGCCTTCCTACCCTTCCTTATATAAATATGATAACATACAATGTTGAAAACCTTCCTTACTCTTTATACACATATAAAGTAGTAATCTGTTTGTTAGATTTTGCGATCATAAGTTTTTAGGCAAAGCTGGGTCACGGGTGCCCAAGCTAATTTATATACTGAGTGTCTAAAAAAACGGGAATAAAGGTTTACAGGCTTGTAGATTTAAAAATGATAATTATCATAGGCTCCGAAAGTTTCCAACTAGAGTAAGTTTGGTAAAAATAAATATAATCTCAGTTTGCACAATTGTGTATGAGGGTAAACAGACATGTTTGTAATCGGATTTTCAAGATTGAGACCATATTTAATATCTACGTACAATTTCCGATTCAATGAGCATAATTTTAGGCTTGTAGATCTAAACATAACAAAATTATAGGCCTCTACACCCCAACGCCTCATTCACTTTACGAACTCGAGGTCAGAATCAGGAGAGAAATATTTGCCCTGGACCCTGATGTCGCTCAAAGTCTATTTTTGAAGTTAAATCAAGGGCCCGAAAGTGTTTTGCTGCTAAGATTGTAATAAACTGTAAACTAAATTATAATAACGTAACATTATCTTTTGCTTTTTACTAGCTCCAGTTGGAAACTTTAGGAGCATTTTAGATTGTTATTTTCAGATCTGCAAGCCCTAAATTGGACTCTTTTAATCAAAAACGGACTCAATCTTGACAATCCGAATACAAAATAATCTGTTTACCCTCATACACAATTGTGCAAAGAGATTATTTATATTTTTACCAAAGGAGTTGAGTCTTTGCAACAAACTCAAATTTTCTAATCCCTATATCTGTCCAACCTGATGACGAAAACTTTAGACATTTCAAACTTAGATTATTTGATCTAACAGAATTTTAAAATATATAAGGTCTACGACGTTGGAGGGCAAAGATATTAGGATTAGAACATCAGAGTTTGTGGCAAAAACTCAATTCCTCTACTCACTCCAGTCAATTTATGAGACTGAAACATTGTCATTTTTAGATCTAAAAGCTTAAAATTAAGCTAAAATAGTCTCAATCTTGAAAACCTGATTACAAACGAGTCTGTAGACCCTTGTTCAGTTTTTTTGAGACACCTTGTTTAAAGAAGTAATCTCTGTTTGTTTGTTTGTTTGTCCGATTATATCACTCGAACTCCTTGATTAATTTGGCTCCAATTTTGATTGGATAACTCGGTAGAAACCTGGGAATGTGCTTAGCTTGTTTTAAAATAAAGTTTAATGAATTGACTTATATACCAGAATTCGAGTTTTCAGTGTCCGAATTTAATGAATTTTAGCCGCGTCTCAAATCCCCCAAAAACCGGTTTCAGTTTGAGCGCCGGCTGAAATCTTGAAAAAATTTTCACAAATTTAAGTGAACCCACAAAAATTTGAGCCGCGGCTTAAATTTAAACCGCCGCTCAACTCTTTAAATTCGGCCTCTGGCTAAGCTTGCTTCCTAAGAAAATGTGTCGTCAATACATGATTTAAATCAATATCATGTTTTACATGTTATGCAATCTTTAGTATATATTATATATATATATATATATATAGGTAAGATAAAATGTACACAAAAAGTTTATTTCAAGGATGTTTCTTTGGATCTAAAGAATATATTTATCTAACAAAATTATCTAAGTGAATATAAGGCATCAATATTCCACAACACAAGAATGTCCCTCAACACCTCCCTAGTCCCTGGGATGGGTATTTAATTCCTTCTATTCCTTATATATATTTATATAATGTTCAATATCTTTAATTCCTTCTATTCCTTATACATATTTATATAATGTTCAATATCTTTTATTCCTTCTATTCCTTATACATATTTATATAATGTTCAATATCTTTAATCCCTTCTATTTCTTATACATATTTATATAATGTTCAATATTTTTAATTCCTTCTTTTCCTTATATATATTTAAAAAATGTTTAATATCTTTTATTCCTTCTATTCCTTCTATATATTTATAAAATGATCAATATCTTTTATTCCTTCTATTCCTTATCTATATTTATAAAATGTTCAATATCTTTTATTCCTTCTATTCCTTACATGTATTTATAAAATGTTCAATATCTTTAATTCCTTCTATTCCTTATTTATATTTATAAAATGATCAATATCTTTTATTCCTTCCATTCCTTATATATATTTATATAATGTTCAATACATAGATAAATAAATAAACATAGATAGCTTATGTACGCAAAATCACCAAGAATTGTACAGTCCGCGAACTCATACTTCTAGAGGTCAAAGTGTACTTCAATGATAAGCGGGGTGGTTTGGTTTTTAATGGATTTCATAATAGAGTGTAAAATAACTCCGGGAATGAAACTATTTGAACAACAATATTTCACTGAGCAATATATAATATTGACGAGAACTGAATAAGGACATGAGAAGGACTAAACTAACTTAAATTTCTCTCTACAGAACTCATGTACACCACAAGTACTCAATGACATAAGAACGGCCAATGTTTACAACCGACCTAATTAATCTATATAATATGAATATCTTTTAATCATCTCTGTACATTTATATCTTTCAAGATGAAAAATGTCGTCTTATGCGCAATCTATCTTTATCTATGGTTCAATATATTTTATTCCTTCTATTCCTTATATATATTTATATATCTTCATATCTTACTTCTGCTTACAAGAAAATGTCGCAACTCTATTAAAGGATTGGAAAACTATATCAATGCACTGTTCAGTTTTATTTGACAGTTTAGAAAATGAAAATAATAAAACGTGAACATGGGGCAGAATTTAATGATTTGGAGAGTTCGCTGAACTATCTACCACCGGTTCAACTGATTTAAATATTCATAAATCTTTAACTTTGAATTCAGTTAAATTCGGTCTGCTGAATCATTCTTGATATTGATATAGGTGTCGCAACGCCTTGGTCTTTGATATTAACTGACTAACTCACAATCAATTAGAAAATGAAAAAATTTTCTTAACTTTTTACGTGAGAGCTTGGCTGACTTCTAACCTTTGAATGTCTGTGAATTAATTTTATCTTAAATATCCTTTGAGAACTCGATCTTCAATGAATTCAAAGAATTAAACTCAGTTTTATTTTTATGTATTTTAAAATTAGACCGTTTGTCGTGCCTTTATTCTTCCCTCATACAATATTTCTCAAGTTGCCAATGTCGTCTTCCTTTCGATTGACTAAAACATATTCGAGCCTTGATACTTTCTTCAAATGATAATAAATTGAAATACTAAAATCGACAAGTGGTTTTCAACATAGCTTTTAATGTCTAACATTACGGAGAAATGGTTAATTTAAACATTAGGATAACTTCTGAGCTATAGAAACTAACTTTTCCGAGTTTTAGAAACAAGGAAACTCTGATTTTCTAATCACTATATCTTTGGAACCAAATGTTTACAACATCGGGTTCTAACGATATTGGGGTTTAAATATTTGATTTTGTTACAAAGACTCAATTCCTTTGGGATTTTAATTTTCATATTTTAACATATTATAATTTTTAAGCGACTAGTAATTGATAGATTGATGTTTTTAATGCAGATTATACACATTTTAGTCAATATTCTTCTTTTTGTCCATTATCACTTCACTTATTCACTTTATTTATTTTTGTTGCATTATATGCACCTGAAAGGCTAACATGCAGTTCTGAACAAAACTCTTTCATGTTTTTCACCACAAAAGTAATATTTATTTGTCCCAGAGAGAGATAAGTTTATTTTGCGTATTGTATGTATTGTATATATTGTATGCAGACAAATAATATTTATTTGTCCCAGAGAGAGATAAGTTTATTTTGCGTATTGTATGTATTGTATATATTGTATGCAGAAAAATAATATTTATTTGTCCCAGAGAGAGATAAGTTTTTTTTGCGTATTGTATGTATTGTATATATTGTATGCAGAAAAATAATATTTATTTGTCCCAGAGAGAGATAAGTTTATTTTGCGTATTGTATGTATTGTATATATTGTATGCAGAAGCAAGATCTAAAATATCAAATATTTTCAGAGTAGAAGATGTAAATTGAAGATATATATTAAAGCTATTTGGTGTGAGAATATCAAAACCTTTCAAAGCATATTAACTGTTTACTGCTGAACAAATTTAACATGATTTTCAGTATTTAATATTGAAAACTAATAAATCCGGGAAAATAATCGTCTTCGTTCTCTCTTCCTATAGTCGTGCACTGTCCGCACTGTTACTTATAGCGAATATATATTTGGCAACAAAATCATTTTTTTTCAGATGAATTTTTTAAATTCAATTCAGAGTTTAATCACTGAAGCATCAACAAATCTACAGGTAAAAATATTTTTGTTTCAATTTAAAGAATTTTCTAAAATGATTTTATTTTTCGATATTTTCTAAAGGGGATTTTAATTTTACAAATAATCTGCTGATACTCGCGGTTGTACAGAACAAAGCGCGTCACAAAACTCAAATTTCTTTTAGGGTGAGACCTAAAACTTTTCTGCAAGTTCTGATATAATTAATCATTTAAACGTGATAAAAAAACTTAATTATGGATATTTCACAGTTTTTCAATTAGTCATTGTCAACGATCAAACTTCATTAATCGAAAAGTAAAAACAAACAAACAAACTAATTGGCCCCGTCAACGCTTGGTCATTTTTAACAAAATTAAACATATCAACAAGGAAAATTCGTACAAGTTTAATTCTGGAATTAGCTAAATAAAAAGTTTCAGCAAAGTTTACTTTCTATTACTCCAGGATCCAGAAACGATCGTAAGTTTTAAATAAAAACATTTTATTCATTTTCATTACTTTACAGATTATTAAATTTTCCTTCTCATCATCAAATTAAAAAGAAAATATATTTGATTAAGATTTACAAAAATGAAAAAGTTCTAATAAAAGTTTTTAATAATTAAAGATTAAGAATCTTTTTTTTAATCAAAAAGATTTTCAATGAATATGAATATTAAAATATGTTCCAACTTTTAAAAATAATTTTATACACCATTTACAACCATAGTACCCCTAGAACTGAAGATGAAGCTGAAATAAAAATAAGAAGAATAATATTACTATCTTTACTAATACTGGGAGAAATCTATTTCAAGATGAATTATTCTGTTAATATTTGTTTTTATATCTAAAAAGTAGATAATATGTATTAAATGAATACTGAAAAAGTTTATATTATCATGAATAGTACAACTTTAATTTCCTGCAACGGATAAAACTTCAGAAAAGACTGAACGAAATTTATTCAGTATTTGTTCTTAAATTCAAGGATACTTTATTACTAACTCTGAATCAAATTTATTAATTTTTAATTTTTAATTTAACATAAAAATTAGGACCTGAATATCCTAGTATATTAAGAACCTGAACATCCTTGTATATTTATTAGGACCTGAATATCCTAGTATATTTAGAACCTGAATATCCTTGTATATTTATTAGGACCTGAATATCCTAGTATATTCAGAACCTGAATATCCTTGTATATTTATTAGGACCTGAATATCCTAGTATATTTAGAACCTGAATATCCTTGTATATTTAGAACCTGAATATCCTGATTTAGAACCTGAATTTCCTAGTTTAGAACCTGAATTTCCTAGTTTAGAAACTGAATACCCTGATTTATTTAAAACCTGAATATTCAGGCATATTTAAGACCTGAATATCCTGGTATATTCCGAACCTGAATATTCTGGTATATTTAGAACCTGAATAATCTGGTATATTTAGAACCTAAATATCCTGTTATATTTAGAACTTAAATATATCCTGGTATATTTAGAAACTGAATATCCTGGTATATTTAGAACCTGAATTTTCTGGTATATTTAGAACCTAAATATCCTGGTATATGTAGAACTTAAATATATCCTGGTATATTTAGAAACTGAATATCCTGGTATATTTAGAACTTAAATATATCCTGGTATATTTAGAACCTAAATATTCTGGTATATGTAGAACTTAAATATATCCTGGTATATTTAGAACCTGAATATCCTGGTATATTTAGAGCCTAAATAGAATCTGAATATCCTGGTATATTTAGAGCCTAAATAGAACATGAATATCCTGGTATATTTAGAGCATAAATAGAACCTAAATATGCTGGTATATTTAGAGCTTAAATAGAACCTAAATATGCTGGTATATTTAGAACCTGAATATCCTGGTATATTTAGAACCTGAATATCCTTGTATATTTAGAACCTGAATATTCTGGCTGGAGATGAAGATGATATCCAGGAGCCGGATTTCCATGATCCCAGACTAAACCGGAGAAGGAGCACTCTTCTTCCTCCCTCAACCTCATCAGGAAGAAGTTCAAGGTAGGAGATTATTAACCCTATTCCTGCTGGGGGGGGGGGGTCAATTTGACCCCCCCCTGTAGTTTTTTTTACATAACTCAAAAAGTATTGGTCTGAGGCTGTTGAAATTTTCTGACTTTTCCTACATACCCAAAGCCCTTCCTTTAGGCCTAAAACCGGGCTTCAATACTAACTGCCTGAGTCCTCAGGCACACTGCCTGAATGACTGCTTTTTCCTGTAACAAACTAAATCTTTGTTTTGACCCACTTCCACTTGTCAGATTTTGATAAAATTTAGCTTTTTGGAAAGCTTTTGACATAAGGAAACGAATTGCACAAGTTTTGCGAGAAAAAAATTGCAAATTTTTTGCAAAAAACCTGTTAAAGGAAATTTGCACATTTTTAGTTTTTCTTGATTAAAAATCAGGTTATTTAAAATTTTGCAAAATTTTTTGCATATTTGAAATGGCATGGTCAAGGGCTTGCCAAAAATGTATAATTTATCATTTTTTGGACAAATTTTTTTTTGCAAACATTACTATATAACTGGATTTTGCCATAAAATATTCAATTTTTGCAAATTTGCAAATTTTTTTTTGCAGATTCTAAAAGTAGAGCACAAGAACTTTCCAATGATGTATGTTTTGTCATATTTGGACATCAAACATGGGATTTAGAGTGGGGGTCAAATTGCCCCCCCCCCCAGCATATCCTGGTTTTCAAGTACCCCAGCAGAGATAGGGTTAAAGGGATTGTTCAACAATCTGAAAACATAAAAATTTCCATAATTTTAAAAATAAGAACACAACTAAGCCTACCAATTGCTCAAAACGTCTTAATAAAAACCAGAATGCTCAACTCTGTTGTACTCTGAATCTGAAAGACTTTTATAATGAACTAAACAATATAAAAAAATTCTTAACTTTTGCATATATAGATGTTTTATGAGATTTGAATGGATAGAGAAAAAGATACTTAACCAAATACTTTGCTTGTTTGGGTTGGTGTATTAATATTAATAAACGTAAAAACGACTGAACTGATCGAACCCAACATTTTTAAGGCAACTCAAATGACCCCAGGCTGAACGAAGCTGAAAATTTGGCCGTAAAAAATGTCGATATTATTATTTTGAAAATGCACCAATTTAAACAGAAAAATCAGCGAAATTTTCAAATGATTATAAATTGGCGACTTTCAGTGTTCAACCTTCAAAGCTAAAATTGATAATAGAAAAGGAGGTGCTAAGCTGAATAAGAAAAAGAATAATATAATAATAAGAATAAGACGGAATTACAATATTACCTCTAATCACGACAAAACTGAAGTTCAATGGGTGGTAAGAGTAAGACCTATTCTGTTTTCACATATCTAGTTTAAAAAGGAAGTTACCTGTAGTCTGTACACAAATAATGTTGACAGCTGCAGTGTTTTTTTTTATAACAACATTTTTTTATTGTGTTTGTCAGATATTATTAAAATTCAGTTACTATCAAAGATATTCATGAAACAATTTGCTCAAAAAGGTTTTTAAATAAATAATTTAAAAATTCAATTCATATTTTTGAAGATCATTTTTTAGTAATACACAATACATACTTTTTGATAAAAAGAATTTTATTTAAAATTTTGAAAATATATTGTTAAATTTTACATTTGCTTAAAGGGACCATACGTTTAAGTTATCTTTCATTTAAAAAGAGAAGCAAGCCTAATTCACAACGGTTTACCCCTTTAATTATTATCTGATCAATAATCTGAAAAATATTGCGGGTTTTCCAGCTTGAAACATATTTAATTTCCAATATTTCCCCAATGTTTCTGAAGCATGGAATAGTTTCTTTTAAAGAGAAAATTATATGGATATCTATAATACGTTATTGATGTTTGATATCTAAGGGTACCGTTGTTAATTGGACATTTAGAGAGCTATTTGTTGACCATTTAATTAATTATTTCACGGGTAAAAATGGTGGAACAAAATTCTCTTAAATAAAATATTCCTCTCTCTGTTAATATAAATGTTTTCTTAATAGAGTTTGAATAATAAACTGGAAATTATGGCGTAATTTAGAAGAAACATTGCTTTTATTGATTATTCAACATTCAGCTTACACTCACAGAATAAACCATGTTAAACGGTAGGTTTCTTTAGGGTGTCCGATAAAACATGGGAGTTAAGGTCGTCTTCATATTTGAAATAACTCGGTTCGGTTCAAAAGGGTTAACCGTAATAAAAGCAATGAACACAGAATATGTTCTTCAAATAGATCATTTAATTTCTGTAGTTATTCTATCAGAGCTGAAAACTTTATTATGGGATATCCTTAATCCCGATCGGTTAATTAATCTGGAGATTAATTACAAGAGGAGAACAAGCATTATTTAATCTGGAGATCAAGAAATAGAGGAGATCAAGCATTAATTTCGATATCCACCATTCTAAAGTTTTCAGCTCAGATTATGCTATCAGATTATTCTATCAAATTATTCTATCAGATTATTCTATCAGATGATTTTATCATTGAGATTTTCTCAGTATCCATCTCCAGTCATCTCTAGACATTTTACCTAAAATATAGTCTGATGTAGTCCTACGTGTTCATGATGTTGTTTGTAATCCTCCTTATTCCTTCCTAGTTTTCAGGTGTCTGTTTAATGGTCACCAGTAGCCACCCCTGCCTCTTTTTTTCTTTAAGATATTATAAAAATCAGGAAAAAATAATCCTGTGTGTAACTGAAAGATTCTGTTAAACAAACTCAAACTTTTTTCTTTTAAGAATTTTAATCTTAAAATCATTACTTTCCATGATGTATATATTTGGTTGTCAGGGTGTACACGTTAAAACGGTTAAACCTATGAGGGGGAATTTTATGGCTGGTTAGCTAGAATCTTATTTGAATTGCCTTAAAAATATTTAAATTTTTAAAAATAGTTTTAAAGCTGCTAATGTGAAAAGTTAATAGCCTGTCAAACTCAAATTAAGATTTTAAACAGGAACATAAAACAAATCAGAATGTCGTCTTCTTATTCGAAACTTGTGTAGGGTCTCACTGACGTAAACTTAGATATTATAAATATAATTACCATATTCGGTAATCATACAGAATATACATATTATTGTAAATATAATCATTTTTAAAGATAAATACATTTTTGACTATAGATCAGAATTTTGTTGTTATAAATAAGAAATATTTTCTATTAGTATATTTATGAAAACATATATCGTATTTGTGAATAATTACACGAGCTCTTTTTGATTAGTTTTTCATTTTTTATAACATTCATCAAACATATATCTTAAATATACATACAGGGTTGCCCAAAACAACGAAAAGATTGGATATGTTTTTAAGTTGATCAAAAATACTTAGATGATTTCCTCCAAAATTAAAAACTATTCATTGGATCACATTTTGGAGATTTTGTGGTTGTTGGGCGGCTTAAAACCCCGAATCCTGTTTTTTGGATCACTCTCATATTTGTATATTTCATGACTTTGTATAATACATTACTCAGACAATTATTACAGGGAATTATTAAGAGTCGTTCTTTAACTTCTCTTAAAGGAATTGAGTCTTTGCCACAAAATCAAATTTTCTAACTTAGATCATTTGATTTAATCAAATCAATGGTTTGAACTATCTAAGGTCCAGGACATTGGGTTGCAAAGATATAGCGATTAGAAAATCAGAGTTTGTGGCAAAGACTCAATTCCTTTCCAAGAAATTCCTGTAACTGAATTCAGAAAAACATACGCTAAACTTAAAGTGTTACCTGAATTAAAGGGGAATATCTCAAGACATTAGAAACTTTTGAGAAAATTCTCTTGGTTTTTCAAAACTGTTTTTTTTTGCAAAATCTCGAGAACTTTTCGGTGACCCATGATCAATTCTGAAATGTTTCTTGAATTTTTCCGAACTAAATCTCGGAAATGTTTTAAGACCAATTTTTGCGAATTTTCTGGGAGAAACTTTCTGCATTAAAAATCACATCCGATTTTTCTGCAATTTCTGTTGAAAATTTATGGATTAAAATAATCTATGATTTGGTTGAGAAAATTAGAACTTTTTATTTCAGATCTCCGTCACCTTCTCAACTCCGGACTCCTTCCTACAGAAGGTAGGAAGACATATGATTCTTTTTATGAAAACTCTAATCCTATAAAGGTTGCAGATCTGAATCATGTGTAGAAAAAGGCCTCAGAAAAAAGTTATAGGGTTGCGACGCAAGTGCATAGCCCAATTTTCCAAGGCCAGCTTTTTAAACCGTATACTTTTATAGTTTTGGTGCTAGTAAGGTTTGAAAAAATGCCCAAAAAAGGGTAAAAAATGTAGAAAATATTTTTTTGTTTTTCGTAAAATATTAAGATGTGACACATGCTTTTACTTCCATTTTTTATGCACAAAAAAGTTAAAGGCTTTTTTAGATTTTTTAACCCTAAGCTTTAAAAAACCATTATTTCTTAAAAGTAAAAAAATAGCGTAAAACTGCCCCCCCCCCCGCCTGTTTAGGGATAAAGGGACTGTACACGTAATATCAAGTTTTATTCTGTTTCACAACGTTATCCTTAAAGGCTTTGTCAGATCAGAATAAATGACTGAGATACAGTTTTATTATGTTTTTATTAAGTTTTGGTTTTTCTGCCAAAGTAATTGTGGAATTTATTGCAACAGAAGCAGTGTTTAACCTTTTGCGAATACAACCTTTTTCTAACCAGAAAAACAACAATAAACTCCTACATTATTTATCAGATAATGGTTTCTAGGAGACAGTTGTGAATAAGGCAAAGCCATCTTTAAAGGAGTTAAAATAACAACATTATTCCTTTTTACTAATCCCTAATTTATGTTCTTGGAAGATGTTAGATCCTGTGGGATATGCCAAGAAAATACATACTTGAAAATTAATTTTATGTATTTTAAGACGAGAGAAAACATTTATTCTTATTTTCCATGAATTTTATAACCATTTTATCCAGTAGTTTTACTTTTGATCCATTAAGAATAAAATCAAATACAATTACCACTTTTAGAAGTAGCTGAGTCTCAACTTTTCATTTTGAAAGATTCAAGTTAGTTCAAGTTGTTTATCGCATTTCGCCCAAAAATAAAGTATATATTTTTTAAAAACCATAACAGAAAGCATGTTGCAGTAAGCTTTTATTTAATATGTTATTTTTCATATTATCACAAATTCAGAGAAAGATATCATGAAATACAAAATAATACAATTGATTGGAAAAAATCATTTTCCCAAAAACGATCGTTTTTTAAAAAAACAATCGTATAAACAAAGGAATTGAGTTTTTGCCACAAACTTAAATCTTCTGATCCCAATATCTTTGCAACCTGATGGTGCAAACAATTGATATTTCAAACTTAGATTATTTTTTCTATAAGTATTAATAGTTTGAAATATCTAAGGTCTACGACATTGGGTTGCAAAGATATAGAGATTAGAAAAACAGAGTTTGTGGCAAAAACTCAACTCCTTTATTCTGTTACATAATAAAAATTCAAAAACATTAACGATAACAATCTTACAATATACGTTTGTTTCACGTGGAGACTGGAGCGTTTATTAAACTAATTAAACAAGATTCTAGTCAATTTACTCTCTCTCGACTTTCTTTTCTTCACAGGAATTATTTTAATGAGAGATCCTTTAATTAGAGATAAATACGTACAGTTTTATAATTTTTGCATCTCTTCTCATTAATCATTCTCACTCTGCATTTTTTAAGCATTAAAAATTATACATCTTGAACGAGTCATTGTCACAAACTCAAAATTGTATGATCCTTATACCTTTGCAACCTAATGGTGCAAACATTAAATACAGAAAGCATGGGTTTAAATATCTAAGGTCTACGACATTGGGTTGCAAGGATATAGGGTTAAAAAGACTTAATTCCTTTCAATACTTTCTAAGTTTGCCCGGATGGAAACGGTTTAAATATAAATTATATTAATATTGTTTTATTAGCTATACTGTACAGTGAAAAGCTTGATACTACTTTAAATGTTAACAAATACAATTTAGAATATTGGATAGATTACAAAAATTCTACATTTCTGGGTTGAAATAAAGAAACCTACAAATTGGGAGATTGCGAACTTTACTCTATTTCTGGGTAAACTTATATATAAATATATAAATACACATTTTGTACCAGCAAGTCACAGTATTCCAGAACCGCCCAAAATTTTCCTAAAATATGGTGAAATTATATTCTTTTTTCTTTTAGCCCTCTAATAGTTATTCTGTTAACTGCTTGGAACGTATTACAAAAAAAAAGGATTTTTTTCCATTAACAAAAATTCTCTCACGCTAGTTAATTTTTGTTATTTTTATTTCATGTTTTTTTTATATCTAGATACATTTTTCTTGTATTTTTATCTATTTATTTACAAAAAACTGTTAATTATGTTTTTAAAACATCATGCTTTTGGTGTTTTTTATTCAATGTACCATTTTTTACCTATTTTTTTCAACAAATAGAATTATATTTTTATATTTTTTTTTCTTTGATTATGTCAAACTTCCTTTGTTAATAATACTTTTATTCAAATATTTGTTTTTTCATTTATTTCTTCATTATTTTTTTATGTTTCCTTTTTCCTTGTTTTTTTTTAGTAAAAACAATGGTAAAATATCTCTTGTTTTTTCTTGTAATATTCACAATCACATCTGTTACTTAAACTTTTTAATTAAATGTTATGAAATTTAACACTTTAAAATCTTTTAATTTGTTTATTCAAAAAAATAAATGCATCCCTACTTACACTTTAAAATAAAATAAAAACGAATAATTTAACTCTTTTTATGTTTTTATGTTTTTGGATATTTCTTGTTTCTTTTCCTCTTGTTCACTGTGTTTTATTTTTCTACTTTTTCATATTTTGTTATGTTCCATCTTGTTGTATACTGTGTTAATAAATTTTCAGTTTTCTGCCATTGAACCTCACAAATTCTTAGATAAATGAAATTAGGTTGAACCGTGGGTTTACTCTCACAGATTGGGAGTTTAAATCAGAAAATCAAAGGACTTAAAGTACAATTGTGTGCTAATAACCAAGTTAATACCAACAGAACAACGAATCACATTCACAGAAAAAAAGGAAAGTTGGCATTATTGTAAAAGGAAAGTTGGAAAGTGGAATGAATCGAAAAGTGGTTTATGAATGAATGAATGAATGAATGAATGAATGAATGAGTGAATGGGTGGATGAAAGGAAGGATGAATGAATGAATGAATGAATAGATGAATGAAAGGAAGGATGAATGAATGAATGAATCGAATAGTTTTCTAATTTGCTGTAATAAAAAGTTAATGGAAAAAAATGAAAGATTGATTATCAAGCATAAAAAGTAACTAAAACTTGTTTATAACTCGAAATTTGTATATCTATTTGTTTCCGGGCACTAGACCCTTTTAAACTGTAAGTTTTCCTAGATCAAATTGTCAAAGTTTGAAAAATCAAAGGTTTAGACTAAAAAGTTATTAAAGTAATTATTTTAAAATAATTAAAAAAAATATGTTCTCAAAACGTAACCACCCAATTATGAATGATTTTGAACATCGACTTTGTCCTCAAACGATCAGTACATCTTTAAAACGTTTAATAGGTCTCAAATGAATCCTCCGCAATACTACATTCTCAGTTCAACTACCATACATTGCCGGTCAATCCCATTAAGTATATCTTGAGCTTGGAACTTTTCTCTTGAATACTCGTAACCCCGATTGCTTAAACTTGATATCCACTATGGACATTTTTAACTTGGGGATCAATGCTTAATCTCTTCATTTCAGTTATTCCTCCACAGTACGATTACCACGCGGATATCGAATGAGGATTAAATTAGTCTGCAGATTAATATTAATCTTGATATCAGTAATACAAAACTTCCCAGCTGTGGATGGACAGGTTTGAATACGACCTGTCAGCCAAGTAATTTAAATACCTGATTAGAAGAATTATTGCCTCTTCAACAGTCATAAAAATAACTGCAGTTACAACTAGTCCTGCTCCGACTACACTGCCAACCTTAATAGCTCAGAATTAATCAATTACGAATAGGGTTTCCACGAAAGGACAATATTTTTGCGCACAATTTGCGTAATTTTCGCGAAAATATTTTTTTGGCGAACTTTTGCGCATCTTTTGCGCATAAAGCACAATTTAAGTTTTGCGCGTGTTTACGCATTTTTTTGCGAAATTCGCGGAATACAGGAAGTATTGCGCAAAACGGCAATTTTTATTCAAAACAATTTATTGCGTATTGGCCAAAATTGACAGTTTCAGTACAGAATTAAACAACTGAAGGTTTATTCAAAAACTTACCTACAAACAAGTTATGATTCTGATACTCTTAATTGGTTACTTTTAGTTAAAAAACCTTCAAATTGAGGGGCACTAATTAATAAGACAGAAATTAGAAATTTGAAAATTGAAAACTAATGCATAGTTTTTACAGATGTATCAATCTTTGTAAAATGTGGTGTTAAACTTTGATATTTCAAATGCTGACCACTTCTAGTCGAATGCATATGATTCAAATATCAAAGGTCTATGCCCACTGAGATTAGGACAACACGGAAAATTAGTCATCAAATTTGTACGCAGCCTCGACTTTGAAGTGTCGCATCGCCTTGGTCTTTGGTTTTACTTTTTTTATAGGCTAAGACATATACTTTTTAAAAAATGGTACGCGTCTGTTTTTATATTTTAAGTTTTAAATTAGTAATTGGCAAAATACTGCTTGACTTTTGTGAAGATCGTGCACATCTTTATTTGCAGTTTGCCATCATGCATCAGGTTAAAAAAAGAGTTTTTTAGGCAAATCATTTTCTTTTTAAGCATTACAATTTTATGCAAAAAAGTACATCCTAATTGATGACTAATTTATACAGTTGACATTTTTGTTCAACTTTTTTAATGAGAATTTTTTCCACAAAATTTAAAACAGAAGAACGCAAAAGCGGAATAGCGCAATTTTGCGTGAAATGAAGTTTGCGAATGAGAAATTTTTTCACGCAAAAATGCAGCGCAACGAAAGTAAAAATTTGCGCTTTCTTTCGCAAAAATGACGCCAAAGTTTTGAGAATGGAAACCCTAGTTATCAAATTATAACCTTAGAACTGCAGTTATCTATTGAAAAACGCAAATTATGTACAGCTGGTTGAACTACATTTCTATTGCAATTTGTAAAATCAAAAAAATTCAAAAATCAAAAAATTACTTATGCCCCTAAATTAAATGATTCTAAATAATTTTTTATTTCTGCAACATTTAGTAAATTTGAATTTTGAAGTGAGTTTTGTTGGTGTAAAACTTTACATGCATTAACAAAAATACCATGCAACCATAATTCCACATCCTGTTGAGTGGTTGAATCCCACCATTATTTGATATAACAGAACTCATAGTTTGAAATATCAAAGGGTATCATTGGGTTGCAAAGATGTAGAGATAAGAAAATTCAAACCAATTTTATTTTCTACAATTTTAAAGAAAGCTTGATTTTAAACATCTCATTCATAATTTTATTTAACGCATTTCAAAGGGTTTCTTTAATTCTAAAAACATTTTTAAATATTTTTCCGTTTTAAATATAAACACACATTGCGGAATTCTACCTCCGGTAACTCCGCAAACCATGTAATCTGCAAAATGTATGCTAGCGCTATATCCAAACTCCGAGTCACTGAAACTAAAAAAGAGAAGAATTGGTCTCAGTTTTATACAACAAATAAAACAATGATTAATACTTTTTCTTACCCAGGCCAGCCGTTTCGGTTTTTAAGGCCATAGCCAATAAAATCTAAAATGAACAGCATTAATTTTACCTTTATGTATATGATACAGCTCTTCTCTCATATATATAGCTCTTCTCTCATATATATAAATATATGTTTTTAAAAAATCCCAGGCCAACGTCCGGCACTTCAGCTAGTTTTACACAAATGCCATGGTTGATTTTTTTCGGAAAACATATTATTTTGATACATTATATTTCATATTGTATAATTAAAATAAAAACCTTACCTGGCCAAGAAGACCGGATACACCTTTAAATAATATTGCATAAATACTAATTTAGAAAATCCAGATTAGTTGTTTTTGTTGTGAATTGCAGGAAAATAACTTAGGAATTATTAGAATTAAATACTTTTCAACTAATAAAATAGACAATACTTCTAACCTAAAAATCAAATTTAGGTTTCAAGGGTGAATCGGTAAATCGGGCATTCCCATCTTTGAATATAAAAAATTTCGTTAACGGTTTATGAAATGGTTATCGGTTGTGAACACAGAAGACGACATTTAGAAACATCAAAACACATAATGTTTTTTACAAGTTGCACAGTGCAAAAAAAAAAAATTTACTCTAATCCGTTTCGTTTTTGTTTTCCACCGTTAATTCTCGAAACCTCCGTTTCGTTAAGGGAATGTTGTCCAGCCCTGCTTACAGGACCCCTAGAACCTTCATACAAAGTTTCAAAAAATGGCTGCCGGTACGAGAAACAAATGTTTAATTATATTACAATAAGTATGGTTGAACTTAATCTTCAGAATAAAATAAAACCACAAAAATGATGCAATAACGATATTCCTACAATAACACAGTAAATCCACTCCGTCCAATGTTCAGGTGCTCTAAAAAAAAACAAAAATAAGAAAATAAATGGATCAAATTATATTGTAAAAATTCTTTTTTTTCGTATTTTTGTAATGATAAATAAAGAGAGTATCCCACAAAAAATGAGAGTCGGTGAATAGTTTGAATGTCTTCTTTCATTTCCATACAGTATTATATATTAAAAACTTTTTGCAGTTTATTTCATTATATAAATCTTTTACTCAAATATGATTTACTTTCAAATGAATTTTACTATAATATGATTACCATATAGACAGTTATAGTATTAGTTTAAAAACTTTTTTTCTTTAAGAACATTTATTTTAATTGATTTTTTTCTTAACTATATTGGCTGAAGTTTAATGTTTTTTTTTCTGAAGTATGTTTTGTAAATCCTACCTGAACGTTGAGAATATCGGAATGGTCACTAAACTGTATCAAATTCAAATTCTTTTAACAAAAAAGTAAAAATTTACAAATTGTTTGATCCTAGATATTAAAAATTTAAACCATATTTTCCGCATCTATATAGGTTTTGGCTTAATGAATTTGTAGAATTAAGCTAAAAGGTTTCTGATTTTTAGAATGCAGAATCTTCTGCGAAATATTTAAAATTTTCCAAACCAAATGCTTCCTATGTTTGAAAATGAATTCCCTGAGTAGTATACTAACTGATGAGAAGGATAGAATGAGAATAGTAAAATGAACCTCGTTCAACTACATTATGTATACTCAGGGCTGGGTTTCAGGCTAATACCTAGCTCTTTAATAATTCAACAGGGGGTGCCAACAAACAAACGTAATTCAACAAAGTACTTCAAAGTATTCACAACGCAATTCAACAAGGGGAGAAAGGCCAGCCACAACAATTTCTTGCCAAAGCAACCTTGAAATCTTTTTTTGCTTCCGTAATGTCTAACCTTTTCCCGATATAAAATAAATAACAAAATATTTAGTATACCTCTGCCTATCATTATCATTAACAAGAAAAGGTAAAGTTCTATAAACTCGGAATTATTTGCGGCATTCTACAACAGGAACATCTGAAAATGCGCGTAAAAAAGTTCACATTTTTAAGGATGTTGAACTCGAAAACTTACATTCAAGGTCGAGGATTTCGAGGTGGCTTGGGCGAGAAAATGAGGAGAATGAGGCTCGGGGTAGATATTATTGTGGCTGACCTTCCTCGCCTCATTCTACAGTATGACATCAACAATTCAAAAAAGATTCTCAACTTTTCATCTTTTAATCGACACTTCGACTTTATTTAAAAAATAAAACTCGCAGTTGAAGCAATTCGCTAGATTGGAACAAAATCGCATGAGAATGAAATTAAGCGTAGTATATAAACCCCAATAAATCAATCAATAAATTTCCGTTTGAGTATTCCTTTTTCATACAAACAAAGTTAGCTGCTGTAAGAAGGGAACCAAGAAAGGCAGCAGAGAATCCCAAAACATCGTAGTGACGATTTTGAACCTAGAGATTAGAAAATAAATGTTAATATGTAAAAATAATATCAAGTTATAAATGTTTTTCAATTCATTTTTCAAGGTCTTTTTAAAATTTGTTATCTGTAGCTTGAATAACAAATAAGGTTATGGGCTATTTTAGAATTTTACATAAAATAAAATGTACATCGATAAAAACAGGATTTTTTTAAAATTTCTTTTCATGAATATTTCGTTTGAAGCTATTTAATTAAAATCAGAAAAATATGCTCAATCATAAACTGTTCATTTTCTAGCATAATGAATAAGTAATAACCCAAAACAAGCTGTGGGGGGCCATTCGACTAATTTCCCCCCCCCCCCCA